CAGGTAAACAGAACTAATAATATTTTGGCTCAATATTTGCAAGCTCTGTTTACTGTATGCACCCAGTTCCAAAGTCATTTCCAATTACTTCAGAAATGTTCTCAAACAATGTTTACAAGCATTTTAGTAATTATGAGAAAAAATAATATTCATGTACGGTTGAAGTCATTTATTAGCCCTCCTGAATTATTAGCTCTCCTGTATATGTTTTCCACAATTTCTGTTTAACAAAGAGAAAATTTTGTTCAACACATTTCTAAACGTAATAGTTTTAATAAATCATCTCTAATAACTGATTTATTTTATCTTTGTCATAATGACAGTAAATAATATTTGACTAGATGTTTTTCAAGATACTAGTATTCAGCCTAAATTGACATTTAAAGGCTTAACTAGGTTAATTAGGCAATGGAAATAGATACAGTGTTTATTTTAACGGCACAACTCGAGCACAAACGAATGACAATAGTTTTGTGCGATTTTAGAAAACCTGGGATGAAGAGTGACGTCACGGCTCCCGAAATAAATGAGGGACACAGATACAGTGTTTGTTTTAATGGCACAAACGAACTGCTGATTTGGAATGATTTGAGCAACATGGGGTGGAAAGTGCTTAATATCTTAGACTAGAGATCTGCGCGTGACTAAATTTTGAATCCCGGCCCCACCCGCCAGGTTTTAGCCCAACCCGACCGCTCCCGCTTATGTTCAGCATTCGTTGTCCCGCTGCCCGACCCGCTCCGTTTTCTACCCGCCACGCCCGTTCCCGCTAATGGGGGGGGGGGGAACAAAACCGAAAACCACCCAGCTATACAGAGTCCAGACAGCCTATAACAAGCTGTCTGTTTAAACACACACACACACAAAGTTCTCTCTCTCATTTGCGCATACACACAAAGACAGCAACAAACAAGCTAATCGCAGCATCACACTGTCTCATTTACAAACACGCATACATACGCGTGCTCGCTCGCTTGCTCGGGAGTCGGGAGCGATATTGTTAGACTGCCCGCTCCTGACCAAAAATACACCAGTTACCAATTCCCACGGGAATGCAGACCTCTATTGCAGACCCCAAAACAGCGCAAACGTTCGATTTTGCAGCACAAACATAGCACAAATGACTGGCATAGTTTTGGGGATTATTTATTTTTATGGGGTGCCAACTTTTCACAGAGGTATAAAAATGGTTTGTTCTGTAGACAATCGAAAAAAAAATACTGCTTAAGGGGGCTAATAATATTAACATTAAAAATGTGAGTACTGTGAGAAATTCCTTGCTCTGTTAAACATTAGTTGGGAAATATTTGAAAATAAAAAAAATCATAGGAGGGCAAATATTTTTGACTAAACTGTGTCCAAATTTTCACTGAAAGTGTGTTTCTGTCTATAAAACACCACTGTGCATTTATTAGTCACACATCACATGCTTTTTTTTCAATTACCTTATGATAAGAAGCAGAAACTGGTGAAACAGGTTCCTCTGGAGAGCATGTGTTTAGAAACGGACTCTCCTGCGCTCGGACCTGAAAAACAGGTACAGGGGATTTTATTTCTGTCACGAAACATGCTTTAATATGCTTCTGAAACTGATTTAAATTTGTGTTTTTACTCTAGGTGAGAAATGTACCGAGGAATATCAGCATCAGTGCCGAATATATCGCCAAAATAAAAGGGGTCTCCTTGGAGAAAGTCATAGAAGTCACTACCCAGAATGCCCTGCACCTCTTCCCCAAATTAAAAACATTTATCAAAGCTTGACATTAAAAGTGCACCTCTGCCTGACTTTTTAACAAATATATCTATTGTATGATCCTTTCTTTCACTTCTTCTTTTAGTTCTATTTACCTGAACACAAGGACAACAATTTCACAAAAGACAACACTGTAAAAATGCAGGGTATCACACAAATCTTTTACGTTGTCCCAACACAACTTGATTGAGTTTGTTTTTGTTAATTGAAGTGGATTGAACGTAAAACAATTACGTTGTACCAAAAAACTAAAGAATAATGTTGTTTCAACTCATTTTTGAAAGTTAGTTTGAACAAGCAGCAAAATCTATGAGTGTATGATTAGTTTAATGAAAAATGTGACAATGTGAAGATGCTCTATTTAATCAATTGAGTTTTCATTTAAAATATAGCCTTTTGTTTACAATTGGAATGAAGTATAATAATATTAAACTTTATTTTTAGGCTTTTTAAAGGTAATATCTCATGTGCAGCAGTAAAAGACAAAAGGATAAATGCTAAAAAAATTTATAACACATGAAATAATAGTAATAGATCTAAAAATTAATTAACAGCTACCCTAAAAAAGTAAGTTTTAAGAGATGATTTAAAATAATCAGGGATTCTGAAGAGGGTAAAGAGTGCCACAATTTAGGTGCCAGTGCTATAGATTTTAACCGCGTTGACTAAGCAGTTAAAAGACTAGCATCAGACAAACGTGAAGCAATCCTTACAATATTTTTGCTTTTTTTCCATTTAAAAGAATTTGTTGTGAAAGCAAGCCAATGTTATATAAGTACTTAAAATCATGGAATATAGTTTTTATCTAAAGATATTTATCATATAATCTCTTCTTTTAGATTTATGATATATTTTTGCATTCACACTGTTAATGATTTTTTTTAAATTACACATTATTTAACATTAAACATTTTAATATGAACTATTTAAAAAATGTGAAGATCCTCTATCATTTGAGTTTTCATTTAAAATATAGTATTTTGTTTATGATTGGAAGCAAATTCGCAATTATTTTTTTTTTTTTGCATTTTTCTTTTACATTTCGAATAATTTGATGAATAATTTCAATAAATTATGTGTTGTGAAACCAAATCAATGACATATGAATACTTATATTCATGGAACAAAAATTGTGCCTAAACATGTATATAAACATATTTATCATGTAATCATATTTTAGACTTTTGTGATGTTTTTACAGACACACTGTTAATGATTTTTTTAAATGACACATTATTTTACTGTGATATGAACTGTTTAAAAAAAATGTGAAGACGTGAAGATCCTCTATTTAATAATTTAAAATATAACATTTTGTTTATGATTGGAAGAAAATTCACAATTTCTTTTGCATTTTTCTTTTACATTTTGATTAATTTGATAAATAATCTGAATAAATTATGTGTTGTGAAACCAAATTAATGATTTATGAATGGTTATAATCATAGAATAAAAAATGTGCCTAAACATATTTACATATATAAACATAAAACACATTGTAAAAAATCACTGTCTTTTTTTTGACAGGGAGAGGGGATAGGTCAGCAAAGGACCTCCAGCCAGGAATCAAACTCAGGTCGACGTAAGCACCATATTGGCACTGACAAATCACTGTATCTTTTACAGCGATTTAACACTGTAAATAGACAGTATTTGGGGTAACGCTTTACAAGTAACACGAGTTACGTAATAGTAATACTTTTCTGGTAACAAGTTACTAAAGTTACGCATTACCTTTAAAAATTAAGTAATAGTATTTGAGTTATGTTTTTATAAAATGTAGTGCGAGTTACTTTTTAGTTTAATCAATTCGCTTTAAAAAAATTGATTGCTGAATTAAAATAAATGTAGTTACGTTGAATCCTGCACGAGAACATGCTGGAACAGACAGAAACGAAGATGGCAGAGCCTTACATTTCTGTAATAGAAATATTCTCATTATTTTAAACACATGAAAGAAAAAGAAAGTAAGATTATCTGAATGGACAGTGATTTTATTTTTTAATAATACAAAAAGTACAAAAGTAGCAAATGAAATTCTTTAAACTTTCATTAATCTGTATATATGGCATGTAGAGCTCTGGGGTCAGGAGGTTATTGGATGATAACAATAATGTTTTTTTAAAGGTAAATAATGGTTATACAGTGCATTATCAGGGTTTCTGCAGATATTACAATGACAAATTTAAGACTTTTTAAGACCATTAAGTATTAAATTTAAGACATATATCGAATGGTCATTCTAAGCTCTTTGACTGAGTTTAACAACAGAAAGCTGACTGGCTACTGCAAGTTGACCTTTTTGTAGTTGTAATACCACAAATTACAATTGGAGTAGTGAAATAAAGAACTACAACACCCCAAAAACCTAGCAACAACAACAACAAAAATAAATGAGCATTAGATACACATATCACAAAAATAAGACCTAGAACAGCGAATTTAAGACTTTTTAAGGCCTTAAATTTCAATTTTTAAATCTTAGACTTTTTAAGACCCCGCGGGAACCCTGGTTATTAGTTGCAGAGCTCCTCTATTTAAAAAACTCTGCTCTGAAAGAGATCAAGCCACAGCCAGGGCAGAAAAAATAACTCAAAAGTCACGTAATGCATTACTTACCATAAAAAGTATCTAAGTAACGCAACTAGTTACTTCTTTAGGGAGTAACTCAATATTGTAATGCATTACTTTTAAAAGTAACTTTCCCCAACACTGTAAATAGATATATGGTGCTGTAAATGTAAATACAGTATTTTTACTGGAATTGATTTACATTTGTTAACAAAGCATGTAAAGACCACCTTCAAGCATATTTGTTGGGATGTTCAGAAACATTACATGTATTTAGTGTAAACTAATTATTTTTTAAACAGGTAAATAATATAATTTTAAAAAATGTGCAAGATTTTACACTTCATAACTAGCATAACAAAATGCATCATAGGGTAAAACTATTTAGGATACAAACCTTATTATTACGATGACAAATTAATGTAATATGATAACACATACCTGCGGTCGATTTTCCTCTACTGTATGTCTGGGTTGGTTTTGGGTCAATCTTCTCCCAACAGAATTATACAGAAGGATAGTTAGGCTATATTACAAGGCAATATCATTAATCTCAAATATGATTGGTGCTTTATATCATTTATCTTGGTTACTAGGGAAAGGAAAACCTGCATTTCTTGATAAACTTAGTTCATCTCAAGTCATGGGGTTTTATACAGTATATATATATATATATTTAGAAAGTTTATTGTTTCCTGTTTCCTCATTCCAGCACGCTAATGTTTGAGAAAGTAGTTTTCTAAAGCAGGTAAATGTTTAATGTGCAAGAAAATGCTGATGTTAATTATGATTATTAATGAATAAATATTCTACTTCTCCTCCTTGTGTACAAGTTAATTAGAGGATAATATTGTGAAAATAAGCATTATATTGTGATTGTGTAAACTTGATACCTTTATGTCAAATGATGTCAGAGTTTAACTTAAGTCTGTACAGTGTATTAATGAATAAAATAGGATTTTAGCACCATAAATAAAAACAATAAAGGCACAATAAAAAAAAACAAGGCTTGTAGATTATAGTGAATAATATTCTGAATATTTTAGAGTTTATTTAATAACTTAATCAAATGGTGTTGTTTGATTGATATTGTTTTATATATTTAAAAGTTATTTTAAAATATGATAAAATACATAAAGAGCTAATTCCTAACAAAGTTTTGTGCAGTAACAGAGATGTTTTTCTGAACATATTGGTATGGTGTTATTGTATAATTTCATGTTGTAAATTGTTTCAATCCGTTAAATTTATTCATACAATCCGTATGAATAAATAAAACTGAATACAACAACTGACTGATTGACGAATTCAGCCTTAGCACCAAAAAGGGCAAATATTTATGTCTATCAGACATAGTTTGGGCTCACAAGCTAGCAACTATTGCAGTTTTTGTTGTTGAAAAAAATATGTTATAAAAATTATTTACATTAAAAATATATATTTTTTACTATAATTAGTGTGAAGAGTTGTTTGTTGTTGTTGTTTAAAATACCTTTAAATATCATACAAAAAATAAATAATAATAATAATAATAAAGAATCCAACAAAGTAACACATACTCTATTAATATATATCTACATTAGCCCCAACAGGGAAACCCAGCAACAATCAAGAATGCAGGATTATATGATGTCAAGGCTTTGCTATTGAAAAATGTCAAATTAATGGAAGTCAGTTGGACAGAAACAGCCTCCAACATAATGAAAGGGTAACTGTTTGCCCAGAGTGTATCAAGTTTTTGAAAATCAAAGCATTTCCCCCCAAAATATCAAAATAATATCAATAAAGTGTCAAAATAAGGCTTATCACCAAAAATCACTACATTTGCTGAAACACCAACACAGAGAAAGTTGTGGCCAAATTCATTCATTCATTATGTGGTCGCCACAGCAGCACATTTTTACGCAGCAGATGCCCTTCCTGCCGCAACCCAACACTGGTAAACATTCACACACACACACACATTCAAACACACACTTATACACTACGGACAATTTAGCCTACCCAATTCTTTGGACTGGTGGGGAACCCGAGCACCCGCAGGAAACCCAAGGGAGAACACGCAAACTCCACACAGAAACGCCAACTGAGCCGAGGATTGAACCTGCGACCAAATTAAGACTCAAAATCCCCCCAGACTGAATTATAACATTCCCAACAGCACAGGGGTTAAAAGTAAACCGAATGTATGATGAATTTCAAACCAACTTCACCGTCGTGATTAACTTGCATTCATTTCACAATATTCACAAAATCATTTCACAATTTTTGTACGTTACCGCTAACGTTGAGTTAAATACGTGAAAGCTAGCGTCAACGGAAGTCTCGCACATTTAAATTTCAAATGCGGTGAGAAAGAAAATGAGGTTTATGAAACAAATTGAACTTAATACTGACAATAAAGGTAGAACCACTGTAAAAACGCTATCTCACCTGTAGATGGCAGGAAACACACACATATGATTGAATCTACGTTGCTCGCAGCGTGAGCGCCGCCTGAAGGAGGGAGCGGAAGTGCTCCAGGAATCAACATTTTACTGCTGCTGCTGGAGGAAACGTGCGGTTTGTTTGCTGGTCTGTTAGTTTGTGTTTAGTCCTCGCGCCACGTCTGCTTGCTGCATTTCCAGATCATATGTTTTTGCATATTATCTTTTGTTTGGACACCTCGTGAAACTTAATGGAGTTTGAACACAGTCAGCTGTTTCATTCACGAAGACTTTAGTAAATGGCACTGAGGAGGACTGCTGTGAGTATATTAGTTTGTTGATTAAAAAAACTGTCTGTCTGTCCATCTATGTATCACCCAATAAATTCTATCTATCTATCTATCTATCTATCTATCTATCTATCTATCTATCTATCTATCTGTCTATCTATCTATTTGTCTGTCTGTCTGTCTGTCTGTCTATAAATATTATCTATCTATCTATCCATCTATAAATATTCTATCTATCTATCTATCTGTCTATCTATCTATCTATCTATCTATCTATCTATCTATCTATCTATCTATCTATCTATCTATCTGTCTGTCTGTCTGTCTGTCTATCTATCTATCTATCTATCTATCTATCTGTCTGTCTGTCTGTCTGTCTGTCTGTCTGTCTATAAATATTATCTATCTATCTATCCATCTATAAATATTCTATCTATCTATCTATCTATCTATCTATCTATCTATCTATCTATCTATCTATCTATCTATCTATCTATCTATCTATCTATCTATCTATCTATTTGTCTGTCTGTCTGTCTGTCTGTCTGTCTATAAATATTATCTATCTATCTATCTATCTATCTATCTATCTATCTATCTGTCTGTCTGTCTGTCTGTCTGTCTGTCTGTCTGTCTGTCTATAAATATTATCTATCTATCTATCCATCTATAAATATTCTATCTATCTATCTATCTATCTATCTATCTATCTATCTATCTATCTATCTATCTATCTATCTATCTATCTATTTGTCTGTCTGTCTGTCTATAAATATTATCTATCTATCTATCTATCTATCTATCTATCTATCTATCTATCTATCTATCTATCTATCTATCTATCTGTCTGTCTGTCTGTCTGTCTGTCTGTCTGTCTATAAATATTATCTATCTATCCATCTATAAATATTCTATCTATCTATCTATCTATCTATCTATCTATCTATCTATCTATCTATCTATCTATCTATCTATCTATCTATCTATCTGTCTGTCTGTCTGTCTGTCTGTCTGTCTGTCTGTCTGTCTGTCTGTCTGTCCGTTCGTCCCTCCATCTATCTGTCACAAATGAATATCATCTATCAGATTAGCAAAACTAGTTTTCCAATGATTTTGAAATAATTAGTTATTTTAGAGTCTTTATGATATAATTATAATAAAATAACAAAATATCCAATAAACAAAAAGAAAGAAAAATTTTGCCTCTGAACATCAGGATTTCTTTGGATGCTTTTAAATCTAATTTATATACTTATTTTAACTTCCTTGCCTTCAAGTGATGCATGCATGCATGTGTTTTTTATATCTGTAGTTCAGTTTATACATATATATATATATATATATATATATATATTTTTTTTTTTTTTCCTATTCTTAATATATTTTTTATTTATTTATTAAATATTTTATTTTATTGTAGAGCACTTTGGATCAACTATGGCTGTGTAAAATTGTGCTCTATAAATAAAGTTTGAATTGCCTATATATTAGTTAGATTAACAATTATAAAAGTTTCTCTGTGATTTTAAAATAGTTTTTTTGTGACTACATTATAGCATAATTAAAATAAAAGAATATATTACAACATCTAATAACAAAACATCCAAAAAACTAAAAAAAAAAAAAAAAAAGTTTAATACACAATTATAAATCAGTTAGGTTAATAAAATTAACAGTTTCTCGGTATAACTAGTATAATTTCTATTTTTATAAATGTAATTTTAGTTCATTTTCTTTGCTAATTTAGTAAATAAATAGTAGATAAATGTCATTATCTAATGATATTGTATTTCAGTAATTACATTTCAGTCTGGATCTGCTTTTACAGGCCTGAATGGTAAAAATGGCTGCCGATATGTTATTGATGAGGGGAATCAACCGATTTAGAAATATCAGATTTAGAGGACGTCAAAAACAAGTCAGTTTTCTCACACCTCAACTAAGAGGACAGGTAAAACTGACCAAACCTATATTTACCAAGATTTTAGGTCAACATTTCCAAAAGCTTCATCCAGTCATAATTAGTTTGTCTTGCATGTTTTGTTTCAGGTCAGCTGCGGTCACCAAACTGCACTCAGTTTTAGTGGCGTTATGGGTGTTTTTGGAAGTGACCAACATCTGTCAAGGCTATTTGGAAAGATTCATCCAGATCAACAGCACATTTACAGTCAGATCGGTTTCTTCCACCAGGATCACAGATATTACAGCGCACTGAAAAAAGAAGGGGTCAAAGGGGTTAAAGCAGATTCCAGAAAACACAACCAAAAGGTACTGCACACTACTGTTGTCAAAATATCAATAAAAAAAAGCAAGATTGTATCATGTAAAATATTTCAGTGTAAATATTAATACGGAAATATTTTAAATGATCCAATTTTGCATTTGGTTGGTATCAATACTGGCTTTGCTCTCTCACAGTCTCTCTTCTCACCAGCATCAATTAATAAGATTCAAACCAGGGTTCAACACTAAGGATTTTTTTCTACTGGCCCGATCGGACCAGTAGTTCAGATTTTTACTTGCCCTGCCAATATTTTCACTGGCCCCACCAAAAAAAGTTAATAGCTATTTCTTAGCCACAAATAAAAAAAAATGTCAAAATGTTTGTAAATCTAGAATTTAAATATTTAAAAAATGTTAAAGTGTTTTGCAAACAAAAGTAGCAAAATGTACAGGTATTTTATTGCAAAACAAAGGATGACTGACCTGCCAAACTAACGGCAAACTATACAAAACATCACTTTTTTTTTTTTTTTTGTCGTGGTTTACCCTCGTAAATGTCTGCTTCCAAGACGTTAGAGACAAATGTTTTCCTTTAGCATCATCACTTGATGTTGCCGCCATGTTGCTGTCTCTTAGCTTTACTGGTTGTTCCGGAAAAAAAAATTACATGCTCACAACAGCCAATCAGATAAGAGGAACCAAGAAGGTAGCATTTGAAAAACACAAACGGTTTCTCTATTCTGACTGTATTTGCACGCAATTGACAAATAGTCACAGGCAAATCAAACTTTAGTTACAGGGCATTAGTGGCCCGATCGGGCCAGTAACGATCCTGTCTACTGTCCCGAGCATCTCACACGCTGGCCCCGGGCCATCGGGCAGTCCTTATTGTTGAGCCCTGCAAACACTTTTGTTTTTATCATAAAATAAGATGAGATTGCACTATTTTATTTTTATTTTATTGTAATGTATTGCCTTTTGCACTTGGCACTTGAGGAATGCTAATGTACCAACTATAAGCATTATATGGGTTATCTTTTTACTTAATTTGTATATTTTTTATGTTGTGGAATTTGTTCCCCATGGTATCGACAGTGTTTTCGAATAATGGTATTTTTCAAGGCATCGTATCGAAGTTGGAAATTCTAGTATCGTGACAATACTACAGCTCAGCGAACTGTAAATGTTCTTGTTGGCTACACTCAAAAAATGATTAGAAACTATTGAACTTAAAGTATTCATAACCTTTCTGCCTAATTATTTTTCATAATGTGTTTTTCTTAGCTCAGTGAAAGTGCAAGAGAGAGAAAAATGCCAGTCACAAGGATTGGAAGATTGGTGAACTTTGGAGGTGAGATGACAGTATTAATATGCACTTAATTTGCCTTTTTTTATATTACCGTTCATATAATGTATAATATCTCTGTTTGTGAAATGTAAAAGGTCTGCAAAGTAATTCTGAACTCCCTGGTCTTGCTGCATGCAATAGCCATAGTAGGTTTTTAACAATTATGGCAATTTGTAATCTATAATCATTGGTTTCTCTGAGCAATATCTACTTTGACTCTCAACCCCTAAAGTTGTAGCTGAGCCTGATTAGAGTTTGTTTTTATCCACTTGTTGAAAGTACTTTGTATGCACCCACAACAATATGAGGACTATGCTCAAACGTTAAAAGTGTCTAACACATTCTATAACTGGTAGACCAGTCACAACAAACTAGGCCACCTTGACTTATCAGAACAAAGCAGTGTAGGCTCATCTGACCAATTAGAGCAGAGTAGGGTCAACAGACTATTCGGAATAGAGCCATCTGACCAATTGTAGCAGAGCAGAGTAGACCAACTGGAGTAGAGCACTTTGACCAATCAGAGTGGAGGCATCTGACCAATTAGAGCAGAGCAAAGTAGACCAACTGAAGTAGAGCACTCTGACCAATCAGAGTAGAGGCATATGACCAATTAGAGCAGAGCAGAGTAGGGTCGACAGGCCAATCGGAGTAGAACCATCTGACCAATCAGAGCAGAGTAGGGTCGGCAGGCCAATTAGAGTAGAGTAGAGCACTCTGACCAATCAGAGTAGAACCATCCGACCATTTAGAGCAGAGTTGGGTCAACATACCAATCAGAATAGAGTATAGCCATTTCACCAATTAGATCAGTGAATGGCCAACAGACCAATTAAATTAGAGTCATCTGACAAATTAGCGCAGAGCAGAGTAGACCAATTGGAGTAGAGCACTCTGACCAATTAAAGCAGAGTAGAGCCATTTGACAAATTAGAAGAGAGTAGAGTCATCTGACCAATCATAGCAGAGCAGGGTCGAAATACCAATTAGAGTAGAGCCATCTGGCCACTAAGACCACAGCACGGTCAAAGGACCAACTGGAGTAGAGCCATCCTACCAATCAGAGTTGAGAAGGGAAATCTGGCCAATCAGAGTTGAATAAAGTTATCTGACCAATTAGAGCAAAGTAAGGGCAAACAGACAAATTAGAGCAGGGAAGAGCCATTTGAACAATTAGAGCAGAATAATGACATCTGGACAATTGGAGTAGGGTCATATGACCAGTCAGAGCAGAGTAGGCTGTCAAAAAGGCGGGGTTTAGACAGACCGGATCATTGAACTGATCGTTTCAGACTCTCAGAGAAAAGAGCTGAAGCTGTAGTGGATATTATGAAAAAATGAAATTGTTTTTTACTTTGTATGGATTAAAAAATGATGAATGCATGATTATTCTTTCATAAAGTCTCTTTTATTATCTTGTTAAATGCTTCAGCAAACAAACAGATGTATGATTTGTCATTATTGACCCAGGATTAGCTGTTGGCCTGGGCATTGGAGCCATCGCTGAAGTGGCCAAGAAAAGTTTTGCATCTCGAGATAATTCAGGTGAGAACACGTGCTTGGTTCAGTAGTGTTGCTGATTTAGTTGATTTTGGTTTAGTTGATTCTCATATTCTCTTTTACAGGACAGAAAAAAGCCATTCTTGACTCCAATCCATTTATATCTGAAGCCAACGCTGAAAGGATTGTTCGGACGCTGTGCAAAGTGAGAGGAGCGGCTCTTAAACTGGGACAGATGCTCAGTATTCAGGGTAAGAGATGACAACTCTATTCATGCAAAGCAGAATTAACTTAAAACGATTCTTGTTATTTAGCTAGCATAGCTTAAACTGATAAACATATTTGTTGCAAAACAATTTCTATTTTAAATGAAGGCTATTCTCTAGAACTTTGTCAGAAAATGACTTTTGCAACAAACCACGTATTTAAAATGAGCCGAGTTGTTGAAAATGTAAAAGGCAACATTACTAAATTTCATTTTGTTTTATTATGTTTAAATCTATGTTTATATCTTATTATGTTTAACTAATCTAATAATTGAAATGACACAACATCCTAGCATTATTCATGTAAATTCAATTTGTCATTACTAATTTTATTATTTTAAATCATTTAAAATTATTTTATTACTTCACTACTTGGCATAACATCCAGAAATATATCATCTTAAAGGGCCATGAAACCCCCGTTTTCAGACCCCTAGTTTGGAAAGTGCGTGAGTCCAGCTTTGGGTGGGAGTGTCGAGTGGCGAAAGAGGGAAGGGTTTGCATGAAAAGGGGAGTTTCTGTACATGCACTACAGCTGATTTTCACATTGGCAACACAAACACAGATGCTGGGGAGGAGGAGGTGGAGGATTTTAAGTCCATTATATTGTAGTGACATTACTGTGATCTTAATAACTAACAAAAAAAAGTAACTAACTTTAACTTTAACTAAGAACATTTATTACACACTAACCAAAGACAGGACAATCAACTGGAACTTCATCTTTTTTAACAAAAGACCAGCGACAAATCCGTTTTTACCCTTTCCAGATTCAAAGAGTTCTTGTGTAAAAATGTTCCTTAGAAACATATTTTTGTTGCGTGTGAGCAGACTACTGTAATCCACACATGTGAGAGCTGCACTCTCATCATGGTGAAATGGAAACAAAACCTTCGTTGCACAATAGAGCGCGCTGATTGGTTCGAACCAAGTTTTTATGAATTAATGAACAGATGTGCTGAAACATGTCACTGTGTTCTGGCCAGTACAGACAGCCGATCTCCACATTGGAATTTACACAATGATCTCAATGACGTTCTTTTTAAACCGGAAGAACAAATTAGCTCTAAACAACGCAAAACAACCAATTTCCACTTTTTTTGAAAAATATACAGTGTATCTGGAATGTATTGATAGCGCTTCACTTTTTCCATATTTATGTAACAGCCTTATTCCAAAATGGATTAAATTCATGTATTTTGTCAAAATCCACACAATACCCCATAATGACAATGTGGAAAAAAAATTTCAAATGTTTTTGAAATTGTTGCAGATTTATTAAAAATAAAAATAACATTTACAAAAGTATTTACAGCCTTTGGCGTGAAGCTCTAAATTGAGCTCAGGTACATTCTGTTTCCACTGATCATTCTTAAGATGTTTCAGCAGCTTAATTGCAGTTTACCTGTGGTCAATTCAGTTGATTGGACATGATTTGAAAAGGCATACACCTGTCCATAGAAGGGTATGACAGTGCATTTCAAAGCACAGAGCGGGCATGAAGACAAAGACCTCTGTCTGTAGACCTCTTAGATAGAATTGTCTCATGGCACAAGGCTGGGGAAGGTTACAGAAAAATGTCTGCAGCTCTAAAAGTTCCAGTGAGCACAGTGGCCTCCACCATCTATAAGTAGAAGATGTTTGGAACCACCAAGACTGCCAGCTAAGCTGAGTGATCGGGGAGGAAGGGCTTAGTCAGGGAGGTGATCAATAACCCGATGGTCACTCTGTCTGAGCTCCAGAGTTCTTCTGTGGAAAGAGGAGAACCTTACAGAAGAACAACTATCTGTGCAGCAATCCACCAATCAGGCGTGTATGGTAGAGTGGCCAGACGGAAGACACTCCCTGGAAACTGTCAAAAGTCATCTGAACGACTCTCAGACCAAAAGAAACAAAAATCTCTGGTCTGATGAGACTAAAATTAAACTCTTTGATTTGAATGCCAGGCGTAACGTTTGAAGAAAACCAAGCACCGCTCATCACCAGGCTGATACTATCCATTTCAGCAGCAGGAACGGAAAGACTAGTCAGGATGGAGGGAAAGATGAATGCAGCAAAGTACAGAGACATCCTGAATGAAAACCTGCTTCAGAGTGCTCTTGACCTCAGACTGGGGCGACGGTTCATCTTCCAGCAGGACATTAACCCAAAGCACATTGCCAAAATATCATTGGAGTGGCTTCACAACAACTCGGTGAATGTCTTTGAGTGGCCCAGCCAGAGCCCAGACCTGAATCCTATTGAAGATCTCTGGAGAGATCTGAAAATGGCTGTACACTGTCGCTTTCCATCCAATCTGATTGAGCTTGAGAGGTACTGCAAAGAGGAATGGGCAGAAATTCCCAAAGACAGGTGTGCCAAGCCTGTAGCATCATATTCAAATAGACTTGAGGCTGTAATTGCTGCCAAAGTTGCATCAACAAAGTATTGAGCAAAGCATTGAATACTGATGTACATGTGATATTTCAGGTCAAAAAAATGTGTGTTGGTGTTTCATGACCCTTTGAGGTTTTTAATATAGGCTCATTTTGCACGCACACACACACTCGGAGAGAGCTCTGTCTGTGCTGATGTTAAAAGCATGAAGTCAAACACTTATTCTTCACTGTTGGTTTTCTGTTTCGCTCTCAACTCTGGACACTGACCTGTCTGCAATGTAGACTTTAGCGTTTAGGGTGAAGAATGTAACTAAAATATCATGGTAAATATTACAGCCCTTCCTCTCAATATGGTCTTTCTACTTGTTAAAAAGAAATTTGATCCTGACAGGAGGCTGACAAGATCACATTAAGCCTGTGTTTACATGCTGTGGTCTCTCCAAAGGGTAATAATGTGGTAAATGTCATGTCATTAAGGTGAACAGCTCGGCAAGCTGGAGTATGTCACAACCCAAAATAAGAAAACCAGCTGACCACAATAGTGTTTAGCGCTTCATACCGTTCGTGCTGCTCAAGTCATCGATATATATATATATACACGAGTTCACACTGATTCTGGAGTTTTCTATCTGCAGATGATGCTTTTATAAACCCTCAGCTTGCCAAGATCTTCGAGCGGGTTCGACAGAGCGCCGACTTCATGCCTGCCAAGCAAACGATGGTATAGTCTCAAATGTGAGAGTTGAAAACACAAACAGACAGATTTGCCTACTTAGTCCTCATTTAATATCTGTAATATTTTATGAATTTATTTTTTAAGGGTCATAAACATTTATATTATCATTTAATATCTGTAAAAAAAAAAAAAAAAAATATATATATATATATATATATATATATATATATTTATTTGAAGCATAGTTTATAATATATTTTAATTGTGCTAAGCTAATTTGTGCTATCAACATGTTAATCTGTTAGAAAAACATCAGCAACATATTAATGTTAGTCAGCATGCTATTTCATGTTAGATGCATGCTAGTATGTTTTTTAAATGATGCTAACATAATTAAGCTAAAGCATGATAATTCATGCTACCAATAAAACTTGCTAGAAACATGATAGCAATATATGAACTGATGCAAAAACATGCTAAGAACATATTAATGTTAATCAATGGGCCAGTCCATGTTAGAAGCATGCTAGTATTGTTTTAAATGATGCTAACACATTTGAGGTAAAAACATGGTATCAGACATGCTCATTCATGCCACCATTATTAGCTAGAAACATGTTCGCAGCATGTGAATTCATGCACAAACATGCTAGCAACATATTTATTTTAGTCATGGAAACAACATCAATTCATGTTAGAACCATGCTAGTTTCATGCTAAAAGCATGTTAGGAAACATTAGTTCATGCTACCATTATAACTTGCAAGAAACATGTTAGCAAATCATGCTGACACATGCTAGCAAGTTGTGAATTAGTTATATCAACATGTTAATCAAGTTAGCATCACATTAATTAGTGCTAATAATAAGCTAGCCTTGTTAGCAGAATGCTTATTCATGCTAGAAACATATTAGTTCATATTAACAAACGTAGATTCATGCTGACACATGCTAGCAACTTGTGAATTAATTCTACCGACATGCTAATCAGGTTAGCAGCATGTTAATTAATGCTAATAATATGCTAGCCTTGTTAGGACAATGCTTATTTGTGCTAGAAACAGTAGTTCATGCTCGAAACACTTTAATTATAGTTCATGCTAGAAACCTGTTAACAAACAAGTAAATTCATGCTAAATCATGCTAGCAACTTGTGAATTAATTCTATCAACAGGTTAGCAGCATGTTAATATAGTGCTATACATGTTAATCATGTTAACATTATGTTAATTAGTGCTAATAAAACGCTAGCCTTGTTAGGAGAATGCTTATTCGTGCTAGAAACATAGTATTTCATGCTTAACACTTTAATTATAATCCATGCTAGAAACATGTTAACAAACAAGTGCATTCATGCTAAAACATGCTAGCAACTTTTAAATTAATTCTATTAACATGTTAATCATGTTAGCATCACGTTAATTAGTGCCAATAATATGATAGCCTTGTTAGCAGAATGCTTATTTATGCTAGAAACATGTTAACAAACATGTAGATTCTTGCTCACACCTGCTAGCAACTTGTGAATTAATTCTAGCAACAGGTTAGCAGCATGTTAATATTGTGTTATGCATGTTAATCATGTTAGCATCACGTAAATTAGTGCTAATAACATGCTAGCCTTGTAAGGAGAATGCTTATTCGCGCTAGAACAGTAGTTCAAACACTTTAATTATAGTTCACGCTAGAAACATGTTAACAAACAAGTGCATTCATGCTAGAACATGCTAGCAACTTGTGAAATAATTCTATTAACATGTTAATCAAGTTAGCATCACGTTAATTATTGTTAATAATATGATAGCCTTGTTAGCTGAATGCTTATTTATGCTAGAAACATATTAGTTGTTCATGCTAGAAACATGTTAAAAAACATGTAGATTCTTCCTCACACATGCTGAACAATAATTCTTCACAATAGTTAGTATTGTGTTATGAATATTAATCATGTTAGCATCATGTTAATAAGTGCTAGTAACATGCTAGCCTTGTTAGGAGCATGCTTATTCCGGGTTAGAAACATAGTAGCTTATGCTAGAAACACGTTAATTATAGTTCATGCTAGAAACATCATATGCTAGAAACATGTTAACAAACAAGTGAATTCATGCTAAAACATGCTAGCAACTTGTGAATTAATTCTACCAATGCTAGTCATGTTAGCAACATTTTCATGTTACTCGTGTCAGCAACATTTTGTTTAGAAGCAAGCTAATTATGTTAGCAACTTGTGCATTAATTATATCAATATACTTTTCATGTTAGCAGCTAATGCTAATTTTACACATCAGCCCATTTTTTTAGCCTTTTTATTAGGATCACACAAGTCAGAAGGTCTTCGTTTCTATAATTTCTCAGAAAATGGTTGTCAGTGATCTGGGTCCAAACTGGCAGGATCATCTGGAGTATTTCGAGGAGCGTCCATTTGCAGCGGCGTCTATCGGACAGGTTCATCTCGCCCGCATGAAGGACGGCAGAGAAGTGGCCATGAAAATCCAGGTACCAGAACTGCTTGCGTTTATCTCTTGTGTGTTTTTTGGCTTTCAATGGCCAATCTTGATCATCTTCATCAACATCATCAGTATCCAGGAGTGGCGAAGAGCATCAGCAGCGACATCAACAACCTGCTGACTCTCCTCAGCATCAGCCATGCTCTGCCTGAAGGTCTGAGTCCTGTTTTAGCAGAGTTTATTTATCATTTGAGCTTTGCTGTGACTGGATCTGATCTACCGCAGGTCTGTTTCCTGAGCATCTGATTGAGGTCATGAGCAGAGAACTGGCCCTCGAGTGTGATTATATTCGGGAGGCCAAATGTGCCAAAAAATTCCAGTGAGTTTTTGAAGAATTACACTGTAAAAAGCATTCTTGCTGACTTTACTTTTTTAGTTGGAATCAAATCAACTTTTCAAGTCCTTTCAGCTTACATAAATCAAACTGACTTCCAATATTAAGTTCAACTTTTTATAACTTAAAAAATTAGTTGATTAACCTGATTAACCTATTTTCCCAGTGATGGGTTGCAGCTGGAAGGGAATTCGCTGCATAAAACATATGCTGGATAAGTTGGCGGTTCATTCCGCTGTGGCGACCCCAGATTAATAAAGGGACTAAGCCGAAAAAGAAAATGAATGAATGAATGATTTAACTTATTAAAATAAGTTTAGGCAACAAAAAAAGTATTGACTTTTTGTCATTTTTACAGAGTAGTTGTAAAGTATGAATTTTGATTCGGAGCGTAGAACATTTAATATTCGTTAACTGGCTTTGAGAAGCCTTTATTTCTTAAGGTTAAGCTTTCAATAGATATTATTTTATTAATATTTTAAATTAGCTTTGTATTTTAATAGTTCTTTATGTTTTATGAAGTCAAATCATCTTGTTTTCAGATTGAAATGTTTGTATTTGGACTAAAAACAAGACAAAAATTCTAAGAAAGGGTTTTTGCGTATGTGTGTGATTTTTGCTATTTCTTGTGCGAAATGTTTTAAACTCTTGAAATTTTAACAGTCACAGGCCTTAAAAATGCATGAAAAATGATCAACTTTTCACTTGTGGTTAAACTCTACAAATCACATTTGTTCTGTGTCTCCTGGTCAAGTATAATTAAGACTCCACATTGCAGATCCTGTGATGTGACAACTGTGGATGTGCACATTGCTATAACTTTGCTAAAACGTGATATATTGTGCAGCCCTAATTTTTTTTTTTAATTTAATGATTTAATTTTTTTCTTTATTTTTCAAATGTGATTTTTGTTTGTTTGTTTGTCGCCAAATCAAATTTTTTTTAGCTATTTTTCATAGTTTTAGTCATTTAAGTACTTCAGATTTTTTCAGATCCCAAAGCAACAATTTACAGGTTTTCCTCTTTTTCCAAATATTTGATATTATTTTAGCTTTTATATTTAACACATTTCAAATTTATATTTACATTTACCCTTTAATATTTTTCGTTTGAATGTTTTCTGAATTAAAGTTCTACAATATAATATTTTGCCTTTTTATTTAGCAAACACTAATTTTAAAAATAATTTATTAAAAAAAATTTTTGTTTATGTTAATTACTCATTTCTATTTTGTATTTTATTTTTCTTGCAAGTTTTTTTTTTTAATTTTAAAAATGTAAAATTTTTAAAAGTAACTTTAGCACTCAAAAATCTCTCTGTGGCTGAGGTTAAATTGCTAATTATCATTTAGGTTTTTTATCAAACACGACATTTTTTACTGTATTTTAAATAATTTTAGTACTTCAACTTTTGATTTTTGTTAATTAACAAATAACAGTTAAATAGCAGTTTAGATTTTTAATTATTATTAACTCCATACGTACATTCATTCATTTTCCTTCGGCTTAGTCTGTATTTCAGAGGTCGCCACAGCGGAATAAACCGCCAACTATTCCAGCATATGTTTTGCACAGCGGATGCTCTTTCAGTCGCAACCCATTACTGGGAAACACCCAGGGGCGGACTGGGACAAAAATTCATCCCTGGCACTGTAGCCACATCAGCCCACATTACCACACCAACACAACCCACCCACGGACACGGACATTTTCTATTTATTTTGGTGTACAGATGGTGAAATAATATGACATTCTTGCCGGATTTTGATTACGTCCGGGTAACCTCGGATTGGGTCGGCCAATCTTGCAATCAGGCAGCCGTCACCAATTGGGCCAAATGCATAACATATGTTATTATTATTATTATTTTTTTTATCATCATCATCATAATATCACATCTAGCAAGACATAAAAGCTGCCTGCACGTAAGAACAATACATATTTAAAAAAAAAAAAAAAAACTGACCGGCCCACATTTAAAAATTGGTCCGGCCCTTCTGGCATTTGCCAGAATTGCCAGATGGCCAGTCCGCCCCTGGAAACACCCATACATTCTCATATTTACACACACTTAATACATTACAGACAATTAGGTTTATTCAATACCCTTATAACGCATGTCTTTGGACTGTGGGGGATACCGGAGCACCTGGAGGAAACCCACGCCAACATGGGGAGAACATGCAAACTCCACACAGAAATGCCAGGTAACCAGTAACCTTCTTGCTGTGAGGCGACAGTGCTAAACACTGAGCCACCGTATCGCCCACCCAATCTGTTCACTGTAGTTATCACAGACCAAATTGACCTCACAATTGCTATTTTGGTAAGCATAGTATAACAAGTATGAAGTACATCTTGTTTGATTTAGATTTTCTGGAACATTCAGTGACACTTTCTGACACAAATCTGTCTTCAATTCACTCATACCAGGCAGCTACTGAAGGGTCATCCATTTTTCTCAGTGCCAAATGTTGTGGATGAACTGAGCAGTAAACACGTCCTCACCACAGAGCTGGTGTCCGGTTTCCCTCTGGATAAAGCTGAAGATCTGCCACAGGAGCTCAAGAATGAGGTGAAGCGTCCATACGTACCTGCAAACATAGTATTAAAGGGATAGATTCACTCACTATTTTTACTCATCCTTAAAGGGAAGCTGTAATGAGTATCCCCAGGGGAAATTAAAGAACAAAGAAAATAATTAGCATAGTTCTGTTCAGAGTGTATTTAAACACGAGATGCAAAAATGAAGTGCTATAAATGAAATGAGTATTTATATAAACAAACATGTAAAGCATATGAATATTTCTAACAAAATGTCTAGTACATTAAGACAGAATGAGTGTGTTATATTGGTGCTTATCAAGCCCGCTTACCTCCGTGGAGCAGATTCATGCATCACACTGTTATTTAATGCATTGTGTGTATGATTTACTAAAAATATAGGTATTAAATAGTTTTGAACTGTGAGAGTGTGTCTGAGCCTCGGACATTATCATGAAGGCTGCTCTAGAGTTGGGGGCCATAAATGAGAAGGCTCTACCTCCTTTAGTAGACTTTGCTAATCTGGGTACCACCAGAAGTTTTGAGATCTTAAAGATCTCACAATTGGATTGTAACAAGACAGAAGGTTGGTTAGATAAACAGGAGACTATTTAAAGCTTTATAGGTATTAAACATTTGGGGAAAAATGTATGTAAAATTAATACATTTTTAACAATAAAGGCTGATTATATATTAACAGTGTCGCCACACAACTGTGTTATACAAGTGGTTTTTGCATAATGGATCCCCTTCTGTTCAAGGCTAAAGAAGATATTTTGAGGAAAGCTGAAAATCTGTAACCCTTGACTTTTATAGTATTTGTTTTTCCTAATATGGAAGTCTATGTTTACAGGTTTCCAACATTTTTTAATATATCTTCTGTTGTGTTCAACAGAAAATTCATCAAGGTTTTGAAACGAGTAAATGATGACAGAACTGAGTTTGTGTGAACTATCCCTTTGATGTAGCGTTCATCATTTTTTATTTATAACATTCATAATTATTCTCTTTGTCAGATCTGTGAGCAGATCCTGATCCTGTGTTTGCGTGAGCTTTTCGAGTTTCGATATATGCAGACAGATCCAAACTGGTCCAATTTCTTCTTCGACCCTCAAACACACAAGGTATTTCTCACTATTTGTTTGGACTCGTTTCATAATCTTTATTGCGGTTGCAGTATATATTAGGGCTGGGCGATTAATCGAAAAGTAATTGACATTCAGAACCTATAATCGATCTAAGATCGATTTTACAGGTAAATTTTTTTAATTACTTTCCCTTCCGTGTGGAGTCACATGACCCCGCTCTGTTAGGGCTAATCTATACTTGTATTATGATTTATACTTATTATATTATTCTGATATTATACTTCTTACTTTAGTACTTACTTACTAGTAATTGAGCATAATTACTGTACCAAACTTGTCAGTGAACTGACATAAAACAAAAAATAATCGTTCATTAATTGTATTCGAGTTAAACTGTTCAATTAATCGAGATTTTGGTTTTAGGCCAAATCGCCCAGCCCTAGTAAATATTGCTTGCTTTTCATATGCAGGTCGCGCTGTTGGACTTTGGAGCCACGAGAGGCTTCGATGCAAGTTTTACAGATACATATATTGAGGTAAATATGACTTTATATACATCATCTGCACACTTAAATTATATTAATATCTGGATGTCATGAAATGTCTTTTTTTTTTGTATCAGATTATCAAGGCTGCTGCAGACAGGAACAGAGAGGGAGTTTTACAACGCTCGATTGATATGAAATTTCTGACCGGATACGAGTCAAAGGTAAAACAATTCACAAGTCTGCTGAGAAAACACCACAATGCTTCAGTCAAACATTTATTTAATAAAAAGTACAATAATACTGTAAAAACTGCAGAACATTTAGAGCTCTTTTTTTAAATCAGGAAATACCAACTGGTCTTTTATTTGCTGAGATTAAAATCAAGGGTTATTAATTGGAAGTGAAGCACTCAAGTTTACATTATTTTGTAAATTGGTTTCCACTCGATTAATGTAACCATTTTGAAGAAAAGGGCATGTTTTACTATAGATTTAAGCGCAAGGGCGCCACCATCCTGGAATATCACTGTCTGATGCCCTCAGCTGAACAGATCCAGTAGAGCTGCATGATTCTGGCTAAAATGAGAATCGCGATTTAAAAAAAAAAAAAATGTTTCTGTTTGTGTTTTTTTTTTGCTTAAAATAAGGATCTCATGATTCTATAGATATAAAATAAAGGTTAATATGAGTAGGCTTTTATTATTGTTATTTCTCAAACAGACATTAAATTGGTCCTGGTCAATAATGCACAGTAAAGTGATGACATCAGAATACAACTATTCATAATTCTGATGTTGAATTATTATGTTTGAGACGCATGCTTGCAATCTACTAGTAAAATCAGACATTTGTCATTATCAGATTCCCTCTTGCATTATATTCAATTTTATATAGGCTAGAGTAGTTATACTGACACTGTTAAACATTTATTCTCATGCACAACACTCTGTGTTCACTATAAAAGAAAAAAACATATCAAATGCTTGTCGCAATCATAACTCCTACAATGCGATTTGAATATTAAAATGATGTGCACGCTTTCGGTTTCATTTTCACGGCTCCCAAACGATCACTCTATTCCACAAACTGAATGTTATTTACAACTGTATTACCTGTTATTCACAGCCTATGCAGGTTCTGTTTACTAAAGTAGACAGTAGTCATTCACAGGTGCGCCCACCCTCTCTGTAGTAACAGGTCACGGTCAACTCACGTCACATGTGATTTCCTGGCCGCGAATACATCCTTACATTATGACATTAATGACATTTTTGGGTAAATTATACCTTATAAAAACAGTATGTTAGAACAGCGTATGTAAAACAAAGACTTGTGTGGCTGAACTTGAAAATATGATTGGCAGAATCGTAAAAATGCTGAATCATGATTGTCTAGGGCTGAGCTATTTAATTGGCGGCCAAAGGCAATTTGTTCCGGCCCTCCAAACAGTGTGACTAACACATCAAAAATAAATTTAGTTCAGTCGAAAAACGGCCGCTACAGTTATGAAGTGACGTGCTCTTTTCAATATAGCATGAGCTGCAGTAGAAGGCTGCGCAGAGCGTGAGTCACTATAAGCGAGTGGCACGTGCAGCCTAAAAACATTTGGATGTGTTCCTAGAAAAGGACTTTTGTACATTGCACTGATATCATAAAGGCTTCTTTAAGCCGCACGAAACGAAACTGCTGCATTTTAACAAAGTTATGCCAAATTGCCAACTGTGCGCTACTTTAAAGTTCACCAAGCACACAAATACGCACATACACGGATTAACTACAGCAGCGGCCGTTCCCATATCACGTCTTTTTTGCTTGCAAGTTTGTTATTTCTAATGTCAGAATATATGACAATATGCGCACACAAGCGGAGCGACCCGCTTGCAGTTTTGCAGGCACACGCAGTAGAAAACATCTCACGGTGAGGGTTGTGCCTGTCTTTCAGTGCAATGTAAACAAAAGATATGTTAGACGAATTATTATTAAAATGATCATGTACTGTATGTATGAATGCTGATGGCAACAACAGTTCTTCCAAATAACTTACCTAATATAAAGCTTGAATTTACATTAGACGTGATAACCGTGAAATCATGATTATTCTTCAGACTATATAATCATACAACCAAAATCTATAATGTTGCGTCCATGATTGTTATACAGTTCAAAACATAACATATGAATGTGTCTGAATGTAGAAGAAGCATACTTCAGCAATGCACTGCTTTTGTTGCGCTTTAAAATACAACATTTGAATGTTTGTAAAAAAAATATAAATAAATAAATAAAAAAAAGTCTATTGTACAATGCAGTGATTTTTATGTAGTTTCAAAATACAATATATTCACATTTTAATGTAGAAAAAGCCAACGTGGGTGTCTTTATGAGCACAAATACAGCATATGGGCTTTTATATGCAAGGTGTCATCACTCATATAGCAAGTCATATCTCTCCGGCCCTTCGTTTGGGATGCTTTTCATGAACCAGCCCCCATGACAAACTAATCGAATAGCCCTGGTCTAGGGGGTCGAATCGAGATTACAATCTTTTTTTTCCGATTAATTGTGTAGCTCTACTGTACAGTTGAATTATAAGCCCTCCCCCCCTGAATATTTCCCTCAATTTCTGTTCAAAATTTCTAAACATAATAGTTTTAAAAACTTATTTCTAATAACTGATTTATTTTATCTTTGCCATGATGACAGTAAATAATATTTGACTAGATATTTTTCAAGATACTAGTATTCAGCTTAAAGTGACATTTAAAGGGTTAACTAGATTAATTAGGTTAACTAGGTAAGTTAGAGTAATTAGGCAAGTCAATGTATAACAGTAGTTATACAAATAAAATAAAAAACTGGTGCTGTATGTAAGTTTTTGACTCTTCTAAAGCATAAAAATACCATCAAATGTATGAAGATATTTAAGAATTAAATAATTGCTAAGTGAACATGTTTAACATGTTTAATGCTGAACTCAGATATTCTGCTTTGAATATGTGCATTTCGTGCCGGAACATCTGTCTTTGTTTTAGGCCCTTTAACCTGCCCACTGCCACTTCAGCCAATTTTATTTCAGCACACCGGGTTGCCTTGTTGGAAAACCGCATATTAAAGCGTACATACGTGATCGAAATGGGACCTCCAGTAGACAGAAGCAGACTCCGAGTTCCACATGAGGTGGTTATTAATTACATTATATATATATATATATATATATTTGTGGGTTACATTGTAACCACGTGTTCTAACAACACGCTTTGTAATGAGATTTGCAGTGCTAAGCAATTGGGCTGTTTGCACCAGAAACACAACAGAAATTAAAATGTAATTTAAAAATAGCTATTCAGAAGCACAGAATATGCACTCACTCAGGAAATTATAAGGTTTATAATCTAATTAATGCATATTAAACCTCTTTAACATTATTAGATGTAGATGCTGAATCACTGATATGTGTTGGTTTGCATTATTTCACAGTTCTAAAGTTCAATTTCAAACGTTTTATTTTATTTTCAAGATCTGAGGTGAACTATCTGCTGCTGATTTCAGTATATGGCTATAAATGTCATGTAAAACGGCATTTAAACTCGCATTGTTAGCATTTAATACTGAATAAACCACACGAGGTGTACCTGCAGTGATCATGCTATCATGTTTTCTGTTCAGCTGCAAGAAATAGAAGATATAAATTTCAGGTGTTGGTTACGGAAAAAATCTTAATATAGAAAATATTCCTTTTATAGCATGCCGTTACTTGTATTTAGAAAACGATTTAAATCAGCACTTAGTCTCGATAGTCAGCCTCGCTCCTGTTGGTCCTCAATCTGGCAACCTGCACTTGTGTGCGTTTTGAACCAGGAAAGCACAAACTACTTCAACCACTGTGTGTCAAACTTACATACTGCACATTTAAGGGGGCTAATAATATTGACCTTAATTAATAACTGCTTTTATTCTAGTTGAAATAAAACAAATCAAGACTTTCTACAGAAGAAAAAATATTATTGGAAATAATGTGAAAAATGCCTTGCTCTACTAAACATAATTTGTGAAATATTTGAAAAAGAAACAAAAATCACAGGATGGCTAATAATTTTAACTGTTTATCTCCATAATTTAATTAGATTATTGTAAAATGTTGCTGTTAATTTTGTAAAATATTTTGTTGATTCAGTTAAGCATTGTTTTTAGAAATTAATAGTTTTATTTGTAGAAATGACATTCTCAGGTCTTAATGCCGCACAGTTCTTAGTATAATCTGTATATTTTGACTCTTTTTCTTGGTTTTAGTCGATGGTGAATGCTCACGTGGATGCGGTGATGATCCTCGGCGAAGCGTTTTCATCAGACGAGCCGTTTGATTTTGGATCTCAGAGTACGACTGAACGGATCCACCGTCTGATTCCAGTGATGCTGAAGGAGCGTCTGACTCCACCGCCGGAGGAAACCTACTCTCTGCATCGCAAAATGGGAGGATCCTTCCTTATCTGCTCCCGTCTGAAGGCCCAGATCTGCTGCAAGAACATGTTTCAGGAGGCCTACGCCAAATACTGGAGAGAGAGACACAAGGAAACCGCTCAATGAACAGTGCACATGTAGCAGACTCCAAAACTATCAAAGACATTACTCTGAAATGAGGAGTATGCACTTGGTTTGACCTTTTCTTCTTTCTTTACTGCGTCATTTGGTGCTGATGAATTGATATATACTTCAATAATGTCATTTAAGAGAATGTGAAACTGTGGTCACCCAAAAATGAAAATGGAATTACTATTTAGTCTTCCTCAAGTGATTTCAAACCATTTTTGGTGTCTTTTTTTTTTGTTGAACACAAAAGAAGATATTTTGAAAAATGGTTGAAACCTGTAACCGTTGACATCCAAAGTAGGAAAAACTAATTCTATGGAAGTCAATGTTTTCAGCATTTTTCAAAATATCTTCTTGTGTGTTCAACAGAAAAAATGACAAGACAGAGTAGGGTGAGTAAATGATGAGAGAATTTTCAGTTTTGGGTGAACTGTACTTTTTAAGACTGGTGGTTTGCTTTCAAAAGTTTTGCATGTAAAATGTTGCAGATCTAAATTTGTAGAACATAATTAAAGTATCACCTAAAATCAAGATGACGGGAGACAATCAATGATATTTTTATCTGTAATAAAAATGTCAACATCTTTGCATTAATCACAAATCGTGTTCAAGTTTATGAAGAGTTGATAATTAAATGCACTTTGCAGAAATTTCTGGGGAATATCTGTTGACTTTGCAGAACCTAATTGAAAATATGACAGGTATATACATATTCAAGATGATGTCAGACATCAATAAATGAAAGTATCAAATATTTTAACTCCTTAAGAACTAAATCAGAGGAAATCTAACAAACTGAACAAAGTGCACCACATTTGGGTTTCTTTTTTATATGGTAAAGCAGGGGTGTCCAAACTCAGTCCTGGAGGGGCAGTGTCTTGAATAGTTAAACTCCAACTTGCTCCAACACACCTGCCTGGAAGTCTAGTATACCTAGAAAGAGCTTGATTAGCTGGTTCAGATGTGTTTAATAGGGGCTGGAACTAAAATATGCAGGACACCGGCCCTCCAGGACAGAGTTTGGACACCCCTGCCTTAAAGGAACTTTGACAAATCTAGCTAGCATGTTTTCAACTGCCACAAGGCTGCAAAAAGTGCTTTACAGAGAAAAAATAAACTAACGACATGGGCATAAAAACAGTAAAAGCAATAGGCACATAATTAGAAAGAACAAAGAAAATATTTTTTTTTGCTCTAAGTACCTTGGGTTCACCGAGTCAGAATGAACCCTGAACATTCTTAAACTCAAGCCTTTAAACTGTTTTTGATGTTGCCTTTAGATGTTAATGAAGTTGCTCCTTGGCTGTTGAGCCAGCTGTTCTCTCTATCTCTCCATGTTAATGCAGTTTCAACACCATTGACGAGATGGTTCTCTGTGCACCACATGTGTTGGTGTGAATGAGTGTGTATGGGTGTTTGCCAGTAATGGGTTAAGCTGGAAGAGCATCCGTTGCGAAAAACATGCTGGATAAGCTGGCGGTTCATTCCGCTGTGGTCACCCCTGATTAATAAAGAGAAAGACGAAAAGAAAATGACTGAATGTTTTAAGTATATTTGTATAGCGCATTTTACAAGAATTATAATTATTTGTATTATACTTGAATAACATTTCAATAGTTTTAAGTTGTCTATTAATAATATATTAATACCTTTAAATTTAGAAAAAATAAATAAATAAATTAGATTCCCCCACAGTCCAAACACATGCGCTATAGGTGATTTGAATATAATTAAACTGACCTGTGTGTGTGTGTGAGAGAGAGAGAGAGAGTGTGTGTGAGAGTGTGAGAGAGAGAGAGAGAGAGAGAGAGAGATAATGTAAGAGTGTATGGGTGTTTACCAGTACTGGGTTATGGCTGGAAGGGTATCCGATGAGTAAAACATATGCTGGAATAGCTGACGGTTCATTCTGCTGTGGCAACCCCTGATAAGTAATGCACTAAGCTGAAGGAAATATTAGGTAATATTGTTTTTGTTTCTGGATGTTTTTCCTGCGCAGCGCGATGGCGGACAGCGGTGTGATATGTCTGTGTACGTTTATTAATAGGAAGCGCATTAATACAATACGGAAGCCCTGAACCGCACAATGAGGGGGAGAAACTCATTTCGTTGTAATGACATTAACATTATGTCTTATTATTTTACTTTAAAAAGCCGTTATAACGAGATACATTTTTCCCTCACCGTGCGGTTCAGTGCTTCCGTACAACCCACCAGTTTTTAAACTGACCGAAATTACTTTTCAGTTTGAAGCGCAGTCATTTCAGCCAACCAGAATCGAGTAATCACACGGACCACCGTATTACAGTACTTCTACAGTACAAGTTTAATTAACTACAAGATACAAGTTCAATATTACCTCAAAAATAGCCTTTCGTGCTTTTAAATGTCCCTGTGCGGCACGATGACGGACAGCGGCGATTTGCCTGTGAATCTTCCTTTTAATGTGAAGCACATTAATACAAACCACCATTTATTAAACTGACCGAAACTACTTTCCATTGCGTTTGAAGGCAGCGCAGTCATTTAAAATGAAGTAACCAGACAGACCACGGTATAATCTGTTTTTTTTTTTATTAATTGGATTTCTAGTTCTTAATATAGAAATAAATATTGCAGCAGCAGTCACTTTCCAACCAATTATAATTCTAAACAAAAACGTACATAAAGATTCTCTGACAAACCCAACCCTGAGGCCGTGCAATATTATCACCACAGTGAAAATTACAACATAGCAAAACCTTTTCACGAGTTCAGATGCAAAAACCTCTAAATGCCGTCTGAAATAGTCTTCTAAAATGGGCATTTTATCAAGCTGCTGTGTGTAGGTTCACTAATATCACTTTTATGGGAAAGAATAAGTCATTTTTATTGTCTTTAAAGTTAAATAACTCAACATAAACAAAAGACCAAGGCTTAGAAAAATGCTAATTTTCGATGTAAATTTCAGATGGCATTAGGAGGTTTGTGCATCTAAACTCTTCATATATTTGTTTAACAGTACAAATATCTAACTGAAAAGCAAAATGACAAACTGATAACATGTACACTTATGCTCTAAACAAGAAACTAATATATTTATTTGGAGTTCAGAAAATAGACTTTACACCCAGTATTTCTTCTAGTGTCAAGCATTAGTTTGCTTATTTTTAATAGTTATCTTTTATAAATTAAACAGATCTCATTTTGCTTCTCAAGTAAATGTTGATTAAGGTTGCAATCTTTGTACTGTGTAATACAGTAATAAAATATATATTTTAAGTGAAATTATTTATATAAAAATCACCAGAAATCTTAATTTCATGGGTCCTTTAAACTCAGCAGGACAGACATATCCTTAACTTTCCCTAACAATCATATAACATGAAATTTATCACATACATTTGATTTAAAACTGCTTAAAGACAGCATCATAGTAAGTCATAATGCATCATAAAAGTCTCTCATTATCAAGTTTTTTCAATTCAGTGACTGATATATCATGTTTATGCACATACACACAACAAAAGACTACCAGATTTTATGTTATTATTGTGCTGGAGCGGCGACAGTGGCTCAGTGGTTAGCACTATTGCCTCACAGCAAGAAGGTCGCTGGTTCGAGTCCCAGCTGGGTCAGTTGGCATTTCTGTGCGGAGTTTGCATGTTCTCCCCGTGTTGGCGTGGGTTTCCTCTGAGTGCTCCTGTTACCACCACAGTCCAAAGAATTGCACTATCGGTGAATTGAATAAACTAAATTGGCCATAGTGTATGAGTGTGTATGGATGTTTCCCAGTACTGAGTTGCGGCTGGAGGAGCATCTGCTGCATAAAACATCCTGGAATAGTCTTTCTTCCGCTGTGGTGACCCCCGATAAATAAAGGAACTAAATCGAAGGAAAATAAATGAATGCATTGTACTAAAGCCTCAATGTCATACTGTACAAAAAGAGAATTAAATTAAATTTCCAGAAGAGTCATGTTCTTCATTATCATTATTATGAAAGCATATGAAGAGCATGAATAATTTCTGACCAATAAAAGCATGGTTTGATGTTTACAGTACATGCAAAGATCAATAAAAATGGTGATGTTATGAAAACAGCACATCCTAAATTTATTGGATCACAATATTGGATGATATTTAATTTCATATATATGTTGGTCTGTACACGGGAGCTCATGTGAAGAAGCTTTGGACATGAAGTTGCTCTACGTTAAGACACACATTAAGACACATTCAAGCAAACAGAAGGCAATTATAAAATGATGTAAACAAAAACAGCATGATGTGTGGAGACAAAACAAGCCACACAAACTGCAAAGACACTGTGTGTAATACAAACGAATCAGTCTTCGGGATGGTGTGTGTTTGTTGCTCTATTCCTTGATGACCTCCACGTGTGTGTCTGGAGGGATCAGGCTAGCAGTGTCTCCATCTGCTGGACGAACACACAAAATATGAATATTTTAAAGCTAGGCCGGTCACAGCAATCAATACAAGAGCTTATCGCACAACACATGGACATGGCCTCAATCATATTTAGTCATGCGATAAATATTGCCTATACATAAAAACCAATTCTAGCAAAATTTATCATCATCTCTATCTCTATTCTGTGTTGGTATGGTTAAAGAAACGCTATATTATTTACAATAAATTACTTTAGTACATTTTCATGGGGGTGTCTGACAGCTGAAAATAGATCTGGTAGCAGATATCGCAGCTTCTGTTACTTTTTACCTTGCACTTTTCCAATGCCTGATTTTTCAGTTGTTAAACTGGCTATAATTAAATTAAATATTCTTAAGAATAAGATATTAAGAGTGTTGGAAGAGGGCACTTGCATTATGATGATATTATATTGACATTCTAGCATTATATGCAGTAACTAGATATTAAAGTTTGAGGACAAACTTTAAGGTGGCTTGAAAAGCCGAGTCTGAAAGGTTGAAGTGGTTTTTATGAAGTCGGCATAGATGCCACAGCCATGTCACCCTGCAGCCCAAGACCGGTTACTCACTGAAGCTAAGCAGGGCTGAGCCTGGTCAGTACCTGGATGGGAGACCACTAGGGAACACTAGGTTGCTGTTGGAAGTGGTGTTAGTGAGGCCAGCAGGGGGCGCTCAACCTGTGGTCTGTGTGAGTCCTAATGCCCCAGTAAAAGTGAAGGGGACACTACACTGTCAGTGGGCGCCGTCTTTCGGATGAGACGTTAAACCAAGGTCCTGACTCTCTGTGGTCATTAAAAATCCCAAGGCACTTCTCGTGAAAGAGCAGGGGTTTAACCCCGGTGTCCTGGCCAAAGTCTCTCTATCGGCCCTTACGATTATGGCCTCCTAATCATCCCCTCTCCACCTAATTGGCTCTATCACTGTCCCTCCACTCCACCAATAGCTGGTGTGTGGTGAGCGCACTGGCGCCGTTGTCCTGTGGCAGCCGTCGCATCATCCAAGTGGATGCCGCACGCTGGTGGTGGTGTGGAGAGACCCCCCCCTCATGATTGTGAAGCGCTTTGGGTGTATGGCCATAAACAATAAATGCGCTATATAAATACACATTACATTACATAGATAAGTACATATTAGCATGTTGTTAGCCTGAATTAGCATATTGTTAGCATGATTCTAGCATGAATTAGCATTTTACTAGCATGTTTATAGCATGAATTAACATGTTACTAGCACGATTATAGCACAAATTAGCATGTTGTTAGCATGATTATAGCATGACTTAGCATGTTACTAGCATGGTTATTTTTTTATTTTTTTTATTGTAACATATTAACAATACAAAAAGAAATATATATACACATATACATGCCAGGGGGTAAGCATAAATCAAATACAAATATACATATGTAAAAATCAAATAAATACATTGTAGAGTTTACTAGCATGGTTATAGCATGAATTAGCATGTTGTTAGCATGTGCTAGCATGACTAGCATGTCATTAGCATGTTTCTAGCAAGATTAGCATGTCAGTAACATGTTAAAACTACTAGCATGTGTTAGAACAGCTAGTCATAGTTTATAAAACAGTTGCTAGGGTGTTGTAAGTGGTTGCTAGGGAGTGGCTAGAAAGTCTAAAGGTCATCAGTAATAGGCTGCTGGCTAGATTGAGTTAAATGAGCCCAGTTATAAGTCTGTGTGACAGTCTGATGCAGAGTTATGAGCTCACAAAGTTTGACCCGATGTTAAGTCAATGGGAATTTTCTGGGTCGGCTTTTCAAGCCACCATAATGAGTGGCAAAAATGGTCTTAAAATGACAATAATATCATTTATTGCAGTATATTTTGATGCAATATATCGTACAACAAAAAAATAAATATCGTGACAGGCCTATTCACAGCAAAAATCGGTCCTCAGATTATGAAATATCAATGGTGACGGTGATATATTCACCTGATAGAGGAATAGGCATTCCCACAATCACAGGATAACCTGCGGAACAACACAGAAAAATACAATCCATATCAAGACCAATAAAAACTACAACAGTGCAATAAAATATGTAGAACAAAATGAACATGTATAAATAAATAAATAAATAAAAAGTGATTGTCATGAAACAGGTGTTTAAAAGGCAATTGATATTCAGTAATAATACTGAATTAAATGTATGTAAACTAAGTCTCTGATGTCTCTAGAGTGAGTATGTGAGATTTCAGTTCAAAATACCCTACGTATAAAATTAAATAATTCTTTGAAACTGCCCCATTTAAGCGTTGATCATTAATTGTGCCGTTTGGGTGACTGTCGCTTTAAATTCAAATGAGGGCGGAGCTACAAATGCCTACATGTTAGCATAGTGGCAGACTCAAAAACAAGACTGACGTCCTATGCTAATGAGTGAGAGATGGTCACTAAAGGGCGGGGCTTTCCTCCTCTGATGACACGTATAGAGTGGAGGAACTATGACATCAATTTGTATGCAAAAACCCGGAAGCGAGTTAGCATTTTAGCACTTCCGGTTCCCTCGTCCCAAAGTCAATGGGTTTTTTGAATGGGGTTTCAGTAAAATCGCTTAAATAAGGTCCGTGGCAAACACAAATTCAAGATATTTTCACGTTTTGTTCTACGACATAAAACACATCAGTTACAGCACACTTTTGAATTTTTAATTCGGCCATGCTTCTTTAAAAAGACGGTTGCTATCAAGTTGCTAAATGGGACTGCAGGCGGTGTCGGAGACATTATACGTCATCGAGCTGATCTGGTCAGGAGCGCAGCTCGCTTGTGTTGGGCGTTTGGATTTGTCTGTTATTTAGGTATTTTCATGAATAGTATTTTATAGTTTTTTTGTGTTTTTCTTATTAAGAATTCAGATTGTGTATAGATAATGCCTTCACATGTAAAGGCTGTCGAGACAGATTCATTTGTTGATCATTTATTTTAATTAAACTATATTATGAAGATACTGCTCACCAGTGCAGCCTGTCTCCCTCCTGCCCTCAGTAATACAAACGTATGAATAAATGTGTAAAAATGCAGACATATTAACTGTCATTTTAACGTGATCAAGTGATTTTTCGTCTTTTTTTATTTATCTGAACACATTTTACTCAGTCATAACTGCAATATTTACACTCCTCCATAAAACGTATAGCAGATGTGACAGTATGAGCTGCTTTTCGCTGTACGTCGTGACATAAGAGGAATCTTGAATGTTGCTCTGTGTCCATCATGATGGAACTTGCAGCCATTTGATGGACTTGTTCCTCCTCACACCTCATTACTGTCATCTGTTAAGGTAAGCAGGCTGTGTGCGCGAGCGATACACTTAAATATGTCTAATGAAAATACTATATAGGCAGATTTATACACGCAGTTTTAAAACTTTTAGAACAACCGCAAAACAAAACAGATGTATTTCCCATGTAAAAACTATCCAAAAGGCACATAGGTCTATGTTTTTTGTGTATTTATTTGTTTATAATATATAGCGTGGATTATAATATAATATACAGAGAGATTAACTCTGTCATGGACATTATTTCTAAAAATAAGCTTGATAAGTCGTCTGTAGCAGAGTGGGGCTGACGTCACAGACGAGCGCCCCGAGGGCTCTGTAGTCCATTTATAGCCTAATGTTAGCTTTTTAACTGTTGCGTTTGCATTTAAGATCCAAAAGTGCTCCAAGTTGTATTTTCGTGGGAGGATTGTCCGGCTGGACAAAACGTGTAAGTGTAATGAACTGTGTTTGAACACAGAGCTTATAATTTGAAATCTTCGAAAAGCCTATGGGAAAATCCCATAGGGATTTTCACGAGGGAACCAGTTTTATGCTAGCAGCCGATTAGCCAACAAAGTGACGTCATAGTTCCTCCACTCTATAAAGGGAGAATGTCAATCAAAGTGTTTCTGCAGACTGTTTTTATTAAGTGTATTTATAAACAATTCAATTAATACATATTTACCATTAGAAGCTGGTTATATTCACAGACTGTTGCCACGCAACTGTTTAAAAGTGACTAGTGCATAATAGGTCTCCTTTAAATATTAATATTCTTTTAATAAATGATATGTATATGTATTAATGTTTTATTTTTCCACCCAAAATACCCCTTGCATTTTAGTTGTTGTCAATATAATCTACATTATGACCAGAGTTGGGTATAATGTGTTACTGTAAAACATTATTGTCACTTTCTGGGAATGCAGTTATGTAATGCATTACATTTTAATTTGATTTGTGTAAATAGACCACAAGTCCGGCGGCACGGTGGCTTAGTGGTTAGCACTGTTGCTTCATCCCGGCTAGGCCAGTTGGCATTTCTCCGGGTGCTCCGGTTTCCCCCACAGTCCAAAGACATACGCTATAGGTGAATTGAATAAACTAACTTGGCTGTATTAATGCAAGAGTGTGTGGGTGTTTTCCAGTACTGGGTTGCAGCTGGAAGGGCATCCGCTGCGTAAAACATATGCTGGAATAGTTTGCTGTTCATTCCACTGTGGAATTTATCTATCAATTATCATTATTTATTTATAAGGGGTCACCACAGTGGAATGAACCGCCAACTCTCCGGGTGCTTCGATTTCCCTCACAGTCCAAAGACATGCGGTACATGTTAATTGGGTAGGCTAAATTGTCTGTAGTGTATGAGTGTGTGTGTGTGGATGTTTCCCAGAGATGGGATGCGGCTGGAAGGCTGCACAAAAACGTGCTGAATAAGTTGGCGGTTCATTCCGCTGTGGCGACTCCGAATTAAAAAAAAGGGACGAGCCGAGATAAAATAAATGAATGAATAAATGAAAGTTAAATAAATGTATGATAGTACATATCATATAATATATTTTTATTTAACACTTTAACTGCCCCACTAAGACAAAAAAATAAAATGTTTGAACTGTATTTTTTAACTCCTAATGTCACACTTAAACACTTAATGCATTTTTTTTCCCAACACATCCCATAATTTTTCAAATATCAACCTCTACCAAACGGTTGAGATGTCAGTTTATGGTAAAAGTGCTGGAATTAATATATACACTATGAAAAATCTGAAAATATGAAGTTAAGGCTAATTCATTTAAAAGATTTTTAAATACTAAATCATCTTTGCTTTTTTAAGTATGCCATAAGATATTTCAGATTCTCGTTTAACAAGTTTTCTTATTTGTTAATTTATTTTTACAATAAAGCCAAAATCAAGTGTAGTAGTGCAACAGGATTATGTTTGTTTGATTTTCTTGTAAACCAACAATGTTGTTTGTGTAAACCATTATTTAAAGGGTCATGACACCCTCCACTTTCGGTTCAGGTCTACCTCAGAATTTTTTCAAAAGATGCATCATAGTGGGCGTGGAGCTCCGCGAGCAAAGGGCTGGAGTGGGCGTGACCAGCAGGGGAGAAGGAGGGGAGCGCACAACTGTTGTCAGTCGGCTCACAAAATGAGACACAAACTGTGAGGAGACGCATGAGTTTATAATTTACAAAGTTAAAATGCAAAGAAATAAACAGTGATTTAATGCCCTGCTACATTTGTTTTTTGTAATTTTATATACACAAATACAATTTATACAATTGTAAAGACAATCGTGTTCATATAAACACTGAATGAGGACTTTTCCCTTAATCCCCAGGTCTGAATGCAGACTCAGTGCAGCAGCTCTCTTGCCCTGTCTATTTTAACCATTAGCCCTGCTGGTAATCTGGAGGATTGAGGCAAACACAGCAGCACGGCGATGTGTCGTGAACGAACTTCTGATAATAGACAACGTCCGCCATTCTGCGATTCTCGTACTTCTCTCCCGACAAAAAAGCTTGCTGCACACACACAGCTTTGCTGTATTGGCCCTGACAGCATTGCAGGGAAAAACATGCAACAAACCTCGTGGATCATCGAAACAAACACATACGAGCCTTCATGAACAGCTAAATACAGTGTGCCGTGGGTCCGTGGACGCGGTTTCACCCAGTCATCAAGGTAGGATCTCACAGCTTGGCACTGGCAGGTCTGCCTTGCCTTCGGAAAGCACAGTCATGAATAATTAAGAAGCCAGCACTTCTCATAGGATAAGACAACTCAGCTATGAATAATAATGAGAAACCGACACGTCATCTTTACATCGCCGATTTTGATCCGCCCCAAAAATCATTTCAAACCCAGAAGCTGAAATTAGCTGACAAAAGCTCCAAATGATCCAGTTTTTCCCACAATTAAAGCTGACGGGTACTAACATTGTCTTAATTGATGCTAACACACAAATTTGTTAAAATCTTTAAAAAAAAAAAAAAGTACTCAAGGGTTTTGTGAACCTTTAAAAACAATCATTCTTTAAATGACTTTAACAGTCATTACTCAAAACAATCAAAATAATGTCAACCATTTGGTAGAGCAGGCAGTTAAAGAGTAGCAATGGCAATTTTATGGCAACAAATTTCATTAATAAACAAACAAATAAACCAAACAGATGAATACATGAATTAGATACAATGTTTAACATTAATATATGATAACAAAAGTTTTTAAAAATCCTGGTGACATTAATTACACAAATAGTTCTCCAACAAACACATAAGAACACTTAAAGTACACATGAAACTAAAACTAACCATGTTGATTTTGTTAACTCACATTGCTAGATTTTGTGGTGAACAATTCATCTGTGCATGTCATTAAGAAAAAAATGTTGCCTCTGTAATCTAAAATTGAAGTCTGAAAAGTGCATCTGATGGAAAGAATCAATGTTCACCTGAATCTGCAGCTGGAGCCGGAGAGGGAATGGGCTGTCCTATTATTACCGTTTCATTATCTGTAAATCACAAAAAACAGTGTGATTTTCTTAAACAACAGGTAGAATCAGAGATATGCTGTTTGTAGATCTGAAAACACACCTCTGCTGCGCTCTTCCTCCTCCGCCAGCTCTTCTGGATCTACATACTGGAAATTATCTGGAGGCTCTGAACCGCCACATTTCCCACAGCAGAAACAGCAGCAGCAACAGCAGCAGCAGCACGTTAAGATCGTCCCTATACAGAGAAGAGTCTGACACCACACACACAACAAACAAGGTTAAATTACTTCGCCCTTCTGTGAATTTTTTATTCTTTTTCAAATATTTTACAAATGATGTTAAACAGATTCATGATTTTTTTCACAGTATTTCCTATATTTTTTTTTCTGGGGTCTGTTCTTCGTACGTGGATTACTCAGTTAGCTGGGTTTGATTATTGACGATTTGACACAATCCAGGATTGTTTCGTACTTCAAAACTCATCTGAGAGTTGTTGTCATAGCAACAGTTCTGGTAGCTCAAACCTGCTAGGGAGCAGGCTCATTTCACATAAACAGGATTAGATCGGGTCAGTTCAAGCAAAGATAATACTGAAAGTATGTACCAAATACTGATATTTTCTTGCAGTAGTTATATACACTTGGGAAAATACTAATACATTTTTTAACTATATATAAATTTAAAAAAAAAAAAAAAAAATATATATATATATATATATATATATATATATATATATATATATATATATATAAATACAACTTTTGCAATCTGCACTCTGAAATATAAGTACAAAGACTGTACTTATATACTGGTAGTTCAAAGATAATTTTTTTTTATATAAACTTTTTAGATCCAAACGCGTTCATGCACAATATTTGACTTTTTAAAAAAAAAAAAAACGATCATTTATGAAGTCATGCACGTGTTTTGATCACTAATATGTTGGTGATTGATAAGTTTAACGATATCGAAATGCTTTTTTGATGCAAAATTAATTTATAGTTATTCCTTACGCCGATTAAAAAAACTTGAGCAGGCCTAGGCTACTATAATAAAGAAAATCTTTTCTAAATGTGGAACTAAATACACTGATATGCATTGAAATACATGATGAATACTCTTGACACATGAAAGAGTAAAGCCTGCAGTTCACAACTAACGTGGAAGGTTATTGCGTGTCATATTTAACAAACCGTTTACTGCTAATTTGATGCAATTTTGCTCAATATTCATGGATAATTGAATATTAATTAGATGATGTCATTACACTGCTGTGCCGTCAGCCAATCGTTGCATTGCTGATCAGGATTTCGAGGATCGATAGATCTGTTCTTCACAACACACGCAGCGATCTCAGATCAGTTCATTCAGACATTTTACTCTGATTCGTGAACTTGTTTGAAGAACTAAATTAGCCAGAGATCAGTTATCAAGATTAAAAGATCCAGGATCTGCCAAATCATCTCAGATCATTAAAGCAAGGTACGAAGAGCGGACCCCAGGTGAAAGTCTTATTTGTTTTATTTCAGCAAGAATAAAAGCGTTTTTTTAAAAACCATTTTAAGGTCAATATTTTTAGCCCCCTTAAGCAATATTTATTTTAGATTTTCTACAGAACAAACCATTATTATACATTAAATTAGTATAAATTAGTGTTTTATTTAAAAGCAACGCTTTTCTATTAAAATACATGTTAATGGGAAATTAATTCCTGTGATGCAAGTCAGAATTTACAGCATCATAATGTCAGTCCTCAGTGTCCCATGATCTTTCTGTAGTAGCATTTATGTTTATGGCCATTATATATTAGCTGTTATATGGCAGACACATAAAAAAAATCTAAAAATTTCATAAATAGAATTTTTATATATATGGTTGATGACAGAATTATTTGCCCCCTTTGATTTTTTTTCTTTTTTAAATATTTTCCAAGTGATGTTTAACAGAGCAAGGAAATTTTCACAGTATGTCTGATAATATTTTTTCCTCTGGAGGAAGTCTTATTTGTTTTATTTCTGAAAGAATAAGCAGTTTCAATTTTTTTAAACACCATTTTAAAGACAAAATTATTAGCCCCTTTAAGCAATTTTTTTTTCTCTTTAGTCTACAGAACAAACCATCTTTATACAATAACTTGCCTAATTACCCTAACCTGCCTAGTTAACCTAATTACCCTAGTTAAGCCTTTAAACGTCACTTTAAGCTGTATAGAAGTGTCTTAAAAAATATCAAGTCAAATATTATTTACTGTCATCATGACAAAGATAAAATAAATCAGTTATTAGATATAAGATATTAAAACTATTATGTTTAGAAAAAAAATCTGCTCTCCATTAAACAGAAATTGGGTAAAAAAAATAAATGGGGGCTAATAATTAGGGGCGCGCACACACACACACACAAACACAAACACACAAACACAAAGACACACAAAGCACAAGATCCTTCAGAAATCATAATTTGTGCTTGAAACATTTACTTTCATTATCAATGTTGAAAATTGTCGTACAGTCTAAATAATGGCGTTGGGACAACATGAAAGAATTAAGGGCGTACTCACACTAGGTACAGTTGCCTCGAACCATGCCGAAACACATTTGGACCCCTCCCCTCTCCCCCTCGGCCTGTACTCACAATGCATTTTTTACCTTCCAAGCCAGCGCACGCTTACGTCATTGAGGATGCGCCTGTTAAGTTTAACAGGAAGAGAAGCGCTCTCGCTCAGCACAGTGGACATTGCTTTAGTTATATTGTTTTGTATTTTTTTATGTCATTTGATATGCAGTCAAATATTTTGCTGAACAGATCCACCACTTTTGACGCTCGTAAATAATCATAAAAGTCCTCGTGCTGCAGGTATTCGGAGGTTTGCTGAAGGTGCAGCTGTAGTGCAGTGAGGGGTTTGCATCTTTAATAAACTATGACAGTTGACGTTCATTCAACAGTAAAAATGATTAATACATCCATATGACACAGTCCCTTAAAAGTGACGTCACATCAGTTTTGTGCTCAGGCGCGCTTTACACTTACACTGTGTGTACCGCGCCAAAGCCCAACCGAACCGAACCGCACTCTGACCCACTCACACTTCTCAAAAGAACCGGGAAATGCGCCTAAGCATGGTCCTAGTGTGAGTGCAGCCTTAGTTAAGTTAGTGGATTGAACATACAACAATTAAGTTGTCCTCAAAAAAAAAAAACAAGACTGTGTGTTGTTTCAGTTCAATTAAAATACGCAGTTTTTACAAAAAGCTGTTGCCATTTTTCGAGTGTATCTTAGGTTTGGGCTTTATTAGGTTTTTTACAAACTGAAATTCTTATATTCAACATTAGCCATTTTCACACATACAAACTTGTCCAGGTAATTACTGGTAAATGCCATGAAGAGATCATGTGTGAACAGGCCCTTTAAAATATGCAGAAGGAGAAGTTTTAACATTGCCAGTAACTTCTGCTCTGTGTGAACAGCACACGTTTGAATTTACCATCTTCTTATGCCAATTTATTTTACATTTATTTGTAAACCTAGTGTGTTTTAAAATGTGTTTCGCTTCTTGTTTTTTCCATCAAAATAATAATCATATTAGATTTTAATTAATCATGGCCTTTGATTTTTTTTTTAAACACAGACTAAGAATACTAATGAAAGTCTATGAAGTACTGCATTTTACCGCAGGGCCTTTCAGGATCGAGTTTGGGCACCCCTGCATTAAAGGCATAGTTCACCCAAAAATGAAAATGTACACACTATTAGTGTTGCTTTCATCAACGATAACTATGACAAAATATCTTCGTCAAGGAACCTTTATCAAGTGATGAAAATGAGTCGTGGTGAAAATGCTGGTCATGTGACGATGACTATAACTACATTTATAATGCAAAACTGTTGATGAATAAAAACGAGACTAAATGTGGTTTACAACATAAACACTATGCTAAAATGTCTCTACATTGTTGTAACTATGGAAAATTCAGATTTGAATCACAAAATTAAATGACATTTTAAAGTATTTCTTAACGATTTTAAAAAAATATATGAAAAGTCAAAAATGTTGGTGCATTTTTAATAAATAAATGCTCTTTGGCAAGAATTAGGCCGTCATACCATCATAAAAAACAATGCACTTAAATAGGAGACAAGTATTAAATATTAAATATCCTTTATTTAATGCCTACAAATGCGTATGCGTGATTGTCATTACGGGACAGTGTGGAGGAGAGAGAGAGAGAGAGAGGAAGAAAGAGAGAGAGAGGGAGAGGTGGCGAGTCGCGCACTAAGTGACCTGCAGTACTTCCAGTTTCGACCGATCGAGAAGGGAGTCGTGGTAAATATGAACTAGAGGTTTGCATTCCTGCTTCTGTACCGCAGAAACCCACCAGATTTCTTGCGGTGAGGGAATAAATTTCCGAATAAAGAGCAGGAGCGGTCGGTAACTCTGGTGTAATTGAAAGGGAGCGGGCGCAGGGTCTAGCAATATCGCTCCCGAGCAATGCTCTCTGTGTGTGTGTGTGTGTGTGTGAGAGAGAGAGAGAGAGCGGTGCTGTTGTCGCTTGATTCTCTGTGTGTGTGTGTGTGTGTGTGTGTGTGTGTGTGTGTGTGTGTGTGTGTGTGTGAGAGAGAAAGTGGTGCTGTTTGTCGCTTGATTCTCTGTGTGTGTGTGTGTGTGTGTGTGTGTGTGTGTGTGTGTGTGCGTGAGAGAGAGAACGAGCATCCCGCGCAGAAGAATACAAACAAGACAAACCGGTGACTGCGAAGCTAAGGTGGCATATACGGTATTCAGTTTCTGAATGGTTCAGGCACAAGCCAACAGTTTGGTGATGCTGTCTGAGCCTTACGTCATAGTTTTTTTATTATGCACGGTAATACCTGGATAAAATAGGGAGGTTTGACGGTATCAAAATTTGGATACCGCCCAAGCCTAGCAAGAATTAAAACTCATTTAAAACAACCAGAACAAACTAATTCATGGACACATACACACGACTGACCTTAAACCAGCACTTGGACATGAGGAAGTAATATTTCACGCTGTCCTCTCCGAACTGATCTGCGATGTAGAGGCCCATGGAGCCGTACTCATCATAGATCTGACGTTTAGTCTCATCATTGAGGATGCTGTTGGCATTGTTGATCTCTTTAAACTTCTCTGCTGCTTCCGGGTTGTTGGGGTTTTTATCCGGGTGATGCTTCAGTGCAAGTTTCCTGATGGTGGAGATTTAGCAAATTAAAGGTGCCAAATACTGCATTGATTCAATAAGTTGAATTGGGTAAGTTCAAATATTCTCCAGAAAGGAGTGGTTTCATATGCTTATTTATCAATTCATAAAATACCCCTACACAATCAGACAGTCCTTATTGGCAATATTTGGAAAGGTCATGCATATTAATGAGCTCTGCTTTAGCACAGCTCTCAGTGCTGAATGATAAGACACAATACTTAAATGTTCAATAAAGAAAATACTCTGCAGTCTTTTTAGGGTGGCACTGAATTAATTTTTAATCTGTATATCCTGCATTTTGCATTCTGGAGAGCTCTAAAGAGTTGTTGCTTCATAACAAATAAAACTAACCGGTGTGGCTGGCTTTGACTTTGCAGCGTCTCCTATTTTCAAAATAAGAGTCCCACATACATGCTAAGTTTAAATGTAAACTTTGATAAACATTAAAATGAGGGATATTTTTTAATAATTCTCATAAATATATCTTAAATAATTTTATATAAATTATATATAAATAAATATATATCATTATATAAATCTTAAAATGTAGCTTAGGCCATGCATATTAAAGATCCTGTGTGAAATATATCAGTCTGTGTTTGGACTGCTGATCTCCTGATGATTTGGCTGCTCGTCTGGTCCGGATGACGTAGAACATCACCTAAAGTAAATATTTTGGGAGTGGCCTGTGAGTCACGCAACAGTCTGCTTTGTGTTCTGATTGGCCTAATTTTCACCAGGTGTTTACACTTGTGGAATTTCTGCAACTCTCACATGGTCGCCCACTGAAGCCAAGCAGGGCTGTGCCTGGTCAGTACCTGGATGGGAGACCACATGGAAAATCGAGGTTGCTGCCGGAAGTGGTGTTAATGAGACCTGCAGTGGTGCTCAACCTACAGTCTGTGTGGGTCCTAATGCCCCAATATATTGATGGGTCTCTACACTGCTCAATGAGTGCCATCTTTTGGATAAGACCGAGGTCCTGACTCTCTGTGGTCATTAAAAATCCCAGGATGTCCTTCAAAAAAAAAAAAAAGTAGTGGTTTAACCCCGGCATCTTGGCCAAAATTTGCCCACTGGACTCTGAATTCCTAACCATCCCCCCATATCATAATTGTCTTCATCACTGTCTCCTTTCCACCAATCAGCTGGTGCGCAAAATGGCTGCCGTGACGTCATCCAGGTGGATGCTGCACACTGGTGGTGGATGAGGAGATTCCCCCCAAAAAAAAGTGCTTTGAGCGTCCAGAAAAGTGCTATATAATTTAAGGAATTATTATTATTATTACATGAGAACGAGAATACTGGTGTTTGAGGCTCACGGTATGGCCATTTCTATGGATGAACTTTTTTTTATTTAACTATATCAGGAGGTACATTTAGATTTTCTTTATAGGGCACCTTTTAAGTCTTTAGAACGGTTTCAAAAGCAGACAGGAGGTTTTTATCAATTATGCTTTTTAATATAGATCATTTGGAAACATCAGTATCTGAAAAGGTTTAAGGCATCTAAACAATTTAATATCTAGAATATATACAAATACAAAAACTGCCGTACATTATTAACATGATATATACAGATGTCCTCCACTAAAATGTCATTCAGTGTAAAAACAAAGTGATTATTACATGTTTACACAGCAAACATGCAAAAAAAATCTTGTCTGGCATTTTTTGAGTAAGAATCATAGTTTGATGACATGTTAAACACTGATTACAGTGCATTTACAAAATTATATATTTTATTAACATTAATTTATTCTAATAAAATATTTTATACATTGCAAATACTACCAATTTGGTACAATACAATACAATGTAATATTATATATATATATCAATAAAAGTACAGGTCAGAAAAACTGTGTTGCTGAATGACATTATTTTACCATATTTCCTTAATATTTCACTTTTCTAGCATTAAATGTACTTTTTTATATCTTTAAATGAATTTATTCAATTAAACTAAACTTTAATTCTTTATTTGGCAAACAACCAGACATATAGTAACTTCACTGACACTGATTACAACATAATATTTATAAAGTCATAAAAGTTCAAAGGTCTTGTAATAAACTACTGAAACTCTTCATGTTTTTTCTAATAAGCATTTCAATTAGTGCCCTAAAAGGGGTTAATCTGACACAAACCCCAAAACACAATGCATTTTGATCGTTAAATTAAAAAGAAGTGTACATATTTGGATAATGTACCTGTATGCTTTCTTAATATCTTCAGACGACGCTCCTTTCTGCAGGCCTAACGTCTGGTATAAACTCTCTCCAGCTCTGGACAGCTTGCGCTGAGGTCGACTCGTTTCTGTCATGGTTCAATTCTGCAAAATCACTGAAGAAAACAAATTAAATGAGAAATCTGAATAACAAATTACAATCTACATTTTTAGATTATTTTACCCCAAACTTACTGAGTTCAGGTTTGTTTTTATTTATAGCCACATCAGCAACTTAATGGCTATTTCATAGATTAAAAAAAGAATTACACCCAAAAGACTGACAAATACGATATTACTGACATTGTAAACATCTCTGAATATAATTAAATAAGAAAAGATCATACAAATGTCATTCATATTACAGAAAAGTTCAACAAGCACACTTTGTATGTCATTTGTTTAGGTGAACAACCATATACGGTTACTTTATTTACATTGCTTACAATGATTTTTAAGTCTCGTAACTCTCCATGGTTTTTCCAATGAGTGTTTCAGTGAGTGCACAACACGTCCAACCTTGAGGCAGATGGGCTACAGCAGCAGAAGACCACACCGGTGCCACTCCTGTCAGCTAAGAACAGGAAACTGAGGCTACAATTCACACAGGCTCACCAAAATTGGACAATAGAAGATTGGAAAAACATTGCCTGGTCTGACGAGTCTCGATTTCTGCTGCGTCATTTCAGTGGTAGGGTCAGAATTTGGCATCAACAACATGAAAAGATGGATCCATCCTGCCTTGAATCAACGGTTCAGGCTGGAGGTTGTGGTGTATTTTCATGGCACACTTTAGGCCCATTAGTACCAATCGAGCATCCTGTCAATGCCACAGCCTACCCAAGTATTGTTGCTGACATGAACATGATAATGAGTTCACTGTACTCAAATGGCCTCCACAGTCAGCAGATCTCAATCCAATTGAGCACCTTTGGGATGTGGTGGAACAGGAGATTCACATTATGGATGTGCAGCCGACAAATCTGCAGCAACTGCGTGATGCTATCATGTCAATATGGAGCAAAATCTCTGAGGAATATTTCCAGTACCTAGTTGAATCTATGCCACGAAGGATTAAGGCAGTTCTGAGGCAAGAGGAGGTATAACCCGGTACTAGTAAAATGTACCTAATAAAGTGGCCGGTGTGTGTATACTTGTAAATTATTATTATTTTTTTTTAAAGTTAAAGTCGTACTAAAGTAACATATTTAGTTGTTTCTGTTAAGTGTTTAAGCTACTTAAGATAATGTATTACTTAAAAAAAACTCATCATGGCTTAAACTATTTTATAAATACACTGCAAATGAAGTGCCAACTTTAATGTTCCAAATAATTTTTTTTTGCAATAATAAAATGTCAAAACAATGTTAAAATAACATTAAATTGACTGTTCCAGCAATATTTTTGTACAATGAAGCATCATCCAGCCATGCTCTCATCTGAATTATCAGGACATACAAAGCGAGCAAACTAAATTTGTAAATATTTCAATTATTCGTGCTGACAAACGAGTAAAACATGATGGTTTGAAGAATAGTGGACGAAGTATAAAGATTTAAATGGACAATTGATGATCAATTTGAGACTGTAGGGTGATTTAGTTACATTTATGTTAAGTTATTATCATTTTCATGTGTCATTAAATACAGTTCTGATTATGCCTGACTATTCGGGTAGATATTTATGTTACTTTGGTTTAGTTTCTTGAAAAACACTTCGTATTTGACTTAACTCTGAACAGGACGTCAATACATTGTCAAAATGCAAGCACTTTTACCACGTTAATATTGTTTAAAAGGTTAAAGCTGTGGAATTAATAAGAGTTATCTCACGCGGAGGAATATATTCACTGGACTAGCATTACTAGCAGGTCGCTATATACTTCTGTCAGGTATATTTTCATTTTCAGACGCTGATTTGAGCTCAGGCCTGCAAAGAGATCATTACCTGACCGAGAACATCAACTACCGATCAATCAAATCGATCACTTACCGATCAAGAAGTGAAGCTGAGGCGGATGTTTGAGAAAGCTGCGCGTGTTTTCATGTTTGACTATATTTGCAGCGTTTTTCCAGCACGCTGAGCCATTGATCAAGAGCAGAGTTTAAGACCAGGAAGTAGGAAATAAAGTTTCTGTGTTACGTCAAGTACAAAAAGTCAATGACAGAGAGTTGCGCGGGCAGATAGTGAAAGTGCCTCTGCCTCTGTGTGTGTGTGTGTGTGAGTGTGTGTAAACAGCGGCGCACCTAGTCAGAAAACATGACGTTTGTGTGAATCTAGATAGCCTACAAATGCATATTTCTTAAACATCATTTTTTTTGTCTAAATTTGATGACTGTATGCGTAACAACTGCATAAAAATGTTTAATCAAAGTTTAATAAAGGTATTTTTCAAATGCTTTTATATTTCATTCATTTTCTTTTCAGCTTAGTTGCTTTATTAATCTGGGGTCGCCACAGCGGAATGAACCGCCAACTTATCCAGCATACGTTTTATGCACCGGATGCCCTTGCAGCTGCAACCCATCACTGGGAAACACCCATACACCTTCATTCACACACTGACACATACACTACGGACAATTTAGCTTCCCATTTCACCTGTTGCACATGTCTTTGGACTGTGGGAAACCGGAGAACATGCAAACTCTCCACATAGTAATGCCAACAGACCCAGCCGAGGCTCGAACCAGCGACCTTCTTGCTGTGAGGCGACAGCACTACCTACTGCGCCATCGCTTTTATATTTGTAGAATCCTAAAACGTCACTCTTAAGTGGTCACATATCCTAATACATGACAAAGCCCCATAATCTAAAACTGTCTTTATTAAAAAATGTATCTAATTGTCAACATATATTAATAACTTACTCCAATGTTATTAATCTTAATGTGTGGTGATTATCATCTTAATTATGTACTATTGTACTTTTATTGTTGATTTTCTGTCCTGTCTTCTGTATTATGCTTGTTTTGGGTGAAAAAAGGGCAATATAAAAATACTGCGTTATGCTAAACTATGATTTTAAAGGACTATATATATATATATATATATACAGTTGAAGTCAGAAATATTAGCCCCACTTTGAATTTTTTTTCCCTTTTTTAAAATATTTTCCAAATGATATTTAACAAATAAAGGAAATTTTCACAGAATGTCTGATAATATTTTTTTCATCTGAAGAAAGTCTTATTTTATTTCGACTAGAATAAAAGCAGTTTATAATTTTCTTTAAACTCATTATAAGGACAAAATTATTAGCCCCTTTAAGCTATATATTTTTTGATAGTCTACAGAATAAACCATCATTATACAACAAATTACCTAATTACCCTAACCTGCCAAGTTAACCTAATTAACCTAGTTAAGCCTTTAAATGTCACTTTAAGCTGTATAGAAGTGTCTTGAAAAATATCTAGTTAAATATTATTTACTGTCATCATCATGGCAAAGATCAAATAAATCAGTTATTAGAAAGGAGTTATTAAAACTATTATGATAAGAAATGTGTTGAGAAAATCTGCTCTCCATTAAACAGAAATTGGGGGGAAAATAAGCTGTCTTATAATTCAGGGGCTAATAATTCTGACTTCAACTGAATATATATAAATATACTTAATCAGTAGTCCTAATTTGTAGCCAAAATGTAAGACTATTTAGAGACTTTCCCAAACGGTTCAATTATATTTAAAAACAAGAAACTAGAATGCATTTAAAGTAATAAACATCATGACAAGATGACAGAGGAAAATCTCTTAGAAAACTGCTTCACGGGTAGATTTTCTATTTTATTTTATGTTTTAATATAGGCGATGCGGTGGCGCAGTAGGTAGCGCTGTCGTCTCACAGCATGAAGGTTGCTGGTTTGAGCCTCGGCTGAGTCAGTTGGCATTTCAGTGTGGAGTTTGCATGTTCTCCCCGTGTTGGCGTGGGTTTCCTCCGGGTGCTCCGGTTTCCCCCACAGTCCAAACACATGTGGTACAGGTGAATTGGGTAGGCTAAATTGTCCAGTTTATGAGTGTGTATGGATGTTTCCCAGAGATGGGTTGCAGCTGACAGGGCATCCGCTGCGTAAAACACGTGATGGATAAGTTGGCGGTTCATTCCACTGTGGTGACCCCAGATTAATAAAGGAACTAAGCTGAAAAGAAAATGAATGAATGAATGAATTAATATGTGACCCTGGACCACAAAATCAGTGTTATGTTGCATGGGCGTATTTTTAATAGCCAAAATTCATTGTATTTTGTTCTGTATGTGCATTTTTTGTAAATAAATTGTAATTTTATGCCAAAAACCATATTAAATGCTGGATAAGTTGGTGGTTCATTCTCCTGTGGCGACCCCAGATTAATAAAGGGACTAAGCCGAAAAGAAAATGAATGTTTTAATATAATTTGATGAAGTAATTAATGAATGTGATTTTATTCTATTTGTCATTACAATTTTGTTGAGTCGCTTGAACTAAAGAAAATTTTCCAGTTATACAAACAAGCCAAAATATAGGAGCTTTTTTATCCTAAGATGTAAGTTTTCATCTTACTATCTTCTTTAAGATATTAATATCAGACTGCCAATACTTTTTGGGAAATTTATTCATTTATATTTCCTTCGGATTAGTTCCTTTATCAGGGGTCACCACAGCAAAATGAACCGCCAATTTATCCAGCATATGTTTTACGCAGTGGATGCCCATTCAGTTGCAACTCAGTACTGGGAAACAGCCATACACACTCATTCACACACACTCGTACACTACAGTCAATTTAGCTTACCCAATTCACCTACGTATAGCACTTGTGTTTGGAATGTGGGGGAAACTGAAGCACCCGGAGGAAACCCACACCAGACACCACCATGGGGATAACATGCAAACTCCACACAGAAATCCAAACTGGCCCAGCCTGGACTCAAACCAGCGACCTTCTTGCTGTGAGGCGACTGTGCTAACCACTGAGCCACCATGCCGCTCCTTTTTGTGAAATATTTACCACTTTTTAGTTACAGTATTTAAACCAGCAACATATTCTTTTTTCAAATCTTGTGACTTTGTTAAATTTTAAATCTCTTCTGTAGCCATGATAATAACTTCCCTCTATTCAGAATGATTATCATATCAGTGTTGTGTCATTTTACAAATGAAATGTTTGTACTGTTTTTCTCTGTAAATCGTAGATATTATTCCCAAAGCAGGTGCAGTTTGTATTTGATATTAACATGATTAAGGCTTTCCAATTTTGATAATGATTTTTCCAATATTTTTGTTAGCCTCCATGTGTTGATGAGCCTCTTCAGCGTCCTCCATGCTGAACATGCTGTCAATCACAGGCCGCAAAGGGGAATCTGTTGACTTGAAGTGTGGCAAAACCTGCTGGGTGAAACTCTGGACCAGCTCTGCTTTATACTACAAACAAGAACACAATGAGTATAACCTTTAACCCATCACAAGAACATAAAGCATCATTACAGGACGTAAATCTACCTAAAAATAAAAGGATGTGAATTTTTAGTTTTAAATACGGAAATCTGATACATGGAAATACACTCACTGGCCACTTTATTAGGTACACCTGTCCAACTTCTCGTTATTGCAAATTTCTAATCAGCCAATCACATGGCAGGAACTCATTCTCTTATTGGTTATTCAGTTGTTATTTACTCTGCTCTGACTGGTCAGATTGGTTATTCTCTGATTGGTTATTCAGTTGTTATTTACTCTGCTCTGATTGGTCAGATGTTTTTACTCTGTTCCGATTGGTCAGATGGCTTTACTCCACTGTGATTGGTCAGATATTTGTACTTTGTTCTGATTGGTCAGATGGCTTTACTCCATTGTGATTGGTCAGATATTTGTACTTTGCTCTGATTGGTCAGATGGCTTTACTCCACTGTGATTGGTCAGATGTTTGTACTCTGCTCTGATTGGTCAGATGGCTTTACTTCACTGTGATTTGTCAAATAGCATTACTCCACTTTGATTGGCCTGATGTTTTTACTCTGTTCTGATTGGTCAGACAGGTTACTCTGTTCTGATTGGTCAAATAACTTAACTGTTTTTGATTGGTCAGATGGCTTTATTCCACTGTGATTGGTCTAATGTTTTTACTCTGCTCTGATTGGACAAATCTGTTGACTTGAAGTGTGGCAAAACCTGCTGGGTGAAACTCTGGACCAGCTCTGCTTTATACTACAAACAAGAACACAATGAGTATAACCTTTAACCCATCACAAGAACATAAAGCATCATTACAGGATGTAAATTTACCTAAAAATAAAAGGATGTGAATTTTTAGTTTTAAATACGGAAATCTGATACATGGAAATACACTCACTGGCCACTTTATTAGGTACATCTGTCCAACTGCTCGTTATTGCAAATTTCTAATCAGCCAATCACATGGCAGGAACTCAATGAGTTTAGGCATGTAGACATGGTCAAGACGATCTGCTGCAGTTCACACTGAGCATCAGAATGGAGAAGAAATGTGATTTAAGTGACTTTGAACATGGCATGGTTGTTGGTGGCAGAAGGTTGGTCTGAGTATTTCAGAAACTGCTGATCTCCTGGGAGTATCACGCACAACCATCTATAGGGTTTACAGAGTATGGTCCGACAAAGAGGAAATATCCAGTCAGCGGCAGTTCTGTGGGTGCAAATGCCTTGTTGATGCCAGAGGTCAGAGGAGAATGGCAAGACTGGTTCCAGCTGTAGAAAGGCAACAGTGACTCAAGGTTTCTTGAACATGAAAACGAGTTCACTGTCCTTAAATGGCCTCCACAGTCGCCAGAACTCAATCCAATAGAGCACCTTTGGGATGTGGTGGAACAGGGGATTCGCATCATGGATGTGCCTCCGACAAATCTGCAGCAACTGTGTGATGCTATCATGTCAATATGAACCAAAATCTCTGAGGAATATTTCAAGTGACTTCTTGAATCTATGCCATGAAGGATTAAGGCAGAAAGGTAAAAGGGAGCTCCAACCGGTACTTGTAAGGTGTACCTAATAAAGTGGGCGGTGAATCTATATGCAAATGACACACCGTATAACATAGGCTATATAGTTTCATATTTGGATTTTTTCATATATAAAAAGTGTGATATATGCAACATATATTTCCAAATGCTGCAAAACAGTTTTTATCTTTCTATTTTCAACCATTGGAATTGCAAATATGTATGTTCAAATATATTTTTAGGTTCATATATGGCCATTTACGAACACATATATAACATTACAGCTAACATATTTGAACATATATGTACACATTTGTAATTTTAATGGTTAAAAAACATTTTTGCAAACATTTATAAATATATGTTGCATATTTAGTATATTTTATATACAGTTGAAGTCAAAACTATTCGCCCTCCTGCACATTTTTTTTATTTTATTTTTCAAATGTTTCCCAAATGATGTTTAACAGAGTAAGGAATTTTTCACAGTATTTCCTATAATATTTTTTCTTCTGGAGAAAGTCTTATTTGTTTTATTTCGGCTAGAATAAAAGCAGTTTTTAATTTTTTAAACACCATTTTAAGGTCAATATTATTAGCCACCATATGCAATATTTGTTTTTCAATTGTCTACAGAACAAATCATCGTTAAACAATGACTTGCCTAATTAACCTAGTTAAGCCTTTAAATGTCACTTAAAGATGAATACTAGTATCTTGAAAAATATGTAGTCAAATATTATTTACTGTCATCATGACAAAGATAAAAATAAATCAGTTATTAGAAATGAGCTATTAAAACTATTATGTTTACAAATGTGTTGAAAAAGTCTTTGCTCGTGTAACAGAAATTGAGGCAAATAAATAAAGCAGTGCTAATAATTCAGGAGGGCTAATAATTCTGACTTCAATTGTATGTAAAATTCAACTATGAAATTGTATGTCACGTATGTCATCTGCATATATCAGATGAAATGGGTTCTTTTAATATCAGTCCTGTAACTCTAAGTTTATGATGAAAACTTGTATATTTGTAAATATATGTATCTAAAACTTGAAAACTTAAATACCTGTAGACTCCTTGATCTGAGGAGACTGCACAGAAGATGGCCTCTCTTCCTCAAAAGTTTGCCAAGCAGGTCTCCATCTGATGTTTTACCTCCCATTGTGCCATAAAGCACCCATCGTCCATCGACTGCAAGGCTACTAATGTTTTTCTCCCAATAATTTCCTCCAATGCAGTCCAGAATTACATCAGCTCCCTTGCCTGCAGAAAGCATGCATTTTTTGGCAGTGTTATGTTGACTTTAAGGGTTGCTCAATTAAATTCTGAGTCTCTTATAACAGGGTTTTCTCATAATATCAACTCTAGAATCTGCTTTTTGTCTCACAGTGTCTGAAATGGTTGGTTCAAGGATCTGTTCTCCAAAACCTCCATTTCTAAAGGCCAACTCTGCTCTGATTGATCAGATGTTTTACTCTGCTCTGTCTGATTAGTGAAATGGCTTTACTCTGTTCTGATTGGTCAGATGGCTTTACTCCATTGTGATTATTTGATTTTTTTACTCTGCTCTGATTGGTCAGATGTTTTTACTTTGTTCTGATTGGTTGGATGTTTTATTCCGCTCTGACTGGTCAGATTGGTTATTTTCTAATTGGTTATTCAGTTGTTATTTACTCTGCTCTGATTGGTCAGATGTTTTTACTCTGTTCGGATTAGTCAGATGGCTTTACTCCACTGTGATTGGTCAGATATTTGTACTTTGTTCTGATTGGTCAGATGGCTTTACTCCATTGTGATTGGTCAGATATTTGTACTTTGCTCTGATTGGTCAGATGGCTTTACTCCATTGTGATTGGTCAGAAATTTGTACTCTGCTCTGATTGGTCAGATGGCTTTACTCCACTGTGATTGGTCAGATGTTTGTACTCTGCTCTGATTGGTCAGATGGCTTTACTTAACTGTGATTTGTCAAATGGCATTACTCCACTGTGATTGGTCTGATGTTTTTACTCTGTTCTGATTGGTCAGACAGGTTGCTCTGTTCTGATTGGTCAAATAACTTTACTGTTTTTGGTGGGTCAGATGGCTTTATTCCACTGTGATTGGTCTAATGTTTTTACTCTGCTCTGATTGGACAAATTACTTTACTCTGTCCTAATTGGTCATTTGTTTTTACTCTGCTTTAATTGGTCAGTTGTTTTTACTCTGCTCTAATTGGTCAGATATTTTTACTCTGCTCTAATTGATCAGATGTTTTTACTCTGCTCTGATTGGTCAGATTAGCCAGATGTTTATGCCGTGCTCTGATTGGTCAGATTGGTTACTCTGCTCTGATTGGTCAGATGTTTTTAGAGTGCTCTGATTGTTCAGATTGGTTACTCTGCTCTGATTGGTTAAGAATGTTATGTACTCTAATTTGATTGGTTAAATGTTTTCACTTTATTATGATTGTTCTAATGTCTGTAATTTGCTCTGGTTGGTCAAATCTTTTTACTCTGCTTTGATTGGTCAGATGGACAACTTTGTTGTGATTGGTCAACTGCACAAGGTGGAAAACAGAGATGTCAACGAAACAAATTAAACTATAATGTTTACGTGTCAAAGTAGATGTTGTTCATGGACAGCCAAAAAAAGACCAAAGACTGGCACTATATGTGTATTTGTAGCAAGTAAGGAAGTAAGACTAGAAACTGCTGACTCATTTTAGGCTGATCAGATCCTCATCAAAATCTCCATCAATCATGCACTCAGATATTCTGAAACTCTGCACACAAATTTGATGTTGAATAAAAACATTTATAACATTAAAATGATTGACCTTTAGTGAACTGCAGAACTTTTTCAGAAATATCCTCCTCTTTGTAATTGATTCCCAAAGCTGCTCCAATCTGCTCTGCAAATCTGATCTTTTCAGGGCTCCCAGTTGTTACTACAGGTATGGCGTGACTCAAGCGGACCAGCTGAACAGCAGCAGTGCCGACTCCACTCGCTCCAGCATGAATCAACACCGTCTCATTCGGCCTCACTTTGGCTATAAAACACAGCAGATTATGGAAATATAGTGGCTTTGATAGACATTTGGATGCTTAAGGCATCATGAATTATGAATGACTTCCGGTCTGTGGCTTGTGTGCTTAAATACTACATTATGGTTAAACTTTCAAGTACCTCCACAAGTTTTGTGCATTTTGAAATGTGGCTGTATAATAATATATAACTATATATATAATCCTAAACCATATAATCCTAACTCAACTCAACATTGCATATCCTGCGATATGACTATTTCATGATAGGGAGTAAATAAAACAATTGCGACTTCAATTTCCATCAGCTTTTTCAAATCCATTTGTGTCACCTATGAAGTGCAGAAGCTGGTGTGCCGTCAACCAGGTCTCGGGAAGAGCTGCAGCTTCATAAAGACTGAGGTGTGATGGGACTTCCATGACCAGCTCTTCTGGAACAGCCACATATTCTGCATAACCTCCACCTCCGAGTAAAGCCATCACTTTACTTCCCAGCGTCCAGTTCCCTTTGACCCCAGGGCCGACGCCGGAGATCACCCCGCTGGCCTCCAGACCCAGGATTTCACTCTCTCCAGGTGGAGCTGGGTAAAGACCCCGTTTCTGCCAATGACAATGATACGTCAATAGCTGTGTTTCCATTAATAGTAGAGCAAGTCCAGTGTTATGGATGTGACATGCAGTCAAATACTCAAAAGATAAATTTCTAGATGTAAAAATAAGTCATGTTTTTATCCTGGTAATATAGGGATGCAACGATTAACCGATTTCACTATTAACTGCGCTTTAATTCGTCATGGGTAATTAATCGTGAATGCTTCTCAACACCGTGTTTCTGCATTAAACAAAACTGCGGCAACTTGCTGCAAATTATGCCAACTGAGAGCTAGTTTGAAGTTCCAGGCTTGTACTGTACACAATACACACTGGATTAACTATGGCTGAGGCTATTGACTAAAGGCCAGTCACATATCACGTCTTTTGTACGCGCAAGTTCGTTATTTCCAAATGAAGGCGCGTAGCTTGCATTTATGGAGCGACGGACTCGTGCTTTCCAGACGCCCCTACTAGTTAAAATGAATGCCGCGAGCGCCCTACACTGAGAAACAAAAAGCAAAATGAAAAATACCAAACAATTTTGTTATATAGTTGATCAAATAAATCAGCAGCCTTAGAATATTTCTTCACTGTAAAAGGGAAATAATTAGCTATTATGTAACTTAGATTCACATTAGACAAATACTACTTATTTATTTTAATTTTATTTATTTTAATTTATTAAAAAATATTTTTTAATTTATTAATTTAGAATTTTTTATTTATATATTTTCATTTATTTTTAATTAATTTACATTTAATTAATTTATTTATTTTTTAAAATTTATATTAATTTATTTACATTTTATTTATTTATTATAATATTTTTATTTATTTAAAATTACTTTATTTAAATTTTATTTATTTACATTTATTCTCAGTGTAAAATTATTACTTATTGTTTAAATGTCAAAACATTTTCCAAAGAGAAATGGACGATTGTTTGTTTTTTATTATTATTTTGTGTCATATTATTTGGTTACTGAGCAGCAATAAACAACACTTTAAAATGTAAGTAGTTTTTATGTGATTTTTTCTCAACTAGCAGTGTTCTGAAATTATTGAATGCATAATAATTGTGATAACTGTGATTATTCCTCAGACTAAAACACCCAAAATCTATAACTGAACCAGATTTTGGTAAAAACCCAAACAATACAAACATAAAAGTTAAACAGAACAAAAAAAATGTAGTTTGTTTGTTACTACACCCATACACAGAGCTAAAAGTCAGGCATCTTTACATTGGTTTTAGTCTTGACTAGTGCGGTTCAATGACTTTTGTCCTAAGAGCACTGTACTAATATGGCGGCGCTATTGACGCATGCTCAGGGTCCGTATGCGATATCTAGTGTATATATCTATGATTATCGTCAACCTGATTTCAGTAAGTACGACATGTTCCTGGATTAACACCCATGTTGATCCTGGAACAACATTCTAATCCGCCAATCAGAATTAAGGGATATGTTTACCGTTTGTGTTAAGTTTAGGCTTATGGTTAGGTTTATGTACTTGTACGTGAGTGTTATCCAACTATTATTCCCCTCTGATTTTGGGAATGATTTACAGTTACAGTTGGGTTTAGTGGTAGGGAATGGTTATGGATTACATTTTCCAACAAAAATTATGTTCTAGGATCAGCATAGATGCAATCCAGGATCGCATAGTAGTTGGTAAAATCATGACATGCATATTGTGATTACTTCCAGAGGTGTCTTAAGCATCTGTGCTCCCAAAGAATGTCTCACACTTCCAAAGCCACTACACATTCATTGTTTTTAATCTTCTAAGTTGCTAGTCATTTATTGAATAAGAAAAAAGCCCTACAGTGGCCCTTCCTACTATATTTTTTCTGATATTTGACACCAGATTATCAGTAATTGACAATTTTATTCTCTTTGACTCACTGAATGGAAACATTGCTTTTTTGCAAATGTGTTATGCAATATTCCAGGTTTGTGCATAAGTTTAATTCACATATTTGAATGCAAACAAAGCTACTGAGGTTTGAATTGTGCGAAGTTTTAAGATTTTGATGATTTGTGTTTCACCTGAAGCAGATCGGCTCTGTTTAAAGCGGTCGCAGCGACTTTGATGAGAAGCTGTCCATCTTTGGCTTCAGGGCGTGGAACATGTTTCACATTCATCTTCCCAGCTTCAACACATAATGCCAGCATTGACTAGAAAATAAGATACAGTATTAATAAAGTGTCTGTCATAAAGGGATTTATTTCTGCTCGACAAAACATTCTCCATCAAGTGGTTTTAAACCTGTTTTTTCTGTTGAAATAACACAAACAAAGATATACTGTACTGAAAAATATAAAAAACCAGAAACATCCAAAGTATAGGAACAACAAATAGTATGGAAGACAATGGCTACTTTTCAACATGTTTCAAAATATCTCCTTTTGTGTTCAACAGATGTAAAAGCTCAAGCCGGTTTGGAAGAAGTAGATGAGTAAAAGGTGATTTAAGTTTCATTTGTGGGTAAACTCAGTTAATTCTTATATTAGCATTACAATTTATTAATCTTCCACTTGGTGTAAATCAATACAAAACATGCACTAAACAGTATAGTGATTTGATTATAGAACTTACCGTTTTCTCTTTGTCCATGTCTCAGTGACAGTATGATCTATCAAGACGCAGATATATTACAAATATGATCAATCAAAACAGATAATACAAATATGACACGCATGCAGTAAAATGAAGACTTCTACTTAATTTATTTCGCTATTCTGCGCAATTTTGACGCACCTTTGACGAAAACTATTCTTCGATCACTGAAATGCAGCTTGTTTTTATGACAAAACATATACATTGTCTGATTACAGAACATTAAAACTACTTTTAAAACACTCAAACTTCATATTGACGAGCTTTACATTTAACATTTAAGAAAACATCGACAAACTTACCTCAGAAATCCTACGTTTGATATTGTTTTGATGTAGTTTGACTGGACGTCTGTCTTCTCTCACGTGTCAGAGCTGAACATTAACTGTAGTCAGAACATATACTAGAAATGAAGACACATACAGCACCTCCCATTTATATAAAAGCGCGTCATTCAGTTGTCGCCAAACACAATAACGTTAGCTCCAACAGTAAAGCTAATTTTAAACTAACAAAACAATGTTTCCACACACACAGCCTAAATGAGAACCCATTGAGTTTTACGATTATCACTGTTGAATTACTGCAATAACTTTAGTTCTAGCATTTTAAGGATACGTAAAGGTTATAAACAAATAATGATCGAAGATCAGAGGTACAGTTTGCTAATTATGTATGCTAAGGTTGCCAAATTTATCAGAATTACAATTAAATATAAACTGCAAAAATCAAACCAAAACTTTTTTTGAGTGCCTTGGACTGATTTTTGCTGTTTATTCTGATGAATCTCTTACCCAAATAGCACTGACACATTATTTAAGCTACCCCTGAACACTTTTTGTTTGATTTTTAATAATTAAATATATTAAATAATTGATTACACCTTATATGGAAAAAAAACTATATATGTCAAATATTATCGTAATTTATAGTAAATACTACAGTAAGCCTACATTTGAACCATTCTATAGTAGTTGTTGTGGTACTGTAACTTGATAGTTGGAAAACCAACTATTGTAATAATAAGAATAATACAGAATACTCTATCTACGACTATAGATTATATTATACTACAACCCTGCTGAAAAATCCAGCTTAAACCAGCCTAGGATGGTTGGCTGGTTTTAGCTGGTCGATCAGCCTGGTTTTAGAGGTGTTTTGGCCACTTCCAGGCTGGTTTCCAGCCATTTCCAGCCTGGTCTTAACTGGTCAGTCTGGAAAGTGACCAGCTAAAACTATCTAAAACCAGCTTGACCATCCTGGTTTAAGTTTGACATAGCTGGTTTTAGCTGGGCTCCCAGCCTGGCTAGGCTGGTCAAGCTGGTTTTAGCTGGTCATCTCCCATCCTGTCCAGCTAAAACCAAGAAGTGGTCAAAACCCCTCTAAAACCAGGCTGGTCAACCAGCTAAAACCAGCCAACCTGGTTAAAGCTAGATTTTTCAGCAGGAAATACACTAGTTTACTGTAGTAAAAACTAATACTATTTATATTAGTAAGCCTATATTTAGTAGTTCACATTACAGTATGCTACAGCATTCATTAACAAAGTCTTACTTTAACCAGGGAGCAAATTACAGGGGGGTTTGCAGGGGACAGACCCCCTAATTAACGCTTGATCCTACCCTGAAGGACATCAAAACAATATGGGTCAGCTCTCTAATAGTAAGAAATAGCTTTTTCTGATCTCCGTCTGATCTATATCTTAAATATTAATAATTAAAGATGTAGAATAATTAAAGATGTAGAGTAACAGTTTATACCATTGTGAATGCATAACACACCAATCAATGCAAGGAAAAATATGAATCAACAGTCTGAAACTACTGGCAGTTCTAGAGCACCAATAGACATCTTTAGTGTTCACAAAACACGTTTCTTGTAAAATAGGTGTTTATATCTGCATGTATAGCCTAAAAAAAAATAAAAATCTGAAACATAATTTGTAGTTTGACCTACAGTAGCCTCTAAAATAGTCACTTAATATCCTTCAACACACTGAAAATGTACACATTTTATAAAGAATTAAGATGCAATTTAAATACATTCATAAATTTGATTAACTGAAGCATGTATTACCAAACTACTACCAAAATAAAAAATGATAGTGGAATTTGCACACTGACTATTACTATTACATTTACTGTATAATACACTCTACAATAGTATGGATCAAAAACACTGGTATTTATTATAAATTACTATAGTATTTTTTATGTGGGACTTCAAATCTCCAGTCTGCTGTAAATCACAGTGATATTATATTGAAATCCAATATAAAATGTTCCTTAATGAAGACAAGAAACATACAGTATTCCTATGTTTAGAGGGAAAGAGAGAGATGTGTACTGCTGCATTTTAAAGTGCATAAAGCAAAACAAAATGTATAAAAAAAATGTTTCTGACACTAGAGAAGTCACAAAAAAGTTGCTTAAAAAGCTCCATCTTCCCGCTTTTGCTTTGCCATTATCAACACAATAGTGATTGCGTGAGCCAAGGGCTTTGAAACTCAACACCTAAAACCTGACAGAACCAAAGACATTGTTTATACTGTATGTTTAAGTGTCATAGCAGCGGTTCTTAAATCTACAGGCTCGTATACAGGACGAGAAACCAGGTACAGTAAATTTACATTCATTATTTACACAAAACGTCAACATATTCAAGCTTACAGATATTTGGACCACTGTGTAAAGTTGAATGCAAAATTATTAGCCAAGCTTTTTTTATTTAATTATTATTATTATTTTCAAGGGCTGTCTAACAGAGAAGATATTTTTCAACACTTTAACTAATTTAAACCTTTAGTTTACCAGAGAAACCTTAACATAATAGATTTAATGACTAATTATTAATTACTATTTTTTCTTGTCTTTGCCATGTTGACAGTACATTTTACTAGATATTTTGCAAGATACTTACAGTCGCTGGATAATAATTTGTTCTGTAGACAATGAAAACTGCATAAGGAATCACTTTAATGTTGTTCTGCAACTTTGTAATAATTCTATTGTATGATTTTATTTTATTGTTGTGTATGTGAATTTCCTTTGTGTGTATTCATTATTCACTTGTAGCATGTGATGTCATGCACTTGTTCAGTCATTTTCTTTTTATTATGCTTATTATTTAAGTAGAGCAGGCATGTCCAAACTCAGTCCTGGAGGGCCGGTGTCCCGCAAGGTTTAGTTCCAACCCCAATCAGACACACCTGAGCCAGTTAATCAAGCTCTTACTAGGCTTTCTAGAAACATCCTTGCAGGTGTGTTGAGGCAAGTTGGAGCTAAAATATACAGGACACCGGCCCTCCAGGACCGACTTTGGACATCCCTGAAGTAGAGGCTCTAAATAAGCCTTTTGAGCTTTTGCCTCTTCCTGCACATTATGGCTTAAGCTTTCAGTTTTACTCCAATAATTTTGTATTCTTGTGCAAATCAAGAAATAACTTTATGAAAAAAATGAAAAGGGCTAATAATATCGACCTTAAATTTGTTTTATTTAAACAAAAAATGCTTTTATTCCTGTCAAACTAAAAGAACCAAGACTTTCTCCACAAGAAAAATATTATAGAAAATACGGTGATCATTTCTGTTAAACATCACTTTGAAAATATTCGAAAAAGTATTAAAATTTCTAATAATTTTGCCTTCAACTGTGTATGCAGTATCACTTTATTTTGATAGTCCCTTTAACGCATTTTGTTGAATTTAAGTTACATTGCATCTACTGTACAACTAATTATCTTTAGAATACAAGTATAGGTTGGGGTTTGGGTTAGAGCAGGGATGGGATCCTCGAGGGCCGGTGTCCCTGCAGAGTTTACACTAGTCAAACACACCTGAACAAACTAATCAGTGTCTTCAAGATCACTTGAACTCTATAGGAAGGTCTGTTTGAATAGGGTTGGAGCTAAACTGTGCAGGACACCGGCCCTCTAGGACCGAGATTGCCCACCCTTGGGTTAGAGTAAGTTGACATGTACTTGCAAAGTTTCTTATAGTCAGCTGAATGTCTGTTGAAGGAGCAGTATTAGCAGATATTAAGCAGACAGTCTACTAATACTCAAACGAGAAGTAATTGCCATGTAGTTGCAATGCAACTTTTAGTCAACAAAATGTGCAATAGGGACAATCAAAATAGAGTCTTACCATGTATGCATGTGTGCTTGTAAAAATCCTTGACATTAAATCTGCATTTAAACGTTTAGCCAAGACATTAGTAGGGTTATTAGTAGGGCCAGACAGAATCTGCAGACATCATTTGCTATTTCTGTGCAGAATTTTGCACAATTTTTGCAGACTGATAACATTTATGTGGAATGATTTTGGGAGTATCATGACTAAAAACTTAATTTATAAAATGAAAAGTAATACCTTTTTAACTTTTATTTAATGTTTACAATGCAAATCCAGTTCGATCCAGTTATTTGGTAAACAAAGCAAGTCTCTTATATAGCTATAAGTCTATATCTATATATCTTATACATATAATATATATGCTAAAAGACAGAAAATATTTCACAAACTAAAAATTATACATACTAATTATTTACATACTAAAAGTTGTAAATAAATTAAATGAACATTTTCATATTAGTCAATAATTATACTAAAATGAATTAAAAAACCAAATTAATATAAATTCACACACATTTACACATGTAAATAAATAGACTCAGTGACAGGCTAAAAATCTGCGGAAATCTGCACGTGCAGATTCCGTGTGGGTATATAATTAGTTACCATAACTTTATTCACGAGTTCACACTCACAGATATTTGACTGGATAGAATATGCGTATTTGGTGTGCTGTCAGGGGAGAGGGCTCTAAGCTCGGGAAGACACCCTAACTCGTGTTATTCCCCTTATCGGGATAAAGAGAGATAGGGTCCGAGCGCAGTGTCTAGCCCGGCTCCAGAACGCTCCCCCCCCCCCCCCCCCCCCCCCCCCCAGATTTAAATAGGTATCTGGTTTAATAGTGTGGATTTGGGGTGGTGAAGAGACACTGAAGTCGAGAGAAACGGAGGTATGACAAGTTTGACTATTTAGGTGTTTGCTCCCGAGCTAATTGGATAATAGAATGATTGTGTGTGTGATGAATTACCTTCGTTTTTGTTTATATTTGTTTATAAAACATCACTTAGTTACCAATAAACTTGAACTAATCAACTGGTAACTATAGCTTTTAACAATTATGAAGGGGGCTAATAATATTGACCTTAAAATTGTTTTAAAAAATATTTATTGCAGCAAAAACACTAAAAGAACCAGGACTTTTTCCAGAAGAAAAAATAATATAGGAAACACGGTGATCATTTCTGTTAAACGCCACTTAATACCTGCAAAAAGCATTAAAACTTCACCAAAGGGATTATAATTTTGCCTTTAACTCTGTATGCATGTGTGCTTGTAATAAAATTTTAATTTAATCTGCATTTGAATGTTTAACTAAAATCTGGTTGTCCGTTCCCTTAATTTGTTTCAAAGGAAACTAAAAATGACAATGCCACTTATAATCAAAAGACCAAAGTCTTTCCTTCACAAGGACGTCAGACAGCTGAATCATAAAGAGGACGTCCAACTTCAGAGGAAACTACACAACATCAGCGCCAAATACAGACTCAACCTCAGACTCCTGGAGCAGGAGAGAGAACTGGTGTTAAAGGAGCACAAACGCCTGCTCAACTTAAGGGTTTGTGAACCACGCGCCACCATAAACAACACAATGAGGGCCATATCAGAGGTTAGAACAGCAAGCGGCGCAAAACAAACACGGTTTTCAAAATCCGCTCCAGCTTTCAGAGCTCTATCATCTGCATTTGAGAATAATGCAGAAGAGAGGACTGCAAAATCAGCATCGCTTTCTGTCAAGCAAGATGATTCCTTTCCATCTATGACGTCCAGACAGAAATTTAAAGCTTCAGAAAGTGGTCAGCTCTCTATTTTACATCTGAAAGACTTGTCGCTGATCGACAGCATCTCTGTGAAAGAGCTGATGTATCAGGAGGAGTATTACAGGTGGTATAAAGAAAGACTCAAACAACTGCAGAGAGAGAAACTGAGGCAGAAAATAACCAGTTTCCTCAACTCCATTGAACATATTTGAATGTTAATTATAAAACGATCCTGTTGAAGAAATAGTTCAGCTAGAAATTAACATTTAGTGTAACGTTTACTCACTCTCAAGCGGTGTTACTTTAAAAAAGTAATACAATACAATCGCAAGTCACTATAAAAAAAAGTAACTAAATGTTACTTAGTTAATTTTTAGGGAAAGTAATGTTAAAGTATGTTATTTTTGCCTTTTGTCTGCTCTTTTATTTGACAAGGACACATAGGGCTCTAATTTATCGACCTAGGAGCAAAGTCTAAAGCGCATGGCACAAAAGCATTAAGAACATGTCCGAATCAACTTCTGCTATTTTAAGGACAGAAACATCCGCTCTGACAGGGTTGTGCTTCTTCTCTTAATGAGTTATGAGTGTGTTTTGAGCATAACGTGCATTAAATCAATCAGTCTCTCATCTACCATTACTGTACCTTTAAGAGTCAGTTGTGTCGCATACTTTAATGTAGACTTTTTTATACACAGCAAAATCCTCAGAGTAAAATTAACATCTCCCACTGGTCCCACTACTACATAATAACACTGGAGCAGAGTTAAAGTTCTGATTGAACCGATATTAATGAACTCCTGCTGTTAAAAAGCAGAACTACTGAAGAAAAACACAAAATTACATCCAAATTCAGTCACAACCTTAGGCCCTGTTATTCACACAAACATGGGTTTTGTTTAAATTGCACCTTCTTTTTTTTTACACAAAAACACAGTATCAGGTCCCTAAAAGGCAATTATTAAAAAACTCTTATCAGAGTGAAGATTTTCAAAAGCGTGTGTGCTTTTTAGAAAATTGAGAAAAAAGTTTTTGTTTATAAAAATTCCTGTGTACCTGTGGACATGGCATTAGGAACTCAAGTGAAAACTCAATGAATCTCAGCTCATCAGGATCATTAAACATCTGCACAAACAGAATCAGCAGCTTTACTTATTACTAAGCTGCCAGACTATTTCTGTCAAACGTCTACAAAAGTCTGTTTTGAAATTTAATGAAAAAAAATTATGCTTTGTTAGATGATGCCTTTGTGGCATGTATTTACATTGCCACTACATATTATTTTTGTTTATTTACACTAGTATTTACTTTACCTAATGCTATTTTTTCTTGAACTGCTGTAACTCTATAGTGTGTGACCAAATAATCTCTACTCTTGGGATTTTGCTGTGTAATAAGACATTAAATCTATTATTAAAAAATTAAGATTAAATCGATTATTTTTCATATATTAATATTTGTATTAATTCATAATTATAATTAATTATTGCATTAATTATAATAATTGTCTTTAGCTAATATTTAAACTTCAGTTAAAGACAAACTTTTTAACTTTACACTTTTTCATTTATCTTTATGACACACACTAGTCTGTTAGGGAAACTAGTGTGTTTAATAATTTTAAGACAAATGGATTAGTTCTTTGTTTTTTCACATTTATTACCTTATATGCTTAATAATTTAGGGGGGTTCAAATCAAATGGTTTTCTAATTTTAATCATAAAAAATGTGTTTATGAATATGCATTGATCTTTTGAAAGCAATTGTTTAGAGTAACAATGCCAATGTTCTCCTCCTGTTCAAATTTTACATTGAAGGGTTCTTACACCGGCAACTATAGTTGTCGCATTTTCCTGAAAAAAAAAAAAGCCTGGAGAAATTGAATGCAAAACATGTTCATATAGGACACTATTAACAAGGCAACATGCATGAAACCATTTTTTAAAATTTGTCACAAATGGGTTAAAAAGTAACTTGACCCCAACACTGCTGTTACGAGTAGTGGTTGTTGTGGTGTAGTGTGTGGTGTTTCTTTCTTTCTTTCTTTTTCTTTCTTTCTTTCTTTCTTTCTTTCTTTCTTTCTCTCTCATTTTGAATTATTTGTAGGTGCAGCGGATTACGTCGAATCATGATTGGCGCTTGGATTGACGGCAGCTGTATTTAAAACCTGAGAACATGGATTCAGTGGCTTCCCACTCTCTCTCGATTCCCCACTTGTTATTCTCTGTAGAGATATTATTGCTTGAGTGATAAATGTGAGAAACTAGGTTTTCTGTCTCCCTGTTTGGCTTGGAGCATGGTAGAGAGGTTTGGTGCCTTCTGTTTATTATTTTCGTTTTCTCCTGTGTTGCTAGTAGGGAGGTAAGTTTTCTGTATTTTATTTTCTTATCTATGTTCCAAGTTTTCTCTAATTTAGTTAGCTTGTTTTATTGTCATTTATTTTGGCTGAACCCCTCCTGATATTATTTTTGCTTCTTATTTTCTGTAAATAAATCGTATGTTCTTGTTAATTCTCAGTGGTTGGGTTTTTGGTTTACATTTTGGGGCGAGAGAGCGCGAGGGGCACCAGGGATTATATTTTTAATCCCTGTTATCTTGTTACGTTTTGGTTAAACCTCTTTTTGATTAAGGATTTTTAATTTATTTCGTGACACTGCTCTCAATTGATTTCAAAACCTTTAGGAGTTTCATTTTTCTGTTAAAGACAAATTGAGAAACTGAAGGAAACTGATTGACATCCACAGTAGAAAAAAACACTATAGAAGCCAATGGGTTCCAAAATATTTATGCTCATCAACGAAAAGTAGCAGCAAAGGGTGAGTAAATGAAGTATTTTTTTTTTACATTTTTGGGTCTTTATATAAAATCTTCATTTTAGTATATCTGCCTCTGAATATAAAAGCGTTTAACTGTTTAAGCCCACTGAAAGAGTTTCCAGGAAATGCTTTACATGTTCAATAAAGTTATTAATTTCCTCCTGTTTCTTAGACGATGCTTCCCATCCTCTTCATGGTCAGGAGAGCCGTGTGAGCCGGAGACTCCAGGAGTAAAGCCTGGTTTGTCTTCCACTGTGCAGATCCAGAAAGTGTTTTATCTACAAAAAAAGCAAGCATATGATACAAAATGAACGCCATCATTTCCTTTTCCGTCTCATAATAAAATACATGCTTTAGATTAAACTGTGCATCACCTTTATCAAGTAAAGATCCTTACATTTACTCTAAAATAAATTTCATGTCAATAACAGCAACATGGTTTGTTCACACTTGTAGTTCAGTTTCTCTTGGTATTGGATTGTACCTTCACTCTCAATGCTGACGTGTGTTGGGAGACTCTGTGTGAGATCTTTATACTCCAGCGTGCATAAAACAGCTCTGGGGGGCTCGCTTTGTGCTGAACACATGAGCACCAGAATATTGCACAGCTCATTGCTCTCCATCACCTCCACCGAACCAACAAGATCCTGCGGAAAAGACAATGCATTTTGACATAATGTTGATAAATATTAAAGATATTTACCATGTCACAAAATATACAGCTAAAAAAACAACTTAGGAGACTAGTTGATAATTCTGTTTCTTTGGGTTTGGTTTAAGTAAGACAGGGGTGTCCAAACGTAGTCCTGGAGGGCCGGTGTCCTGCATAGTTTAGCTTCAACTTCCTCCAGCACACCTGCCTGGAGCTTTCTAGTATGCCTAGAAAGAGCTTGATTAGCTGCTTTTGTTGTGTTTAATTGGAGTTGGAACTAAAATATGCAGGACTCCGGCCCTCCAAAACTGAGTTTGGGCAGCCCTGCAGTAAGGGTTTGGTTTAAGTAAAAATGTAAATATTTGAATTATTCTATTAAGGTCTGAACACATCCGTTCAGTTTTACCATTCGGTTTTATTTGACAGAAAGTGCACATTAATAATACAGAAATATTCACTGTGAGAGAATTAGCCAAAAGGCAATCTGCATCTGGACTGATGCTAAAATAGTCACCATGAAAATATAAAACAAAATTAAAGAATACATAGTTAAACACAAGCTTCAAAATACATGTTTACGCCAAAACACTATAACTAAATCCAACAAGTCAATATTTCACTAATAACACGTATACAAATATACAGTTGGAGTCAGAATTGTTAGCCCCTGTTTATTTTTTCCCCAATTCCTGTTTGATGGAGAGATTGCAGATTTTTTTTCAACACATTTGTAAACATAATATTTTTAATAACTCATCTCTAATAACTGATTTATTTTATCTTTGTCATGATGACAGTAAATAATATTTGACTAGATATTCTTCAAGACACTTCTATACAGCTTACAGTGACATTTAAAGGCTTAACTAGGTTAATTAAGTAAGCTAAAAAAGCTAACTTAAAAAATAAAAAATTAACTAAAAAAAATTAAAAACTGATTTTGTTCTGGCCGAAATAAAACAACTAAGACTTTCCCCAGAAGAAAAAATATTATCAGACAAGCTGCCAGGCTTTTAACAGGCACAAAAAAGGAGAGCACATCACACCTGTACTGGTTTCTCTACACTGGCTGCCAATCCAGTTTAGAATTCAGTAAAGTACTGTTGCATGTTTTTAAATCCCTCCATGGCCTGGCCCCTGAGTACATTTCTGAGATAATTAATATACATCAACCCGTGAGATCTTTATTTGAAATATCGAGGTGATAGTTTTTTCAGTAGCTGCTCCAAGACTTTGGAATGATCTTCCACTCTGCTTAAGAACAGCTCCAACTTTTGAGTCTTCAGAGGTCACTGAAAACACGCTTATTTTCCATAGCTTTAAATCATGTGTTGTGAGTTTATGTACTTTTGCATGTGTTTTTATGTACAGCACTTTGGTACCCATTGTGGTTTGTTGAAAGTGTTCTAGAAATAAATTGAAGTTTATACAATTATTGAGTATTATACTACATAAGCCCCTTTCACACAGTGATACCGGTAAATATCTGGAAAATTTCCGGAACGACTTTACCGGTATATTCAAAAAAGCGCTGTTCACACAGGCGAGGACGTTACGGAAATTTTCCGGAAAAGAGCATTCACACATCCATTCCAAAATACCGGTAAATTCTGACATCATTCACCACAAATGAGCTCTAAACGGCTGCGCTTGTATTTGTAAACATTTGACTAAATTACAAACTCTGTGGATGATCAATATTGTGAACAACTTTCGCAGGATCACTTTCGCATGTCGAGATGTTCATAATATGTGCGTGTGCAGACGCTCACAGGCTGTTTCACAGGCACACGCAAAGCTTGAAGGTAAACAAACAACGGCTTATCATAAGCATCTCATCGATGATTATTTACACAGTTGGCATTAAGAAGAACATATAAACGTGATCTGACTAACTTCTAGCAGCTAAATGTGTCTGGAAAAATATTCAAAGGCTTTTATTCTCACAAACCGCGCGGACGTAAATGTGTCTGACTGTTGTGATTGGCTAAAGCAGACGTCTCACGTCAGCACGTTCTAGACGTGCACGCGCTTATTACGGCAATCTTCCTTCTGCATTTACACAGCGCAGCATTCCGGCAAATTGCCGGTAATGTTACAACTTCTCTTTCCGGAAAATAGCCAGAACGAATTTACCGGTATTTTCAAAAAGGACCTGTTCACACATACAACCTTTCCGGAAAATTGCCGGCAATTTTCCGGAAAGGTCTGTATGTGTGAAAGGGGCTAATGACTTGCCTAATTACCCTTACTTGCCTAATTAACCTAGTTAAGCCTTTAAATGTCACTTTAAGCTGTATAGAAGTGTCTTGAAAAATATCTAGTCAAATATTATTTACTGTCATCATGGCAAAGACAAAAAAGAAATCAGTTAATAGAAATGAGCTATTAAAACTATTACATTTAGTAATGTGTTAAGAAAACATCTCTCCATTAAACAGAAATTGGGGAAAAAATAAACAGGAGGGCTTATAATTCTGACTTTAACTGTATATATGCAACCTTAAGAAGCATACTTTATCAGAAAAACTGAAAAATCTTACAGACCCAAAACACTTATAAAATAAACAGATAATATTAAACGCAGCAATCCTGATACCTTGACGAGTGTGACCTGCTGTCTGCGAGCAGCCAAAGCGTTGAGGTTCTGACTGACGGTTTGCAGGAAAACTTTGAGGTCTTTCTGCAGGCTCTGCTTGGCTAAAACCTCCAGAGGGAACGACGGGGGGATGTTATGGCGAGAGATCTGGACGGTGCGCATCAGGTCCAGCTCCATGTTATACGTGTCCAGATACACACCTTCGTAGGCAGTGTGAAACGACACACACACGCTCTTTCCTTCCTTACACTCCACCAAATCAAATCCACCTAAGAAAGAAACACAATGGATCAGGTCTAAAACAGAGGACTGAGCTCAGTAGGGTCATTTCCAGGTTTTCCATAACAGTATGAACCCTGAGTTTCTCTGTTCATCTTTTATTCTGCACCCAGGAGAGCCAAAAGTTCTATAACTTCCCTTACTGTAATATACCTAAAACACAGATTGCTGTAAAAACTCGTCAATAACAAGAAAGCATCGTCTCCAACTTGAAGAGTATTACAAGTCATCTCGTCAATGCCGGGGAAAGAGCTAAAGGGACCTTAAAGTTAAAATCACCTCATCATTTAATCTTGCTCATGTGATTTTAAACCTTTATGAGTTTATTTCTTCTGTTGAATACAAAAGAAGTTCAAGAGTTCACACTTAGCTGATGATTGATCATAAAGCGTGTTTGGCATGCTGTCCCGGGAGAGAGCCCTGAGCTCATAAGATCCTCGAGCCCTGGGCTTCTCCCGTTTGCAAGGCGAGAGGGGAGTTTGAGCTGAGGTAGATCTCGAGAACTCCCCTGCTGTAGATGATGAACAGATAGTGATCACTCTTAAGAGATAACGACTTACTAGAAGCATGTCTATGGTGCAGATTTGGATTAGTCAATTAGCTTAAGCTGCATGTTTTAGGACGGTGGGATGAAATTAGGGGGAAACCCACGTGAGCCCGGGGAGAGTGTGTAAACTCTGCACAGAAACATTGGCTGGCTTGGTAAAGACTAGAACCAGTGATGTTCTTGCTGTGAGGCAACAGTGCTAACCACTGGGCCACCGTGCCACCCATCTAGGAAAGGAGGAGGAGTAGAGGTGGAAGGAGGGATTCTTCAAAATGAAAATGGCTGTCATATGGAACTTAAGGCTCCTACACACCGGGACGTTTTTTGTTTGCATTTATCGTTAGCGTTTGACGAGAGGTTTTTCAGTGTTCAAACCTAAGCGCTTTCCGCTGGCGTCAAGCAGACGAGTATGCTAAATCAATCTTTCGACGTTAGATGGCGCAGCACAAATATAAGCTTCTGACACCCGGTTATAACACAGAAAAAGTGGAGAAGCGGAAGTTCACAGTCACACGCATATTGTTAAAGTTACTGGTGACTCGAACAAGCATGGATGGTTCAAGCAGCAGCTCCAGCTCTAGCGATGAAGAAATGATTATTGTTTACCAGTGCAATAAGCAGCTGCACGTTCTCACACCTCTGGGCACCTTCTTCAATGTGCGCTCGCATTGACAGTTTTGCGCTTGAGCGCCTCCAAGTGCTGTTTTCGGTATCTTCAGCAGCTCCGTGCACGTGAACAAAGGTGCCGATCTGATTGGTGGAGAAGGTTTTGATGCAGCGCGTCAAAACAAAAAAACGAGCATGAGGTGTTTTTTTTTTTAAATGACGCTTTTGCGCCTGCCGTTTTGCGCGTTGGTGTGCACGATCACATTGACGCCCTTTATATAGTTATGAGGCGTTAAACGTCGATGGAAAACGCGAGCAAAAACGTCTCGGTGTGCACGGGCCTTTAGGGTATTTATAGTGGCTTAGAAATGGTCTGATTGGTGAATCATAAATTGAATAATGCAGGACCAGCTGCAAGCAATCATAAGCATGTGATCCTCTCGAAATTAGTTTAAAAATAAACTTTGCATATTTGTATGTGTTTACCTATTAAATGATGTGCGTGCTGAAGATCTTTCAGCTGCATTTTCCAAGCTGTTAACAAAGACTGTTGTAGAGCTGCGAAGCCTCCAGTTTCATCATCCTCATCCTCTTCATCATATTCAAAAGGAAGATTTTTGCTGATTTTATCTTTCAGGGTCTGCAGTACATTGACAACAGGTATTAAAACATGCACCAAAACAATAATTACACCAATATTACACTGCAAAAAATGCTTTTCTTACTTAGATTTTTTGTCTTGTTTCGAGTTCAACTATCTAAAAATTCTCAAATCACAAAGAATTTCATAGACAAGCAAAACATATTGTCTTGTTTTGAGAAATAATATGCCAATATTAAGTGAGTTTTTCCTTAAAACAAGCAAAATAATCTGCCAAAAGGGTAAGCAAATTAATATTATGTCAAAAGGAAAAACAAGATTATTTTGCTTTCCACATTATCATTAATACACAGTAACTTCATTTATTTTCCTTCGGCTTAGTCTTTATTTCAGAGGTCACCACAGCGGAATGAAACTCCCAACTATTCCAGCATATGTTTTACGCAGCGAATGTCCAGTACTGGGAAACACTCATACACTCTCACATTACACTATCACACACACACACACACTCGTACACTCTGGCCAATTTAGTTTATTCAATTTACTTACATCGCATGTGTTTACACTGTGGGGGGAAACCGGAGCACCCGGAGGAAACCTACGCGAACACGGGGAGAACATGCAAACTCCACACAGAAATGCCAACTGGCCCAGTCGGGATTCGAACCAGCGGCCTTCTTGCTTTTTTAAACGAATGTCTCTGTAATATTTGAAAGCTTTCTCACCTTGATGACGTTGGCCTGATGTTTGAGTTGATCTCTTTTTGCACGGAGGCTCGCAGCTCTGACTTTCAGCATCTGTATCCTCTCAGACTGGTGCTGGTCCTGCTGTGCCACACCTGCCCTCTCCAGAGACATCAGGTGACCCAGAACTCCTGATATACATGTATGATATGACACACAAAACAATAATTACATATATAAAAAAAGAAATTCATTCATCTATTCATTCTCCTTCAGCTTAGTCTCTTATTCGTCAGGGGTCGCCACAGCAGAATGAATCGCCAACTATTCATTTCATGCAGCGGATGCCCTTCCAGCTGCAACTAAGTACTAGGAAACACCCATACACACTCATTCACACACACTCATTCACACACACTCATTCACACACACACACACACACACACACACAAACACACACACACACAAACACACACACACACACACACACACACACACACACACACACACACACACACACACACACACACACACACACACACACACACACACACACTACAGCTAATTTAGTTTCTTCAATTGACTTATAGGTCATGTCTTGTGGGAGAAACCGGAGCACCTGGAGCAAACCCACGCCAACATCTCGAACCAGCGACCTTCTTGCTGTGAGACAGAAGGGCTAACCACTGAGCCACCATGCCATCTCTCTTACTCCTCTCTGTTTGGTCTAGTCCAGGGGTCATCAATCTCGTTAATGGAGGTCAGGTGCCCTGCAGGGTTTAGCTCCAACTTGCCTCAACACACCTGCCTGGGTGTTTCAAGTATACCTAGTAAGAGCTTGATTAGCTTGATCAGGTGTGTTTGATTAGGGTTGGAGCTAAAATCTGCAGGACACCTGACCTCTAGAAAAAAGTTTGGTGATCCCTGGTCTAGTCTGATCAAGTGATCTAAATTATCATGTGACTCCCATTTGGCTCCCATTTTCCATTACCTTTATTGTTAGGCATTGACAATGTCAACATATTATCAACATGACGGAACCGTTTGCCTTTTTTTTCTCTCAGTAAACTGCTTGTCACTTAATCTTGCTGTTGTCTTTTGATTTTTGATATCCGACAGTGTGCACTTTTTATTCTAATATGACACATCAACCCACAGGAGGCATTAAATCTACATTCTAAAGGATAAGACAGATGTAAACAAAACTTTTACAACATTTATTCTACAAATGTGTTTCCATAGGGGGATATGTTCACAAAATTTGCCAGATTATCTACAACATATCTATCTATCTATCTATCTATCTATCTATCTATCTATCTATCTATCTATCTATCTATCTATCTGTCTGTCTGTCCGTCCATCCATCCATCCACCCATCCATCTATCTGTCCATCTATCTTACGTTATCTATTTATCCCTGTCTGTCTGTTTATGGGAAAAGTCTGATCTTCTTTATTTACACAACGTAAAAACATAACGACAAATTAAGTAATAGCCAAAAAACAGATTCAATATTTGCAAGTATAGACTTTAAAACATATTGTAGACACCTACAAAATAGCAGAAGACAATGTAATTGAGTCGAAATATGCGTTTTAAGAGCGACATGCTATTTTTAAACACGCCTCGACATACAATTTGACACATTTATACAGTCATGTGCTTACCTTGATCCATTGTTTCCATCTTTCTGTCAATTAAATTAGCTTTTAGCGCCGTAAATTGTCACTTTTGCTCATTTGTTTCCTTGCAAACACAACTGTTTTGAAATCTGGCGCGCTGTTGTTTGTTGTCATTCACGACCTCGGAAGCAAACACAAAACACGCTCGGGCGCATCATCACTGCGCGCTGTTTGCGCAGCCGCGTAATCTGCAGATGAATATACACTGTTATACCCCACGTGGTTGCATTTTTATACAAGAATGCGCATTTTATATGATTTCAAATTATAGTGTACATCAAACTTTTTACAAGCACGTATGTCGATAATATATACCAGCAGCATACGTGTGTGCTGGGACAAATGCAAACAGCCACTAAGTACATTTAGATAGCAAATGTGTGTGTGTTTGACTGTCAAAGTGTGTGTCAGTAACCTTCAGGCGTAATGGCAGCAGTAACATTGGTGCTGTGTGTGGGAGGTGTGTGTTTCTGACAGTCCTGTGAGTGTGTGTCGGAGGAAATACATCGAGTGTGTTAAGCTTCAGATGATTTGACTGACCGTTTCAGGTAAGAACACCTGTAAATCTCTAACACCTACACACACATACAGTACACGTGCACCTGTTGTGTTTGTGTATATGCTGATCATTGACAATGCGTTCACAAACTGTACAAACCCACAACAACAAGGAAGTGAAACAGAACAACTTGGTGTTAGGGATAACTAACATTAATCAAACGCGAGTTTATTTATGTGTATGTTTATTTAATTATGTGTATTATGGTCTTGAGAAATGCATTTGGGGTAAAGTTGAAACTGCAATCTCGTGGCGTCTCTTTTGCATGCTAGTTGTTACTGCCAGGAACTGTTAACTCTGTAGTGCCTGGAGGTTTGGTGTTTGTTTACCATCCTTTGTTAACCCATGGGAACCCAACATCAAATGTGCAATAATAAAATCATCGTGCTTTAGTATATAGCATGTTACTGAATGTTTCTGATTAGATTTGGGCTCTGGAAGTAGAAATCATCTCATTTTTTTAATGACTCATTTCTAGATAAACTATGAACTAGTATGAGGTTGTTCAATTTATGGCTTTTAAAATTATTTTAAAAAGTTTTAATATGTGCTGTTTTAACAGTAACCACAACAGCTTAGTTGCTGGTTGTTGCAATGGAACACTATAAAATGCATTTTAATATTATATATGTTATATTTTCATTCATTTTCTTGTCGGCTTAGTCCCTTTATTAATCCGGGGTCGCCACAGCGGAATGAACCGCCAACTTATCCAGCAAGTTTTTAAGCAGCGGATGCCCTTTCAGCAGCAACCCATCTCTGGGAAACATCCACATTCACACACACACTCATACACTACGGCCAATTTAGCCTAACCAATTCACCTGCAGCATGTCTTTGGACTGTGGGGGAAACCAGAGCACCCGGAGGAAACCAACGCGAAGGCAGGGAGAACATGCAGACTCCACACAGAAACGCCAACTGAGCAGAGGTTCGAACCAGCGACCTTCTTTCTGTGAGGCGACAGCACTACCTACTGCGCCACTGCCTCGCCTTATATATGTTATATTTCTGTATTATTAATGAAATATAAATCAATATTTGACATTTAAAATTTTTATAAATATAAAACATATTTTAAAAATCGTTTATAATATTTAAATTTGGTTACATTTATGCTCTTTAAAATTATTAAAAACGTTTAGTTTTCGTTTTGAAAAGTGACCACAGCTACATATTTAATAATGGCTGGACATTGCAATAAAACATTATAAAATACATTTTTAATAATAATAATACATGTACAGTTAAATTCAGAATTATTAACCCCCCTGTTTATTTTTTCCCCATTTTCTGTTTAACGGAGAGAAGATTTCTTCAGCACGTTTCTAAGCATGATAGTTTTAATAACTCATCTCTAATTACTGATTTATTTGATCTTTGCCATGATGACAGTAAATACTATTTGACTAGATATGTTTCAAGACACTTCTATACAGCCTAAAGTGACATTTAAAGGCTTCACTAGGTTAATTACAGTAGGTTAACTGGGCAGGTTAGAGTAATTAGGCAAGTTATTGTATAACTATGGTTGGTTTTGTAGACTATAGAAAACAAATATATAACTTCATATATAACTGGTTCAGAGGTTGCAAATGAAAGGAGACGATCGACGCACAGCTTTAATGTAAAGAAAGTGGGATAGAATGGAAAAATACGGGAGAATTTCGGCAGAAACGGGAAGGTTTACATGAATAAAGTGAACAGAAAGTGTTTGTGGAGTTTTGCAAGAGAACGCAAAACATCTTTGCGAGGGAACGCAAAAACCTTAGAAATATGTTTTTCTATCACACTTTTTTTTTCTCTTCCACCCAGTTTTTTTTCTTCTACCAAATTTTTTTCCTCACCATCACTTTCCTTTCGGGTCTCTGTACAACAACAACAACAATAAACCAATAGTTTTATATTTGTATTTACTTTTCTGTTGCATAACCTCCATTTCTCCAGATTTAGACTCTTATTATTATTATTATTATTGTTGTTGTTCATATTTTTGTTATTGTTGTTATAATTTTAAGGTCATAAGCAGTTGTGCAAGCATTTCCATGCATACTGTGCATGACTCTATGTTACAAATACAATAGGAATTTGAATGCAATAGGAAATGTTCATTACTAGTGTTTCCCAGCCCTGTTCCCAGAGGCACACCAACAGTACATATTTCGGATGTCTCCTTTATCTAACCTTGATTACCTTCAAGTTTTGGAATCTCTTTTAAAGTTCTGATGAGTTGATTAGGTGTGTTTGGGTAGGGGGAGTTTAAAATGGTGTGCCTTTAGGAACAGGGTTGGGAAACACTGCATTTCTAGCACACACATATCCTGACTGACTAATAAGTGCATTATCTTTGATCAGTTTCAGCTCGTCGTCATCAGATTGGCAGAGCGATGGCTTTGACCTTCGCCCTGATCACGCAGCGGAGACTCTAATATCACGCTTCATGCCTGCAGTCTCAGCATGGATCCCGCAGGGCACAAGTACTTCACTGTTATTGATTATGTGATATTTGGGTTATTGCTGGTGGCCTCCATGTCCATCGGCCTGTACTACGCCTTCACTGGAGGACGGCAGAGCACCACACAAGAGTTCCTGATCGCCGACAGGAGCATGAAGTGTCTGCCGCTCTCTCTGTCTCTCATGGCCACTTTCCAGTCAGCTGTGGCCATCATTGGCACCCCGGCTGAGGTGTACGCCCATGGCACGCAGTATTGGTTCATTGGCTGCTCATATGTCCTGGGTCTCCTGATTCCAGCACACATTTTCATTCCCCTGTTCTACAGACTGCACCTCACCAGTGTTTATCAGGTACACAGCCTTTTAACGTTCCCCTATTGTGCTGTTTTAAAGCTATTTCCATTTTGTTTTGGATTCTTCTATAATAGATATAGTGTACATGGTCATGTCCAAGGTTAAAAAACACTGTAGTCACAATATTCACTGCAGAGTCAAGGTCTTTTCTCACTGTCTGAGATGACACATTTTCAAACTCCGCCTTATTGAGAGCCTACTCTGATTGGTCAAATGGTCCAAATCTGCTCTGATTAGATGACTCTGTTCTGCTCTAAGTGGTTAGATGGCTTTGCTGTTTTCTGATTGGTCAGATGACCCTACCCTACTCTACTCGCTATGATTGGCCAGTTGACCCTACCCTTCTCTACTCCAAGTGGCCTGATCATACTTCTCTACCCTTTCCTGATTGGTTGGATGGCTATATTCTGCTCTGATTGGTCAGATGGCCCTACTCTGCTAGAATTGGCCAGATGACCCTACCCTACTATACTCGCTATGATTGGTCAGTTGACCCTTCCCTTCTCTACTCCAAGTGGCCTGATGATTTTTCTCTACTCTTTTCTGATTGGTTGGATGGCTATATTCTGCTCTGATTGGTCAGATGGCCCTACTCTGCTAGGATTGGCCAGATGACCCTACCCTAATCTACATTGCTCTGAATGACCAGAAGATCCTATCCTACTCTACCCTGTTCTGATTAGTTAGATGGCCATATTCTACTTTGCTATGATTAGTCAGGTGACTCTATTCTGCTCTGATTGGCCAAATTAATATACCCTACTCTGCTCTAATTGGTCAGATGGCTATAGTCTGCTCTGATTGACCAGATGACCCTACCCTACGCTACTCTGATTGGCCAGATGGCTATAGTCTGCTCTGATTGGTCAAATGGCCATATTCTGCTCTGATTGACAAGATGACCCTACTTTGCTCTGATTGGTCAGATGGCTATATTCTGCTCTGATAGGTCAGAGGACCCTACCCTGCTCTGTTCTGATTGGTCAGATGGTCATATTCTGCTCCAATTGGTCAGATGAATCTACTCTGCTATGATCGGCCAGATGACCCTGCCCTACTCTGCTCTGATTGGCCAGATGACCCTAACCTACTCTGTTCTGACTGGTCAGATGGCACAACTGTGCTATGATTGGTCAGATGATCCTACCCTAATCTACCCTACTCTATTCTGATTGGTCAGATGGCTATACTCTGCTCTGATTGGTCAGAGGTACCTCCCCTACTCTGCTTTGATTGGTCAGATGACCCTACCCTACTCTTCCCAGATGGCCCTGCTCTGCTCTAATGAGTGAAATGGTCATATTCTGCTCTGATTGGTCAGATGACTCTACTCTGCTATGAATGGCCAGATGACCCTATCCTACTCTGTTCTGATTAGTCAGATGGCTCTACTGTGCAATGAATGGCCAGATGACCCTACCCTAATCTACCCTACTGTGTTCTGATTTGGTCAGATGGCTATAGTCTGCTCTGATAAGTTAGAGGACCCTACCCCACTCTGCTCTGATGGGTCAGATGGCTCTTCTCTGCTCTGATTGGCCAGATGACCTTATCCTACTCTGCTCTGATTAGTCAGATGACCCTACTCTGCTCTGATTAGTCAGATGACCCTACTCAGCTCTGATTGGCCAGATGACCCTACCCTACTCTGCTCTGATGGGCCAGATTATCCTACCCTAATCTGTTCTGATTGGTTAGATGGCTTTACTCTGATTGGCCAGATTAATCTTTCCTATTTTGCTCTGATTGGCCAAATGTCTATAGTCTGCTCTGATTGTTCAGATGCCTCTGCTCTGATAGGTCAACACATTTTAGAAACCAAACACTCAATATATCAGAATGTCTTCCTCAGCACTTGTAATCAACAGTGCTACAAACCATATAAACTCAAGCTGTTGATATGTCCTTATTTTGGAACATCATGCAAAGAGTTATTTGCTTTGGCAGCACAGAAAATGGCATCTTCTCAAAATGTCAACAACACAAACCTGACTTTTCCCAGTGTTTCAGTGTGACAGTAGATAGGTGTTATTTGCAGGCAGTCAATAAAGACCGTAGACGGATATAATGCAAAGTTTTTTGGAAATAAAATGATGTACTCATGACCTGTTTTTTAAAACTTTGCAGACATTTTTTTCATGCGCAAACAGCTACATTGCACATTACATGAAAGCGTATATCACAAAAAGCATAATGGAGCACTTTAAAATATTCTCCATATTAATAAAGCCATATCCTTGTATCTAAATTGACACTGTATTCTTTGTCGTCTTTGATTCACCTCACAGTATTTGGAGCTGCGCTTCTGCAAAGCCGTCCGCATATGTGGCACTGTTACATTCATCTTTCAGATGGTAAGTAGAAGAAAGCTTTAGTTTTACTTATACTTTCAGTTTTGCATATTTATAGTATTGCATGATTAAAGTTACCGGGTGGATTTCTTTTTGCAGGTTATTTATATGGGTGTTGGCATCTATACACCTGCTCTCGCGCTGAATGCAGGTATAATCTAATAATATATAATCAAAATGTGGCATATTTAATGCATACAGATAATAGACTGTGCTTTGACATGTTTGTCTCCAGTTACTGGTTTTCATTTATGGGGAGCAGTGTTGGCGACTGGATTAGTGTGCACTCTTTATACAGCACTGGTAAGAACATTTTATCAGTCGTTATATAGTTTGCTTTTATCCGGTCCTGTTGTACACAGTTCAGTTTTGTCAATTTGCATCAGCTTCGCATCTGAAATGTTTTTTTTTTTGTTTTTTTTTTTGCTTAAAGCATCTAAAGTTGGTCATTAACCCGATAGAGCAAAGATTTATACCTCATACCTCATTATATTTTATACTCTCATTTTTAAAGGGTCTGAATAATCAACATGATCAAAACTTTGCTGAAGAAAGTATATAAATGCCACAAATTATATTTGTTTACTTTTAGCTTCTATTGAATCATTAATTAAGAAAATACAAAAAAAAACTTTATGGATATGGGCGTACGTCAAGCCAGACTTATCCTGATTCCCATGGCTCTGAGCTGGTTATGGAAATTCAAAATTGACCCAAAACAAACCTCATGATTGGCAATGAAAGTTCAGAAAAGTGGTTCAACCTGCGTACTAAGAGCCGTGGGATTTTTTTATTTATTTTTTGGTAATATTTTAAGATGAATACTTATTGGGATGAAGACACTTTGATTTATATTTTTAGAAAAATGTTCAGATGTATCAAACATGATTTGTCAGGCTTTTAATCAGCGTTTATTTCCAGCACCTTTAATTTCGCTGTTTATCAGAGGTGAAATGATCCCACCGAGCCTCAAAAACACTTAAAACATCAACCCAATAGAGCATAGATTTATACTTCATCATATTTTATACTTCCATTTCTAAAGTCTCTAAATGATCGACATGATCAAAACTTTGCTGCAGAAAATATAGAATTGCTATAAATTATATATGTAAATTTGTTTACTTTTAGCTTCTATTGAGTCTTTAATTAAATACAAAAAAAACCTTTATGGATCTGGGCGTAGGTCAAGCAAGACTTATACTGATCCCCTTGGCTCTGCGCTGGGTGTGGAAAATCAAAATTGACCCAAAACAAACCTAATGATTGGCTATGATTGGCAATGACAATTCACAAAAATAGTTTGACCTGCGTACTAAGAAAAAAAATTTTTTTTTGGTAATATTTAAAGATGAATACCTATCAGGATGAAGACACTTTGATTTTATATTTTTTGAAAAATGTTCAGATGTGAGTATCAAACATGATTTGTCAGGTTTTTGATGAGCGTTTATTTCCAGCACCTTTACTTTTGTTGTTAGGGTTTGTTGTTAACCCTAACCCTAACTCTAATCAGAGGTGAAATGATCCCTTCCCAAACACTTAAAATCTCATATTTTGAGAAACACTTATACATGTATGTTCATACCTCAACCATCACCTTATTGCATGCATTATATAAAGGGTAATGAACTGAGAAAGTAAATTCCATTGAGCTTTTGGCAGACAAGAGGTCACAGTCCAATAAAGAGTTAAAAACTTGTGGTTCCTCTAAAATCTGCTTATATTTAAAATCCACAAGCTCTGGAATGTTAATAGGGTGGATAAGCCCCGCCTCCACAGAAGATCAACGCCCACTTCTACTTCACTGCCTGTTTAGCTCTATTAATATGCAAAACTCTTAGCCAATCACAGCAGTGGGCGTATATATCTGCGTCTACAGTCAGCCACACCCATTCAAACACAGTGTTCTGAGGATTGAGGGTCAAAATAGCACAGAAATATGCTTCTAAATTATGTTTTTAATGTACTTTTTAAAAAAAAATTGATATTTAACTAAAATTAAATTAAAGTGGAAGAGTTTAAAGCTAAGGAGCTTCAATTGTAAAACTACTGAATTATTGGGAGATCCAGATGAGCTCTTTTGACCTCTGAATAGTTTTAACTTCTGAATAACAAGGTTTTCTTTTTACTTATGAGCTGTACATACATCATTAATTCATTCACTTTCCTTCGGCTTTCCCTTTATTCATCAGAGGTCACCACAGCGGTCCATAAACATCCATACACACTCTGACACTACTCCATTCTGACACTACTGACAATTTAGTTCATCCAGTTCACGTATAGTGCATGTCTTTGGACTGTGAGGGAAACCAGAGGAAACCCACGCCAACACAGGGGGAGAACATGCAAACTCCACACAGAAATGCCAACTGGTCCAGCCGGGACTTGAACCAGCGACCTTGCTTTGAGGCGACAGTGCTAACCACTGAGCCACCGTCTCAGCAGGTCTGAGAAGATGATTGTGCTGTGATTTGTTAGCTGTTGTGATTTATTGTGTGTGTTGTTTCCTGCTGGTAGGGTGGGCTGAAGGCGGTGGTCTGGACGGATGTTTTCCAAACAGTGGTCATGTTCACTGGTCAGCTGGCCGTCATCATTGTTGGTGTTCACCAGGCTGGTGGTCTTTCTGAAGCCTGGGGTAAAGTCAGAGACGGTGGACGCATCTCTGGGATTGAGTATGTTCACTTTAAATGGTTCACTTTAAAAGCTATTGTTTTAACTGTAGCTGATGATAAACAGTACAAATGACACATTTGACCTCTTCCCAACAAGAGAAACCACCAACAATCAGAAATGCATGATTTTACAGTATGCTGTCATGGCTTTGCAATCAAAAAATGTCATTGTAATGGAAGTCAATAGGCAAAGACAGCCACAAACATAACAAAAGGGTAGTCAATTTGAACAGTACACAAGGGTAAATTCTGTAGTGTAATCTTGCATAGGCATCAGCTAAAGTGAACAGACGCACAAATGGTTCTTCATTGATTCTCTCTCTGTGTGTTCAGCCTGAATCCTGACCCGACGGTGAGACACACGTTCTGGACGTTGGCTGTTGGAGGAGTGTTTCTCATGCTGTCTCTGTATGGAGTAAACCAGGCCCAGGTTCAGCGCTACCTCAGCTCTCGAACAGAGAGAGAAGCCGTCATGTAAGTGCTCATTTCAGTGACTGACCCTTATGCCGAGTTCAGACTGCATGATTTTAGCCCCGATTATAGAAATCGTAGACAAATGGCTGAAATCGCAGGCAAATCGGTGCTCGTGCACGTGAGTGACAATAACACAGTGTGAACTATCAAAGACGTGTTCTGAGAGAATCACAGATGAGTCGCCGATGCCTGTGAAAAATTTGGCATGCTGAATATCTAGAGGTGTCGGCATGATTCAAATCATGCTGTTTGAAATTAGTTTTTTTTTTTTATATAATTTTTTATTTGTAGTAGCAATAAACACAGTACAATGATTCCACTTAAGAGAAAACATTTCCCACTGCTTAACATTTTTCTTTTTCACAAACTCTAAAGTAACAGAACACAAAAAAAAAATAATTTCATTAAATACAATATATGAAAATAACAGTAAAATGGTAACATAAATAATATCAATACTAAATTTCCATAGGTCAGAGAGGGTCAAATCTTTATTTATTTATTCAACTTTAGGTTATTATCAACTGTGAATTACTAATTTAAAGAGAGGATTAAGAGGGGGAGTGCAATGGGTCGTAAATTGAAAAATGTTTGTTATGTGGATGGGAATTAGATAGTAATAGTTTGATATTTCTATGAAGATTGGATGGAGCAATCTAACGTAATCAGTCCACTTGGACCAGATGTTTCTAAATGTATTAATTTGGAGTCGAAGGGAGAATGTAATTTTTTCCATCACATAGATATTATATACTATCTCTAGCCATTCTTGGGTTGTTGGGGATTCAGGAAGTAACCAGTGTCTTGTAATTGCTTTTTTGGCTGCGATTATTAAAATATCAAGTAAGTATTTATCAGATTTACATATTTGGATATCAGAGCTTCCAAAATAAATAACTATAAATTGAAAGGGTAGTGTAATATTAAGTATGTTTTCTATTACTCCATGTACTTCTACCCAAAATTGTTTTATTACTGGACATTCCCAAAAAATGTGCCAGTGATTAGGTTCCTGAGACCCGCATAGTCTCCAGCACTTAGTGTCCTTTCCTGTGGTGTGAAATTAGTTTTGACTGAAAATAACATCAACGATCGCCTACAGCCAATGAGAGAGCAGCTTTCACTAGTGTGTGTGTACCTGCAGGCCAGCGGGAGGTTGAGTGAGAAGTTAAAAGCGCTCGTTTTCTGGTTTATTTGGACCCAAGAAATGAAGGAAAAACTAGTGGAGGTTTGACAGGAGCACCAGTGTCTGTTTGATGTTTCATACAGAAAGTTAAAAAAGAAAGTTGAGGAGAAATTGCTAATTTCCTTCAAACCCAGGTGAGCAAATATGCACATTTTCTACCCCATTAAAGGCTTCTTTCTCGTTGTGTAGTTAATAACAAAAAATATACGACGTGTTTTTGGCTGTGAGACGTAGTTTGGACAAAGTTGTCGGCGATTATTCCTATTGTAAAATCATGCAATGTGAATGTCCCTGTCGCCGATCTATCTTGCAGTGTAAACAAAGCAACGATGAAACGCTAGCCCAGATAGTCAAGCAGTGTGAAAACATCTGTGACACGACTACTTTAAAAATCATGCACAGGCTGCTTTCACACCTGTGAATCGATTCAGTTGTTCTGAAATAGGGATTAAAATTGTTACATTGTTGCTCTTTGTTCTTGGTGCGGTTCGCTTTCACATTGCAAAGTTTCTAAACGGACCAAAAGAGCTAAAACAACTCACGTGTGAGTAAACTCTCCTCACATTGGTCAGAGTTTCAGGGTTTATTTTGCAGAGTCCCGCTCAGCTGTCAGGGGGGTGGTGGTTTGGTGGTGTTTGACAGAGTGCACCCGACGTGTCTGAAGAGCGAGGAGAGGTGCAGTGGGGAGGGCTGAGATGGGTGGGCGACGTATTTTAGGAGCGGGAGGGTTACCGGGAGATTATCACTCATTTGCGGGCATCCGGGAGTCTCTGTGCATTTGCGGGAGACTCCCGGAACTTCACTGGAATGACCTCCTGCCCAACCCATAATTCTCTCTTCATATAGCCGTATACCTATTACATAGCAATAAAACACTGTGATATAGCCGGGCTCGGATCGTATCGCTTTCTCACTACAATCGATCAGCTCCAGAGTTTGTTTCAGTCGAGCCGAGACCACCTCATTCAGGCGATCTCAGACCGATTGTTTGCGTGGCTTTTTTTTTTCTACTGAGAGCTGATTACATGTAGTAAAGTAGGCATTTCATTTAGAAAGATCTGGCAAAGTGTTTGGGGAGAGTTATTACATCCTAACAGACCATTTCTGTTTGTTGTCAACTGACAGCTGGAGAGGCGTGGCTAAGTGTGTTAGCCACGCCCAATACCTTAGACTGATGTAATCTGAGAATTTAACTGAAAACAAACAGGAAGTGCGTTTTCAGACTTCAATTTTAGGGCAGGCAATTTTTGTTTCTTAATGACATGCACGGATGAATTGTTCACCACTTGCAATGTGAGCTAACAAAATCAGTAGGGTTAGTTTTGATTTCATGTGTACGTTAATGACAAATATGGGCTGTTTACATCTGATCACTTTATGTTAGGGTTGGGCGATGTCGACCATTTTTGCATCATACGATGTCTTATATAAAACAGCGATGGACGATGGCATTGTCGTCATTGGCAGCGGTGAATTAATTATGAATAATTAATTAATTCATAACAAATAAATTATTTGTACCCTACCGTTTTAACTACCTGACACGCATGGTCTTAGTTTAACCCATAAACAAATCGTACAGTAAATGAATAAAGATAAGTTACACACATGATTACCACCTGTCAATCACTTTTTTTCGCAGGACTCGTGAATATAAATAGGCAGTGATCTGTGTCATTATAATCCAACCCTACTAACCTATTTAAGTGTTTCACCTAACATTATAATAGGAGGACGCCCCGCCCTCCCAATGGCTTTCCTCGCCCCCCCTTATTTTTTATAAAGCGCCAGATCACAACTTTTAATAAGCTAAATAGCCGTATGTAATATATTATTTACACAATGGCATGCAGGGCTCGAAATTGCACCATTTGGTCGCATATGCGCCCAAAATTTAATCTATGCAACCTAATAATATATTTGGGAGCATATGTACAACTGCATATGATTGTAGTGCGACCTGTTGATTTTTTTTGTGCTGAATCGCTCTTCACTATCGCTTTATTGGTTCTGTCAATCACCCAAGGCTTTACGCTGTCAGATGATGGAGCTTTTGTGACCACAAACAGCTGAAGTCTTAGGAAGACACAATGAAAAGTACACTGGTTTGCAAACCCACCCAAAGTTACAAATAATGGCACTGATGAGAGCGATCATGTGTCAAATGTTGATTTGCTAGCCGAGATCAACTGAGTGTTTTCGGAGAGACTGCTGAAAGACTCGGAGAGGATCAGCTGTTTAATGGCCCAAATCTCGATGCGTTGCATTCACTCCGTGTTCAGGGCAAATGGCTGCTAAATGTAGTTTTTAACACTGCGTAGACCTTTTTTTGGCTGCTGCATGGAGGGCGCCATAGCGACCAGCGTCTTCCGGTAGAATGTTTAGATTTTCCGTTTACATCGTTTACAACCGGCAATTTGCGCTCCCAAAATGGATGTCAATAGTGTTTTGAGTGGATTGCGAAGTGTTTTTGTGACGCACAACTCTGAAAAGTGTGTGTTAAAGCCGTTTAATCTGTCAGATGTGGTTCAAGCGCGAGAGAAAAACATTCTCCTAGTTCACGTGTCTGCTATCAGAAATACAGTGTGTGTGTGTTTCCCCGGCCTGTCAGCTGTTAGCTCAGCGGTTCTTCAACACACACACACACACACACACACACACACAAATGCTCACACCACATCACTGCATCATTGATCAAACCAGATTTCTGGCATGAAACTTAACAGGTATGTAAGTCATGCAATTTACAAAAATGACTAATAAAAGTCTGTTACTGATACTCTGCTGGCGGGAGCAGTTCAGTTTCATGTAGTGTGTTGTTTTTACTACGGTTTGTGTTTTTCTGCCATTTCAAAACATCACTTTATTTTCACTTTGTCACAGTTATTAAATGAGTGTGTCAGTGGGACAGTACAGGCTACATGTGTGTGTCAAACATTTTGGTGAACTATATTTGTTTGGGCTGGTTATATATTTTAAAGAAAGAAAAAATGTTGACTTTAGCGATGAAGAGGCTTCATTTAAACGGCAGAAGATGCCGTCTGACAATGAGGGGAAAATACCTCACAGCAGTTGTTTTCCATCCCGTTAGACCACATTTTTTTAAATGATCAGTCCAGGAGGTGGTGCTGACAACAGTATTAGTTTTAGCTTTCCATATGTGACTTTTTATACGCATCAGCTGCCGACTGGAAGTTCTTAGCATTCTCCTTGCGCATACACGCAAAGCATAATGGGTAATTTAGCGTTCAAAGAAAAAAGTCTACACAACAACGCCAAAGAAGCTCGCCTTTAAGTTTAAATTGAAATGGCTCATGACAAAGAACGGTACTGCGCAGGCGATCATCACGATAATCCTGCTCTGCCTGCTCATATATTGGCTCGGCTGACTCGCCTGCTTTTCCACAAACACAGAAAAATGTAAATCCGATCATAAAGAGACACAAACCGAAAACAAAACCTTTAAAGATTGGCAGAAGTGAGACTTTTCTTCCTTTTGTCTGTTCTTTCTTGACATGTATGTTGTTTTTCTATGTAGTTACTGATGACGGCTTTGCAGCTTTCAGCATTGAATTGAATAATGTATTATAATCTTACGGTTATGTTTTGTAGCAGAGATATTATTTGTTTATTAAATTGACATGCGTATAAAAACAATAGTGCAGAATTTCTTATTGCAATGCTTAATTTTTGTTTAATGCAAACCATTTATTTTCATAATGTAACAGTAGGACTTTATATAGCAGATAACTCGCATTCAAGCACATGTAAGGCAAAATGATCATGAGAAATTTAATTCATTATTAGTATTATTGACCTGTCGAAGAGTCAAAAGTGGAGCTAAAATCATGCAGTCTGAACTCGGCATAAAAGTAAGGAAATGCTGTTTTGTAGTAGCTTTTGTCCTAAATGTGGCCCTAGTTGAAATGACCATAGTTCTCAAATTGGTGGAAGATTTTGAAGTTGTTATGTTTCTGTTCTCCACCTGCAGGTCCTGCTACATGGTCTTTCCCTGCCTTCAGCTGGCTTTATTGCTCAGTTGTCTGATGGGATTGGTCATGTTCGCCTGTTACGGCCAAAACAGCCCCGTTGAGCAGCAGTACATCACATCCAAAGACCAGGTTAGCAGCAGTACACTCCTCCTGAATGATCTGAATGCGTATCTAATCTAATCCCTGATATGAAGATTACATTTATATATGACATGCTTTGATCTTTCAGATGGTGCTGTACTTTGTTATGGACATGTTGCAGAATTTCCCTGGACTTCCTGGATTGTTTGTGGCGTGTTTATTTAGTGCGTCTCTCAGGTAACGGCAGGAGGATTGAATCTATCTATCTATCTATCTATCTATCTATCTATCTATCTATCTATCTATCTATCTATCTATCTATCTATCTATCTATCTATCTATCTATCTATCTATCTATCTATCTATCTATCTATCTATCTATCTATCTATCTATCTATCTATCTATCTATCTATCTATCTATCTATCTATCTATCTATCTATCTATCTATCTATCTATCTATCTGTCTGTCTGTCTGTCTGTCTGTCTGTCTGTCTGTCTCTTTCCTTTTTATCCTTCTGTCTGTCTGTCTGTCTGCCCTTCTTTTTATCTGTCTATCTATCTATCTATCTATCTATCTATCTATCTATCTATCTATCTATCTATCTATCTATCTATCTATCTATCTATCTATCTAAGTTACTTAAAAAATGGCAGATACTGGACCTTTGGTAGTGTTCACACAGATCTGCTTTTTTTTATTACATTCAAAGTAGAACAGACATTTGGTGCAAAAACATGCAATAGTTATATAAGGTAAAACTAAAAATGCACTCTCCTTATTTTGTCTCGCAGTACGATATCATCAGCTTTTAACTCATTGGCCACAGTGACAATGGTGGACCTGATCAAACCGCATTACTCGATGACGGAGGCCAGAGCCACACTGCTGTCAAAGCTGCTGGGTGAGATGTGACTGTCTCTCTTCATTTCAGATGCAAACGTTTCTTCTAGGAGCTCAAATGTTTATAATGCATGATTCTATTCCTCATCCAGCTCTGTCATATGGGATTATATGTCTGGCTATGGCTTATCTCGTCCATTTGATGAACAGTTCAGTTCTTCAGGTAAGAATCCAGATTTTTTACAATTCTTATTTTATATCCTGCAGTCGTTCCTGCCAACATATTTCTCCCATATTTCAGACCCATCTCCCGCCTATTTTGGAACCCTGTGTTTGCGTCACGAAATTCAAATTTTTTTTTCTGACTTCTGAATTCTGACTTTACATCTTGGAATTCTATATATATTGGAATTCTAAGTTTACATCTTGGAATTCTAGCTTTCTACAAATTCACTGTTTACATCTTGAAATTCTACTTATTTTGGAATTCTGCGTTTAGAACTAACATTTATGAAACAGCTTAAGAGTATTTTGGAGTTCTACATTTTTGGGGATTGTGAATTTACCTTTTGGAATATCCTTTTTATTTTTATCTCTTTTATTTAGTAAATTAAAATTCTATGCTTTTTGTATTGGGGTTAAATTTTTATTTAGAATTGATTTTCAGCTTGTACTTTTTTTTTATTTTGAGTTGACATCTTAGAGTTTTAGCTTTTTTTAAATTGTGTTTGCATCACAAAAGTCAACTTTTTTGGAGTATAAATTAACATTCTAAGTATTTTAATAGGGTTCATTATTTAGAATTTGGATTTTACTTTTTGAAGTTCTGGAATTTGGAATTCTGTCTGTTTTTTTATTTTAAGTTTACATCTTGTATTCTACCTTTTTATAGAGTTCTAAGTTTACATCGTTTTGCTGGAGTTCACTTTTTTTACATCTTGGACTTCTAACCTTTTATAGATTAACTAGGTTTACATCTTGGAATTCCATAGATATTGACATTAGATGCCGCCTACGCTGTTGTTGTCTATTGGAAGAAATGCGCTAATAGAGCCGCCATTTTAGTACAGGGTAGCGCTCCTTTAAATTAATACTCTCTTGCTTTCACTTCTAATTCTAATGGAGGGAGCGATTTGTTTAAGACTGAATTTTTGTCATGAACGACTCATGGGAACCATCAATATCCCTGAGTCTCAATGAGCATATCCACCTTACTGATCTAAATGGTATATAACATTTGTAATATTCAATAATTTAGGGTGGACTGTATGCATATTGAGGCACATGCACTGTTATGTTATCAGGCACCCTTATAAGTTAAACTTGTATAACTTGATGTCACTTTACTTAGCCGACAATAATACAAGTTTCTAGCACCGCAGTGTCGTGTTGTCAGTGCAGTTTCAGTTACTGTACTTCTGTATTTGCTTCACGAGGGAGAGTGGGAGGTTGGCGCTTGGTTTACATTTTGAAATTTTAAATGTTTTGGAATTCTGAATTAACATCTTGACATTCTACCTTTTTTTGGAATTCTGAGTTTACACTTCACTATTTCATTAATTTTAATTATTTTTTAAAATGTTTTGCCTGAAGTTCTAGCTTTTTTAGAATTCTAAGTTTACATCTTGGAATTCTATCTTTTTTGAAATTCAGAGTTTACACCTGAAATTTCTCAGCTCTTTGTTTTTGTCAGAATTTATAGATAATAGTTTATATGTCTCAATTGTAATTCTCCGTATAGTGGCAGAAATAAGATTTTAAAAATGTGCGAAAAATAATCTCACAATTCTTAATTGTAGGACATAAACAGGCAATTGAGAAAGAAAAAAATGTTTTTCTTTGTTTGTCTTTTCTTTAAATCTATGGCAAAAAATAAAAAAATAAAAAGTGTCCAAAAGTACCAATCAGCCTGTCGTTTTTTATGCAGTATAATCAATCTGGATATACATCTTCCTTCACATTCACCTTTTGTAATTTTTGTTTTTTCAGGCTGCTCTTAGTATCTTTGGGATGATCGGCGGTCCGCTGCTTGGTCTCTTCTGTCTCGGCATCTTTTTTCCATGTGCAAACAGCATTGTAAGTTCTCCATCTAATTCAGTCAAGTCCAGTCCATAAATTCATGCTTGCAGCTTCACATAAACCATTTCTTTTCTCATTCAGGGAGCTGTAACAGGACTTTCAGCAGGTCTGCTCATGGCATTCTGGGTTGGCATTGGAGGTTTTTTGACTCGGATGCCCAGTCCTGTGATTCCCCTGCTTAACTCCACTATCACAGTACCAGACGTATCTGAAAACATCACAGCGGCGACTGCTGAACTAGAAGCTGACAGGTGAAATGAAGATCAATATCAGCATGGGGTCTAGTTTATATATACAGTGGGGAAAATACGTATTGAACACGTCATGGTTTTTTTTCATGGGAATAATATTTCTAAAGGAGCTAAAAACTAAAAAAAATTGTTCTGTGTAATAAAAATGGAATGACACAAAGAGAAAGCGCTGAACTACTGAAATGTATTTAATACTTTATATTAAAGGCTTTTTTGGTGAAGGCAGCTTAAAGACGCCTCTCATATGGAGAATGAAGTCACATGCATTGCTCAGCTGTGAGTTTCTCACACACTTCAACAGTGTCAAAATCTTGATGGTTCTTTGGGTCTCGTCTGTCAAATCTGAGCTTTATTTTGTATTTTCTATTGGATTCAAGTCAGGGAATTGGCTGGGCCATTCTACAGCTTGATTTTCTTTCTCTGAAAGCATTTGAGAGTTTCCTTGGTTTTGGATCATTGTCTTGCTGAAATGTCCACCCTGGTTTCATCTTCATCCTCCTGCTATTGTAGATGTTGGCCTGAAGCAGCTGATATTCATTTACACTGAGGATGAGCAGATAATTGCTGAGATTTTAGCTGCTGTCTGGGCTTTCACTGCCTTTCTACACCTTCTTTTCTTCATATGTTGAAAACTGTGTCATTTCATTTTATTGCACTTGACTTAATTTGTAAATTAGTTGCAAAATTCTTTGGTTGTTACCACATCCGGTAAAAGTTTCAAGGTAACGGCACCTTTAAAAATAAGTTTTCTGCGCAAAATGGTGACGTGTTCATTACATATTTCCCCCACTGTATGTATATAGAGTGACAGAATGAAATCTTTGTTTTTCAGCAGGTCTGCGGGTCTGCATGGGTTTTATTCTCTGTCCTACATGTGGTACAGCGCTCTCAGCTCCTGCACTGTGCTTATCGTTGGACTCATTATCAGCTGCATCACAGGTAGGAGTTTTCACTGTAAACAAAGTAAGAAGTAATTGAACTTTATATATTACAGTTCTGACTTTTTATCCCCCATAATTGCTAAAAAGGTTCTTGCAAATTCAAAACTATAAATGCATACAACTGAAAGTTTGAATGTACTTTAGTTTATTTTTCACACTCCTTTTACACATTTTGACACATTTTTGTACTTAAATGATCTTTTATTCAATGGCAGCGTTTCTGCAATAGCACCTTTTCCCTCAAAATTGCATGGGAAAAATATATAGTTTAAAAATAGTTTTTATTTTTTTGTCTATTTTAACATCATTAATATTCTTTTAATGTTAATTTATAAAAATGTAACTGTTCTTTGTTCCTGTTACAAATAAAACTTTTGATTTTATAAATATAAGTGTTGAAATTATATAAACAATTATATTACTGAAAGCTTTTTTAGTTGATAGGTCATAACTAATGCATTAGAACAACTAAAAGCCGATTGTAAATTGCTACAAGTGACCCGACATAAGAATATAAATTACAAAACTAAAATAATAAATAATGTTGCCCCAGCAAAAAAAACGCAAATAAGATAACTGAAATACATTGGTTTATGTATTTACTAACATGAACACACAACGAACAACACATTCAATATAGTAATAACTAGTTAATATTATTTATATCTATTATATAAATTTAGTATCGTCACGCTTTATTTTGATGGTCCGTTTGTTGAATTTAAGTTACATTGCAACTAATTCTCATTAGATTATTAGTAGACTGTGGGGTTAGGGTTAGTGTAAGTTGACATGTACTGTACTTGCAAAGTTTCTTATAGTCAGTTAAATGTGTGTTGAAGGAGCAGAATCAAGTAGACAAGCTACTAATACCCCATTTACACAGGGCGTCAGCTTCAACGCTTCCCATTCACTTTGAATGGGTGATGTTAGGTGCTGCCAAACTGCATTGTGGATTCGTCGGATATACACCAGCTCAGACAGTAGCCGATTGCTGACTAATTTCATTGGCTGATGCTGCTATGATGATCGCATCAGTCCTAACTTCAGATATGCCCTCTGTTAAGCGTTGACGCTTGAGCCCTGTGTAAATGGGGCGTAATACTCAAGGACCATCAAAATAAAGTGTTACCTTATTAGTATCTATTTATTATTTAATAATTAGTTCTCGTTTACTTCTCATGCAATAATTAATGTAAACAAGCACAACTTTGAATTTTAATAATGCACTAGTAATACGCTGAACTATGATTAATAATTGCTGTAAAAAGTTTGTTAATACTTGGTTCCTGTTAGGGTTGTTACCATTACATTGGAAACAACAAATAAACACACACACACACACACACACACACACACACTCACACAACAATACAATGTTACTGTTTATATTTCCACTCATTATTTTTCAAGGCCCAACAAAAGGAGACGATGTGGCCTCGGGCACAGTATATCCTGTGGTGAAAACAGCTCAGTCTTATCTGAAGCCCAGCACTTGCTGTAAAACTACTGCTGAGCACAAGGTAAGAAACTCCTGTGTGCATTTACACGACACCATTTTCTACAAATATTTTTGTGCATTTTGGACATATATTTTTTTGACTCTGGCATTTGCTGATTTGCTTCACACTGGGAGGGCAGAATTTTTTGTTTCTGTTTTTTCTTCTTCTTCTACGTTTTCTAAATTGCAAAGCTTTTTTATTTTTTTGTTGTGGTGATGGTAACACTCTAAAATGCATCATTGCTTTGAATAACTTAACTATAGTAAATCATCTTTAGCAGGTTGACGGTCAGAAAGAAATGAATGGCACCGTAAAGGAAGATGCTGGAAGTCAGGAAGAGACGCAAAGATTTCTGCCTGATGTGGAGCTGGAGACCTCAGTGTAACACTGTAAATATCTGTATATTGCTGGTGTAAGTATTCTGAGGGAAACAACTTTATCTAGGTGTAATATTTTGTAATAGACTGTATATCTGTCACATTTGTATTCTTTTTTTATGTCTAGCTGCTGTATATAAAACCAAAGAAAATATTTTTTACAAATGCACTGTAATAAAGTCTGTAAAGATGTGAAGTACAAATTCAAATGACAGAGAGAATGTTCTTTTCTAATAAAAGTATGTGCATCATGTGCTGCTGTAGGCCTGCTCAATCCCTCATATCTGCCTCATATTACACCCCTACATAATGTTAATAAAGTATAAGCAGTGACATTATACATTTAAAACTGTACAATTTTCTTATTACTGCTATAAGAATTGGGGAAAAGTGTTAAATATAAAGCAGTACAATTCAATATGTGTAATTAAATATTTTTTACATATGGTTTATAACCTCACCAGCTATTTTTATTAAAGTACACCTGTTCAACTGCTCGTTAACATACATTTCTAATCAGCCAATCACATGGCAGCAACTCAATGCATTTAGTCTTGTAGACATGGTTAAGACGATATGCTGCTGTTCAAACTGAGCATCAGAATGGGGAAGAAAGGTGATTTAAGTGACTTTGAACGTGGCATAGTTGCTGGTGCCAGTCGGGCTGTTCTGAGTATTTCAGAAACTGCTGATCTACTGGGATTTTCACGCACAACCATCTCTAGGGTTTACAGAGAATGGTATGAAAAAGAGGAATTATTCAGTGAGCAGCAGTTCTGTGGGCGCAAATGCCTTGTTGATGTCAGAGGAATGGCCAGACTGGTTCCAGTTGATAGAAAGGCAACAGTAACTCAAATAAACACTTGTTACAACCGAGGTCTGCAGAAGAGCATCTCTGAACAAACAACACGTCCAACCTTGAGGCGGATGGGCTACAGCAGCAGAAGACCACACCGGGTGGCTACAATTCTCACATGCTCACCAACATTGGACAATAAAAGATTAGAAAAGCGTTGCCTGGTCTGATGAGTCTCAATTTCTGCTGTGACGTTCAGATGGTAGGGTCAGAATTTGGCATCAACAACATGAAAGTATGTATCCATCTTGCCTTGTATCAACAGTTCAGGCCGGTGGTGGAGGTTTAATGGTGTGGGGGAGATTTTTTTGGCACACTTTGGGCTCATTAGTACCAATTGAGCATCATTCAACTCCACAGCCTACCTGAGTATTGTTGCTGACCATGTTCCATCCCTTTATGACCACAGTGTACTCATCTTCTGACGGCTACTTCCAGCAGGATAACGCGCCATGTCATAAAGCACGAATCATCCCAGACTGGTTTCTTGAACATGAACAATTGAACAATGAGTTCACTGTACCCAAATGGCCTCCACAGTCACCAGATATCAATCCAATGGAGCGCCTTTAAGATATGGTGGAACGGGAGATTTGAATCATGAATGTGCAGCCGACAAATCTGCAGCAACTGCGTGATGCTATCATGTTAATATGGAGCAAAATCTCTGAGGAATATTTCCAGTAACTTGCCGAATCTATGCTACGAAGGATTAAGGCAGATCTGAAGGCAAAAGGGGGTCCAACCCAGTACTAGTATGGCTAATAAAGTGGCCGCTGAGTGTATACTATATTTGTGCAGACACACACACAATGCATTAATATACATTACATTGTCCTGTGTCCATAGACTCATTTTTTGGAATTGACATATTTTATATTAAAGATATTATTTTTTACTTTTAAAAATAACTGAAGGTTTTTTTGTGTTATTCCTACATTTGTCCAGCTGATGTCGCCAGTGCGCAATCTCTTTACGGGTCCTGAAAGGTATAGTTCACCCAAAAGAGAACATTTACTCACTATTTACTCATCTTTTACTTGCTTTATACCTTATTGGTAGTTCCTGTCTTCTGTTAAACACAAAAGAAGATATTTTGAAGAAACCTGTAACCATTAACTTCCATAGTAGAAAAAACAAATACTATGGAAGTCAATGGTTACAGGTTTTCAGCTTTCTTCAAAATATCTTCTGTGTTTAACAGAATTAGGAAACTTATAAAGGTTTAAAACAAGTAAAAGGTTAGTAAATGAGAGAATTTTAAGTTTGGAGTGAACTATACCTTTAATTCTCACTGCAATATTAACATGATAATATAATATAGCAAATACACTATTAGTGGTTTATCAGATGTTACAAGAGTCAAACCTCCAGGCTCATTTTCAAGAGACTGTTTTAAATAAAATTATTTTTAGATAATATGTTCAAATAACAGGCTAATAATAATAACAATAATGGTTTATTAAAGCAGATTGATTTAGGTTCATAACTAAATCAATGTCATAACTGCTTTAATATAAACAGACACATGTTATTTTGACATTTTAGTGTTCCATTTCTAGGCTAAATGTCATGGTTTTTCTAACAGAAATGAGGGGCTGGACTCTGGAGACTGTCCAAAGACTCAGTCAATGGCATATTGAAGCCCGCAGGAACTTCATGCTAAATAAAGCTTTCAGGAGACCTTTCTGGTCTAATAAAAACACATTATCTCTGTCTATAGAGAGAAGAATGTAAAATTAGCCTGAGGATGGATTGAACCACAAACATATGGCCTTTCAATTAATTTCTACTGATTCTGATTATTACAATGTTTTTCCCCTGTTTTATAATTTACATGAGTATAGATATTTATATTAGTATAAATGTAAAAATGTAAAGATTTTTGTGGAAAAAAAAGCAGCAGCAATGATATTTTGTTTGTAAGGTTTAGTCAAAGTGCTGAGATTTTGAGTTCTAAAACTCAATTGAAATCTAAAGTATACAGTAGATGATGCTATGTTGGCTTTAAAGGAGTTAGTTCACTCAAAAATTAAGCTTTGTGTGACTTTTTGTCTTCAGTCGAACATAGACAATTTTTACATTTCCAGATTTCTCACTAGCGCAAGTCGTCATAGTAGAGTAAACTTAAAACACAGTGAATGGAAGAGTACAACAAATCATTTTTACAGTCCTATTTGCTGAAATAATAAAATAAATCTCCATGAGGGTGTTATACAGACTTTCAGAAAAAAAGAAATGTGCAAGACAGATAACGGCAGCCAGAAGAGAGAATCGTTTAAAATTTACTGTCCTGTCCCCATAGACACTGCATTACAAACGCCTCGTACAAGTGGTAATTCAATTTTTGTAATTTGTTGCAAAGATGATATAATACATTCATAAATACATATACAATTAAAGTCTGAATTATTAGTCCCCCTTTAAATGTTTTTTTTTTCTTTTTTAAATATTTCCCAAATGATGTTTAACAGAGCAATGAAATTTTCACAGTATGTTTGATAATATTTTTTCTTCTGGAGAAAGTCTTATTTGTTTTATTTGGGCTAGAATAAAATCAGTTTTGAATAAAAAAAAACATTTTAAGGTCAAAATTATTAGCCCCTTTAAGCTATATATTTTTTCAATAATCAACAAAACAAACCATCGTTATACAATGACTTGCCTAATTACCCTAACCTGCCTAGTTAACCTAATTAACCTAGTGCAGCCTTTAAATGTCACTTTAAGCTGTATAGAAGTGTCTTGAAAAATATATAGTCAAATATTATTTATTCATCATGCCATTTGTCATAATGGCAAAGATAAAATAGATCAGTAATTAGAAATGAGTCATTAAAATTATTATGTTTAGAAATGTGCTAAAAAAATCTGCTCTCCGTTAAACAAAAATCAGGGAAAAAAATAAACAGGGGGGCTTATAATTCAAAGGGGGGTAATAATTCTGACTTCAACTGTAAACGTATACATGTTAAAAAAAAAAAAAAACTGTAAATATTAAGAACATTCAAGCATTTAAGATACCGATGAAATGCATCAGAACGGTCTTGTGAAAAGGGTCCAAAAATTAAACCTAAACTGTTGAACACAAAGGAAGCTCTTCTGAAAATCTTATAATCCTGTAATCAAAAAATCCTGTAAATTGACCTCTATGGTATTTGTTTTTCCTACTATGAATGCCAATGGTTACAGGTTTCCAACATTTTTCAAAATATCTTATTTTATGTTTAACAGGAAAAAAAACACTTGAAGGGGAGTAGTGAGGACATTTAGATTTTTGGCTGAATAATCCCTTTATGGCATTCGGCTTGTGCTGATGCAGCCGTAATGTACTGCTAAGAGTGTTATATTGTTTATAAACTTAACTAAAAAGATGAAATGTTTTGTTTGGTTATTTGCATGTCTTCTGACCTCAAAGACCTATGAACATGCAAACATGCACACCAAAAACTTCCAGGGTGTGAGTGAGACGGGGTTTTAAACAAACCTAAAGTTTAATGCCCTGTTCAAACGACCAACCAAACTTTTTAACAATGTGGTTTCACTGTATGTCTACACAAAAATGCATTATCGGGGGACTGAAGCTAGGGGTGAAGATTAAACTCTGGATACAGTGTGGACACTACAATATGGCAATTTCCCATGTTCTTGCCAAGCAAATCACATATTCCACCGCTGTTATTACGCTTACATTGACTTCTTTGCAATTTACTCAAGAAAATACTTAATTCCCTGTTTGGTGTAAGCCCAGCATAAGTGTCATTATTTCAACCTGTTGGTCCAGCATGCCCCTAACATGCGCACAGTTCCTTTTGATGTGGACTTAGATTTGTTTTTGTTTTTAAATTGTTTATAAACATACCTGTGTAGATATGGACATGGCCTAAAACAGGGTTTGACTGATGTAAATCAACAAACAATCTATGAAGTTTGTGTTTAACACTATTGCTGTATTTATAACAAAAGTCTTGTCAGTTGTAAGATCAACAAATAATAACTTGACTTAGCTGATTATTTGGAAAAGTGGCAGAAGGTAGATTTTTCTGATGAATCATCTTTTGAACTGCATCTCAATCATCACAAATACTGCAGAAGACCTACTGGAACCAAAATGGACCCAAGATTCTCACAGAAATCAGTCAAGTTTGGTGAAGGAAGAGTCATGGTTTGGGGTTACATTCAGTATTGGGGCGTGCGAGAGATCTGCAGAGTGGATGGCAACATCAACAGCCTGAGGTATCAAGTCATTTGTGCTGCCCATTGCATTACAAACCACAGGAGAGGGCAAATTCTCCAGCAGGATAGCGCTCCTTCTCATACTTCAGCCTCCACATCAAAGTTCCTGAAAGCAAAGAAGGTCAAGGTGCTCCAGGATAGGCCAGTTCAGTCACCAGACA